TTATAAACATAATAAAATAATGTTGATTCCATATAAGGTAATCGAACAAAATATTTGCTCTATGCTAACTAATAATGTTTTCTTGCGCTTATACTAATAGTGGTTACAGATTTCTAACATTTCAAACTTTCATTACAGTTCAATCTATGAAAGCCATTTTTAGAGGGACTTATCATAAAATGAACATGTAGCAATGAAATCATTACCCCAGTCACCACCATAACACATAGATTCATGGCCCTTTATCAAAAATTTCTCAATTTGGAAGTAGTCTTCGGAGTCTTGATTGGATTCATCTAACGTAACAATCTTTGCACCATCATACATGCAGCATATCATCAATTTATCAACTAAATCTGTCTTTAATGACATTGGAATGTCTGAAAATCTCCACACACCGCCACCCATGTTCTTGGTACTAATATGACTTACAGGTGTGTTCCTCCCAGGATAAATATTGACACCTAACATCCTAAGGTCCAAGTTTCTAATATTATCATCATACGAACCTGTGATGATGGATGTTGGTCTTGATTGTCTGAATGTCTCGGAGCTACATTTAATACCTACAACACCAGCCTCGTGAATCCGCTGGTTACTCCATATATTGTCCTTAGATCTCAAATCGTGGGCCATGATAGTAGAATCATCACCTCCTGTGAACAGTACATCTTGTAAAGGTGATAGTTGTCCAAATTCTGCCGTCCAGCATTCCAACCCATGTGTCTCAGTAAATGTTTCCACGACTAAATCCCTACCAGTTACATCATTTCCTTGTACTGTGACAGTTTTGGTGTCTATCTTGGAGTAGGAATCCTTCACAGTTTCAGCATTGAATGTCTTTTCTCCTACTTCTATGTCAAAAGTAGCACATTCTCCAGTAGTGGTGGTCACACATATCAATTTTGGGTCTAATGGAGAAAAATGCAAAGAAGTGACCAAAGTGTCATTCTCAAATGCGAATAGATCTGATATTAGTTCAATGGTTATATCATTATTGCAGTCTTCTGTAACGATCTTCCATATCATAATATTCCCTGTAGAATGAGCAGTTGCTAGCAGTGTACTATCGAAGGGACTCAACTTTAAGTCTAAGATTGCACCATATGTAAAGTAGGTATGTATAAGTTTAAAATTGACATCATATATATCTATTGAGCCTGTTCTGTTTCCTGTAGGTTTATCCAGCTCATATGTACCAACAAGGACAAACTTGTCCTGGAATATTCTTAGACAACAAGGTGGTAAACCTGTCTTAACATACGCCTCTACTTGAGTGATTTCCATCATACCGAATATTATATTATCTTAAAGTAGTTGGTGTGATTGAATTCTCCTCGACTAGACGTGAAAGTTCTTGTTTATGTTAGTTGGAATCTCATCGCAAGAAATTTTTCAGTCGCTTATATAAAGGAAAGTAACCCCAAGGAAGTAGCAATAAGGCTAATAACAAGAAAAAAAATCTAAATAAGCATGTAATAGGGAAAGTGCACCTCCATTATACCATATTTATTAGGGTAGAGGTATTATCAAATTATATTTGATATCATTGGGGTGTGTAACCTGCTTTTGGACGCATTTCGAGACCATCGAAATGAATATGGATGACGTTTTAAAATGATTCATAGATACAACTACAATTCTGGGACTTCAGTAACTCAACAACAATAACGGATAGTAATTTGTGCTCTCCAATAACCTCTCTTATGAAGATAATTAGCATCTTGCACCTATGACTATTCTAAGTATTACCCTCTTGTACTTATAGAATTCGCGTTTTTCTCTTTAAAAGCCAGACAGTTCAATTTCGTGATAATTTTCAGTAAATGAAACAATAATAAAGAGCCTGTCAGATCAAAGGAAAGTATATAATCTCGAATATTTGAAACTTGTAAGCGATTGTCATTGGTTATTAATATAAGATTACTATCTATATTGATTTATTTGAAGAAGGATATTAGTTGTTTCACAGTGAACCAGAATATGAGTGCAACAGAAGAATACTGGACGCAATTGAGGCCATATCAAGAAACCACTCCAAAGGGAGACGGCGAACTGAATAAAAAAACATATCTATTGAAGAATACAGGTGCTCAAAACTTTAATATTCAGAACACTGTCAAGAGATTTCAACATTTGCTGAAGATTAGTGGTCTGTTTAAACATTTTATTGTGAGTAAAGCTACCAAAGATGAAAGATTTAAGAAAGTTTTGGATATTTTGAATGAAAAAGAACTAGTACAATCCTCGAATGGATCAATACATAAGGATGCAAGACATAGAAAGAGTGAGACGGAAGAAGACGCCGAACTGTTGAAAGAGGAAGAAGATGAAGATGAGGAGGATGAAAATTCTCAATCTATGTCGTCTAGGGAGTTTCAATTTAGAGAATCACCAGCATATGTTGATGGTAATTTAAGACCCTACCAGATACAAGGTTTGAATTGGTTAGTTTCATTACATAAGAGTGGACTGGCAGGTATTTTGGCAGATGAAATGGGTCTTGGTAAGACTTTGCAAACAATATCGTTCCTTGGATATCTAAGATATATCGAGAAAGTACGGGGGCCCTTCCTGGTTATTGCCCCAAAATCAACTTTAAACAATTGGCTTAGAGAAATTAATAAATGGACACCTGAGGTAAATGCCTTCATCTTACAGGGTGATAAAGACGAGAGAGCCAAGTTGGTTTCAAACACGTTAATGGAATGCAAATTTGATATTGTAGTTGCATCATATGAGATCATTATCAGAGAAAAGGCTGCCTTTAGAAAATTTGATTGGCAATATATTGTGATAGATGAAGCACATAGAATCAAGAATGAGGAGTCGATGTTATCACACGTATTAAGAGAATTTACGTCTCGTAATAGATTATTGATTACTGGTACACCTTTACAAAATAATTTGCATGAATTATGGGCTTTATTGAATTTCCTACTACCAGATATTTTTGCGGATTCACAGGATTTTGATGACTGGTTTTCTTCAGAGAGCTCTGAGGAAGAAAAGGATAAAATTGTGAAACAACTACATACCGTCCTACAACCTTTTTTGTTGAGACGTATTAAGAATGAGGTCGAGACTTCTTTGCTACCTAAGCAGGAATTGAATCTATATGTAGGAATGTCATCGATGCAAAAAAAATGGTATAGGAAAATTTTAGAAAAGGATCTTGATGCTGTTAATGGTGCCAATGGTAACAAAGAGTCAAAGACTCGACTATTGAATATTGTTATGCAGTTGAGAAAATGTTGTAATCATCCTTATTTGTTTGACGGTGCAGAACCTGGTCCACCTTATACCACCGATGAACATTTGGTATTCAATTCCGCTAAGTTGTTAGTATTAGATAAGTTGTTAAGAAGATTAAAAAAAGAAGGTTCTCGTGTTTTAATTTTCAGTCAAATGTCCAGAGTATTAGATATATTAGAGGATTACTGTTACCTGAGAGATTTTAACTATTGTAGAATCGATGGGTCTACTGCACACGAGGATAGAATTGAGGCGATTGATGATTATAATGCGCCAGACTCTGATAAGTTTCTCTTCTTGTTGACAACACGTGCAGGTGGTCTAGGTATCAATTTAACTTCAGCAGATATTGTTGTTCTGTTTGATTCAGATTGGAATCCACAAGCTGATTTACAAGCTATGGATAGAGCGCATCGTATTGGTCAGAAAAAACAAGTTAAAGTATTTAGGTTTGTCACAGATAATTCAGTTGAGGAGAAGATCCTGGAGAGAGCTACTCAAAAATTGAGACTTGATCAATTGGTCATTCAACAAAATAAACCATTGACAAACAAAAATAAAGATAAGAACAATGGTAAAGATGCATTATTATCCATGATTCAACATGGTGCTGCAGATGTATTTGAGACAGAGAGTAATGCATCTAGTAATGGTGGGACACCAGCACCTGGTACCTTGAAAGCGGATGTGTCCAAAGAACAAGAGGTAAACCTTGATGAATTGTTGGCCAAGTCTGAGACGAAGATGCAGTCATTGAATAGTAAATATGAATCCCTTGGGTTGGATGATTTACAAAAATTTAATCAAGAATCCGCATATGAATGGAATGGTGTTGACTTCAAGAAAAAGACTCAAAATAACGTTATTAAACCATTATGGATTAACCCAGCTAAACGTGAACGTAAAGAAAATTATTCTGTGGATGGTTATTATAAGGATGTTATGAATACAGGTAGATCGAATACACCTACCCATACCAGGATGCCTAGATTACATTATTTTGCCTCACATCAATTCCAATCACCACAATTACGAGTTCTCTATGAAAAGGATCGTATGTGGATGGCCAAGAAATCTAATTATAAAGCCGTTCTTGATGATTTGAAAGCTGTTTTTGGTGACTCATATAATGATAAAGACAGCGACGATATCAAGAACCAAAAACTTCGGTTATTGCAGTTGACAATCGATAATGCAGAACCATTGACAGAAGAAGAATTGAATTTGAAGGAACAATATGAGCAAGAAGGTTTCACAAATTGGAATAAAGTTGAATTCAGAAAATTTGTATCATTGAATGGTAAATATGGTAGGAATTCTATTGAATCTATTGCTTCTGAGATGACTGCTACCAAGACAGTTGAGGAGGTGCGTGAATATGCAGCTGCATTTTGGTCACGTATTGAAGAAATTGACGATTATGAAAAATATCTAAATATTATTGAAACGGATGAAGAAAAAATTGAAAAATTGAAAGTACAACAGGAGGCATTACGTCGTAAAATGGCGCAATGTGAAAATCCAATGTTTGAACTTACATTAGAGCATTCGCCATCTAAAAATTATACTGAGGAAGAAGATAGATTTATTTTACTCATGTTATTTAAATACGGTCTCCATCGTGAAGATCTATATGATGTGATACGTCAAGAGATTAAGAACCAACCATTGTTTGAACTAGATTATAGTTTCAAACAAAAGACAGCTGCAGAATTGTCTCGTCGTGGTACGACTCTACTGCAGTGCCTAGAGAAAGAATTTAACTCTAAAATTGTGATGGATGCTGACCTTAAGGAAAGACTTGATGAAGAAGATAAAGTTGGGAAAAGAACCAGGGAAGAGATGGCAACTGCGCGTCACCTCGAGTTAGAAGAAGAACGTAAGAAAGTCAAAACAGAATAAATAAAATAAAATAAATATTCATCATTAATATCAGCTGAGCAAAAGTAAAAATATATATAGATAGATAGATATATAGATAGATAGATAGATAGGTATTAGTCTATTAAAAGATGTGAAAACATTAATTTTTTTATTTTTTGTAAAAGAGCAATACGTAGAAATATTTAGGGATAGTTATTATCTTATTCCTTTAATAAGGCAGCAATCTTTGGATCGATAGATTCTGGTTTAGTTAAGGAAGAGAATCTTTCGACAACATTCCCATGCTTATCGATCAAAAATTTTTCGAAATTCCATTTGACTCTCTTCATACCTAGAGCACCAGTCTTTTCTTTCTTCAAGAATTCGTAAAATGGTTCAGCTTTATCACCATTAACGTCGATCTTTTGCATAATAGGGAATGTAACACCATAGTTCAAAGAACAGAATTGTACAATCTCTTCTTCTTTACCTGGTTCTTGACCACCAAACTGGTTACATGGGAACCCTAGGATTTCTACTCCCTGGTCATTATACTTCTTGTACACCTCTTCTAGACCTTTATATTGAGGAGTGAAACCACATTTAGAGGCAACATTAACAATTAGAATAACTTTCCCTTCTAATTGTTTTAGGGCAAAATCTTTACCGGCTTTATCCTTAACAACAAAATCGTAAACTTTAGACATATTAGTTCAATAATATTAACACTTAAATTTTTTCTTTAGTATTATGTCGTTCTTATATCTGTAAATATATATAGAGAGATATTCTGAACCAATCCAAGATCCTTATTGTTGTCGTACGCTCCCTTTATATAGCAAATCTTACTAGCAAGGGATTCGATGACTTTGTCACTTCCGGAAGGGATACCTCTCCTCTTCCTTTCATTCCGCGGCGCAGTGCGGTCCCCTCATTTCTTGACGGGCTTCCGGGCCAGCCAAATTAGTTCCTGACGGCCTTTTATTATGTAAGAGAGTTAGGGCTCCTAGTTAGGGTTTTTGAACTGTTAGGGCTAAAAAGAAGGAGCACTTAGGGCTTGGAGTATTTTTGTAACCCTAGTTTTAGCCCTGATCACGTGGTGTGTTTACCTGTTTTGGATACATTTCCTTAATAGGAAACATGTCCATTTCAGGAAACTCCAATTTGCTATCACTTCACACGACTGTACTCTATTTTCTGTGAGTTAAACAGCTTACGTGGAAATTTCCAGCTAAGCATCATAAGACTCAATTTTGTAAAAGCATTTAAATAAAGGGGACCTTCAACTTGTTAAAAACTAGGCGATTTCCTGTCATGATGTAGAAGCTCTCCGTGTGATATACAAGATCTCCAAACGGGATGTTGAGAAAGTTGTTATTTTTATTAGCAAGTGCGTTAATATTTTACTCTAGACACAGTTCTGTAGTGGTTGCTGCAGTTGGGTTTTCTATAATTGGTTACATAGTGACAGATTACCTTATCCCTAGAGTTGGGCCTTCTTTCATTAAGATCGGTTTATTCGGTAAAGATTTAAGTAAAGTTGGAAAGCCGGTATTACCAGAATGTATAGGTGCAGTCTCTGCAACAGTTTACCTTTTTATCATGTTCTTCTATATTCCATTTATCTTTTATAGGTATTTGGTGACAGTCACCTCTGGAGGTGGACAACGTGATGTAACCGTAGATCAATGGCCCACAGATGGTCCTAGTTATTCTGTGTTCCCGCATAGTAGATTATCAGAGTATTTAAGTAGTACTTTATGTCTAGAGAGTACAATATTATTAGGGATCGCTGATGATTTGTTCGATATTCGTTGGAGACATAAGTTTTTCCTTCCAGCAGTAGCAGCTATTCCATTATTAGCTGTTTATTATATTGATTTTGGTGTCACATCAGTATTAGTACCTGGATTCATGCAGCAATGGCTTAATCAATGTATGACGTTTTTACATGAAAAGGGTATCGTTGAGACTCCATCAAATATTACAAGCATCGATCTGAAGGGACTTTATTACATGTATATGGCCTCAATGGCAATCTTTTGCCCTAATTCGATCAATATATTAGCAGGGATCAATGGTTTAGAAGTCGGCCAAAGTATAGTATTGGGTTTCCTTGCACTAATTAACGATACATTGTATGTTACTTTGGGTAATGAAACTACGAAGAATTCACATATTTTCTCTATTGTACTGATCATTCCATTCCTGGGCGTCTCTATGGCATTATTCAAATGGAATAAATGGCCGGCTAAGGTATTTGTTGGGGACACATATTGTTATTTTGCAGGAATGGTGTTTGCCGTAGTGGGTATCCAGGGTCATTTTGCAAAGACAATGTTATTGTTATTTGTACCTCAAATTATTAATTTCATTTACTCAGTGCCTCAATTGTTTAATCTGGTCTTTTGTCCCAGACATAGATTACCAAAATTCAATGAATCAGATGGGTTATTATATCCATCCAGAGCTAATCTTAAGGAATCGCCTCCAAAGGGATTTTTCGTTCCAATACTGAAAGTCTTAGGATTATGTCATTTGATTGATCTTGAGATTGATGGCAAGACGGGACAAATTGTGAGTTGTTCTAATATGACCATTATTAACTTGATGTTGGTATGGTTCGGCCCAATGAGAGAGGACAAACTTTGTAATTTAATCCTAGGCTGTCAATTTATGATCGGGTTTGCTGCATTAGTATTGAGACATTGTGTTGGTTCAATTATTTTCCAACATGATAACTTGTGGACCATCAAATAGATAGATATCAATAAATAAATATATGATTACAATTTTTTATATATGGGGATATATGTAAATATGTACTTTTCCGAACAGCTTTCGGTTTGCACAGGACACTATCCATGTGCTATATCTTTGGTAAAGAATCGAAAAATTGTTTACGCAAGGTAATTAAATCGTCGGCCCATTTACTCACCTCTTCAGTTTGGATCAATTCTCTGGCAATAAAAAATTCTTGGAAATTTAATTTACCCTTATGCATCTTTTCATACTCGAAACATTGTACCAACAATTCGTACTTATCAATGTCCTTAACATAACGGGCCTCCAGGGATCCGATCGTATCATAACTAATAAAATCCTCAAGGATCTCCTTTGCACCCTCAGGACTCATCGGTTCCACTATCTCCTTACATACATATTTCATGGTCTCTAACTCACGTCTATGTTTTTCGTCTTTACCAATTGGGTTCACTGGTGTGATATCACCAACTAGGGCCTCGGCCATGTCATGGACCAGTGCAATTCTGACACATTTGTCCCTGTTAACTTTGGGGTTGGTGATCAACATCGATAGGATACTCATACGGTACATGTGATCAGCAATACTTTCACACTCCGTCATCCCATAGTCCAACCAGCCAGTTCTCTTCTGGATCTTCAGTTGATGAACAACGTTCATGAAGGCTAGCATGTAGTTTGGTTGTTTTAGATTAAGCAATTCATTGACTTCGTCGGGGATGTGATCTCTAGGATCCCAGACAGCAGCGGACTCTCCAGTGCCAGTTGCGACAGGTTGTGTAATAATTACAGTAGGAGACATAGGTTTGGGTACTATATAGGTATATGTATATATATATATATACCTTTAAGTTCTACCAAGATTTAAAAAATATTCCTAGCGATGGTTGTGCCTCTACTGTTGTTTATATATGGGTCGCATTGAAAATCTTTCCACTTGCATGAAATGTAAACAAAAACAAATGCTGCATCGCTTCCAAATTAGATAATCGTTGCAGAGACCGAAAAATGCCATCAGCCAAAGGAAATACCCAAACAAGTACAGTTTCCTTTCCAAGAAAACTGTCAACTGATGAATAATGAAAAATGCAAAGGATTGTGTTATGATTAAATTAACCTAAAAAAAGTAGTAGTATATAAAATGTATATATTTAATAGTTTTTAAAAGAGGAGTTAATTTAAGCGATCAATTCAACAACACCACCAGCAGCCTTGATCTTTTCTTCAGCAAGCTTAGAAACGAATCTGGCCTTGACAATGACTGGGACGTTTGGAATTCTACCCTTACCTAGAACCTTACCGTAACCGGCAGCTAGGGTGTCAATGACTGGAGCAGCAGAAGTAGAAGAGGACTTCATGTATTCGTCTCTCTTTTCTTCTGGGATTAGAGTCCATAACTTGTCCAAGTTTAGGGTTGGCTTCCAGAAGTGACCTTGTTGCTTGTGGAAGTATCTCATACCGACCTTACCGAAGTAACCTGGATGGTATTTATCCATGTTAATTCTGTGGTGTTGTAGACCACCGGCCATACCTCTACCACCGGGATGCTTTCTGTGCTTACCGATACGACCTTTACCGGCTAAACAAAATAAAATGTATAATTACTTCACACTTAGTTAAAAGCATGTAATAAAATATAAGTGATTGTTAGTAAAAGGATATTCCAAAAAACAAATTAAAATTGTAAAAATATATGGGGAGAAACCTTTCATAGGTGGTATCTCAACTTCGATGAGCTTAAACAAGAAAAATAATAACAAAAGTTTAGGCTAAACATATGTGTATATGTACCGAAATCTTTGCAACTGTCCACGAAGAAACGTTTGGTGTCGTGAAGGAAGAGTTTCAATATAATGATAGAAAGTATGAATACCTACTATCATTAAAAAACAAACTGAAAAGATCGAAATCTAAACAGGTTCACGACAAAGTTAAACGTTTCCAACAGAAGCAACGTATATGATTCAGGGCATATTACTTTTCAATCCTCTTATAATTTTTTTCTCACTCATCAAAGCCGAGTATCACCGTCTTGGTTCTTTCATTCCCTCTTCCAAATGGAACTACATACCTGAGACGTGACCTCTGTGCTTTCTGGTTTTAGTAAATCTAGATGGCATTCTTGATTATCTTATTGCAGTGGAGTATTTAAATTGAGAATAAATAATATCTAATAATATTAATTAGAAGTACCAATTGAGGAAATAAATGGTTGGAAAACTCATCATCTCTTAAATACTGGATATGACTTTTCGTTCTTTTCCAGAATAGAGAAACTGAACATGAAGTTTTCGCACTTTGAAATTCTGGGAAGTCTTTTTTTGCGTTGGCGGAATATCCAAAATCAAAATCAAAATCAAGAAAACTGAAATTTTTCTGAAATTTTTGATATTCAGAGGGTGTGAGGATGTTGGGTGTCCGGGTGGTGGATATCGGAAGCAGTCACAGTTTTATGGGACTTTTAATTCCTTTTCTATCAGCCCATTTAAAGGGGAGAAGAGCTATTTAGTATGTCAAGCATAACATATGCAATAGAGAGGAGAAGAAGGCATTAGAGCAACATTCAAGTATGTCTGACTATGGTACTCGGGTGGAGGCTCCACCAAAACGGCCCAATCTTACCAGGAATTTATTGTTAGCCACAGCTGTAGCCTGTTTAGGTTCTATTCAATATGGCTATCACATCGCTGAATTAAACGCACCTGAACAATTCCTAGTGTGTCCTAATGACCCACAGACTAATGGCATTACTAGTGCAGCACCACAATGTATTTCGATGACTGAACAACAATTTGGTGCTGTGACGTCGATATTCAGTCTTGGCGGGCTTGTAGGGTCATTTTTCATTGGAAGTTATGCCAGTAAATATGGAAGACGTTCTACAAGTCTGTATATTAGCGTCCTTTCATTTATAGGGTCGCTAGTAATGTTTATTGCAGGTTCGTTCAACTCATTACTTGTTGGTCGTTTCATTGTTGGTGTTTCGTGTGGTTCTGCCATTGTCATTACGCCGTTATTCATTAACGAAATTGCTCCTCCCCAATGGAAAGGTGCATTAGGTTCAATGAATCAGCTAAGTATCAATTTGGGAATTCTACTAACACAAAGTCTGGCATTACCATTGGCTAATTTGGAGGATTGGAGATATTTGCTGGCCGTGGGATGTATTCTTGCGTTGTTGAATGCATTGGGTTGGTGGTGGATCGGGGAATCTCCTCAATGGTTGGTTTTACACAAACATGACACACTACAGGCAAGTATGAACCTTGCACGTTTGAGAAATAGCAGTTTACAAGTCGCTAAGCAAGAAATCGAGCAATGGTCGGAGAGTAATAATAATAATAGCGATAGTGACACCCAGGAGTTAACCTTTCTCGGATATATTACAAACTCTCTTTATACGAGACCACGTCTTGCGATTACTTTATTACTTGTAGGTCAACAGTTTAGCGGGATTAATTCAATCATTTTCTATGGGGTAAAAGTTGTCAGCCAAGTTGTCCCTCAATATGCCATATTGGTTAATTTGGCAGTATCCATTATAAATGTGATTGTCACATTCATTGCCAGTCTTGTGATCGACCGATCTGGTCGCAAACCTTTATTGATAGTATCTGCACTTGCGATGAGTCTCATGTCTCTGTTGATTAGTATCAGTATCACATCCAACTATTCTGTGTTGTTAGTCCTAAGTCTATTTGGGTATATCATAGCGTTTGCTCTTGGTATTGGACCTATCCCATTTTTAATCATCGGAGAATTGTCATCACCTGAAAGCACAGCACAGGCTCAGAGTTATGGTACGGTATGTAATTGGTTAGCAACTTTTGTCGTTGGGTATACTTTTCCAATCTTAAACCAATTAATGGGCGGATACGTCTATTTAACTTTTAGTGTAATGACCGTATTGTTATTAATAGGTATACGTCGCTATATCCCGGAAACAAAAGGAACTTTGAATGCCAGTGAAGCATGGCAAAATTTCCATTAATTATTTAAAGTATATTATTATTACATATTCAAATAGTCTTATTATTCATTTTTTTTTTAAAAAATTCTTATTTCATTAAAAGGATATAAAAGAGGTAAGGAGGGGGTGTTCGTTTACATAATGGTCTATACTATTGTTATTATGTAAAAGTTTACAAATGAGCTAGAACACTTTCGACTGAGGAAACAGTAACTTCAGAAGCTGGATTTTCTTCCTTGGCAGCGTAAGTGACAATACCGTCCTTTACAACGATGGCCCATCTACCGGACCAGTTGACACCGTCAGCAACTTGCAATTCAAAGCCTAGAGACTTGATAAACTTGCAACCAGCATCGGAAGCAAATTTCATATGAGCGGTGTTCTTTAGACCTAACTCCTTAGCCCAAGCTTGTTGGGAGAATGGGGTGTCGACAGTTAAGACAACGATTTGGTCAACATGCTTGTCATGGACCAATTCATCGGCGTAAGTTAAGTAGCCTGGAATATGGGAGATGGAACAAGTTGGAGAGAAAGCAGCTGGAGCACCGGTGATGACGACAGTCTTGTTGTCCTTGATGAACTTTTCCCAAGAGACAGTTAGGGGTAGCTTACATTCGTGACCCTTTTCGAAATCTTCTGGACCAACAGTAATGTATTGGAAAGAGAAGTCACCGGCTGGGAAAGGCTTGTTAATTAGAGAGGACATGTTTATATTTTGTTTGTGTGAGTGTTTTTGTTTGTTTGTGATGGTTTATTATTTATAATTATAATACAAGAAATGTTTAAGAAAAGGAACTATGAATTGATATATCCAGAACAGACACATCGGGTTCTTTTTATACTATTTGCGAACTTTGTAGATCATCAAATTCGGGGGAGGAGGGGTACCCCTTTATCCCATCTGTTGAAAAAAAATTACTCAGCATACATACTACCGGCCAGAACACCCCTCGAAACTCGGTATAGGTCGTTGTCATTATTCCTTCAACATATGCATCCTTTGCTTCATTTTAGGTAAGCAGCAGTAGTACTACGACGTGGTTTCCTTGTTGTTGCGAATTACTTAATTATTCAGTTTCGTCCTGGATGCGCTTTTTCTGCGGGGTGTTTACTGGCGGGAGGATACGAAGCGATCGGCAAGCTGACAAATTCGCTGAAATTTTTCAGTTTGGGAAGGCATCGAAAGGATCGTAAGGGTGAAGTCATTGGAACCGTTAAAAACGACGAGGTCTGACATCAGTTGATTATGGCAAAAGGGGTGTCTTACTTGATGAACTGTTGGGCTGTCTCTTCTGATAGTCGGCAAGCATTAGTACTTATTTCTCTCATTGTTTTGGGTGGCTGTTGCTGATATTTGGGGATATTAGGGTGTCTTTTGTCTATCTAGGGTCGGCTAGGTTCTGGCCATTCGCCAGATGCTTTGTAATGATGGTAATAATAATAATGGGTGATGAGCTATTTATTATACTCTCTTTGTGTATTGATTGATCTTACGTATATTGATTGATCTTGTTTAGATATTATGTAAGTATATAGATAGTGTTTGTTTGATTTAAAATAGTTAAAACTTGGCTAAGTTTAGTGGTGATAGCTGTAGTCAGCAGCCAAAAATAAATAAATTGAAACTAGATTAAAAATAAAACGATACTACATTACTAACGGACATTAGCATTCTGGATGGAAGCAACTTTGAAGGATTCGCCCTTGGCGTTAGTCAATTTCAAAGCAGAACCGTCTTCTTTCTTGAATACAACCTCAAGAGCACCGTTGGTGCTGAAATGTGGTTGTAAAGCTTCCCAGATCTTCTTCTTTGGGTTCAATTGCTTCAATGGCTCTTCAGCACCAAAGCCTTCAAAGAAGACCTTGTCACCAGCAACGGAACCTGCAGGTGGTTCGACAAACTCGACATGTTCTTCATCGGAACCACATAGAACCATAGCAGTGGACTTGATACTTCTCATGTTGACAGGCTTCAAGTTACATACTACAACAACGTAACGCTGTTGCATGGCTTCCAATGGGAAATGTTTGACTAGACCAGAACACACAGTTCTTGGACCTTCTTCATCACCGACATCGATGGTGGACACATATAGGGAGTCGGCATTTGGATGCTTGACAGCTTCTTGAATGAAACCAACACGGAAATCAACAACAGATGGAGCTGGTAGTTCACCGGCAGCGCCAGCAGCGGCAGCTCCGTCTTTACCCTTAGCGGCTTCTTCTTGTGCTTTGGCAGCCTTCTTTGCAGCCTTCTTGGCTTTGGCCTCTTCTCTTAATTTCTTCAATGTTTCTTCATCTGGCTTACCACGTTGTTTTTGTTCACCATCAGTAGCCTTCTTATCGGCTTTCTTAGCGTCTTTGACACCTGCATCAGCTTTAGCATCGGCAGCCTTACCATCACTCTTCTTCTTCTTTTCAATGATCTCACGTGGAAGTTCCAAATCGTGGTTCAAAGTCAATTGGTCACCGGATGGAACAGCAAGTAAGTTTTGTAAATAGTCTACCCATCTAAAGACGTGTCTGTATTTAGCGTAAACGTCCTTGACATCCTTGGTAGAAGAGACCAATTGCTTGGATAATGGTAGAACGGCCTCGAACACCTCAACATCGGTCTCGGTAGGTTGCAAAGTGCTCACTAAGAAAGTGTTATCTCTTAGGAACAAGTTCATTTGATCCAGTTGTTGTTCAACTTGGCCGGATTTAAGAACGGATTGCCATTGTGTGTTGAATGCATTTTGCTCTCTGGATAGAGCTGGGCTGGAGATAGACAAGGTTTTGAACTTGGTGATTAGGTCGGACATCCTTGCTTTCATATGTTATATGTGAATTAGAGTTGATTCTCTTCGTTATATCTCTCCCTATTGTATTCTTAAACACTACGTTGCTTCCTTTTCCCATTACTTTTATCGTTAGATTATCCTACCACCAAGTTGTCTTTTTTCCACTGTATCAATCTCCCTCTTGTAATCTTATCAGCAAAAGCACCGCGAAGCAAAAAAATTTTCAGTGTAGATCGGGATTTTGCAACAAACTGCCACCTCGTTCATCGTGATGTTTGGTTGAATATAAGTGAAAAGCTGTGTATTAGTGAATTGAATGATGTTGTAACGTAGATCGTTGGTAAACTTTTGATTGGGTTGGCCAATCCTTGTTGCCATCAATTAACTGTTTTTGCCTGTGTCTTGTTTTATAATGGCTCTGATTATGTGTCATTCCTGTGAGCCTCCGGCAGAGAAAGTAATCGACACTGAAAAAAAAATTAACTTAAATTAGAGGATAACAGTAAGCATGATGGAAAAAAGTGCCATAAAGGAACAATAACCTCCAGTTTGTTGTCGTTCGACCGTTTATTTTGACATATATCATTATATAATCAGAATTGGTTTTCATTAGGGATGCAAATATCGATGAGGATACAAAGATGAGTGAAAGTATACCAAATGACAAGCTCATTGCAAAGAATAATAACAACGGTCGGAGACGTAGGCATACCAGTATTGCATGTGTGAACTGCTCCAAATGGCACGTTTCCTGTGATAGTAGTAGACCCTGTAAACGGTGTAGCCAAAAGGGGTTGGCCGCATCATGTGTCGATGCCCCTAGAAAGAAGTCTAAATATTTGGTGGGGATCCCTAACAATGCATTGCCGGAGCTATTTAGAGATGACCGGTCGCAATCTTTAAATGGTATTAGTACATCGATGAGTTTTCTATCCGATGCTGCAAACTCTGAGTACTCGATGTTGGAGACAATTACTCAACCAGGAGTACAATCGGCAAGCCAGCCTAATTTTCAAAGCTTATTAAGCAATCAGCAGCATGGTGGAATGATCCATGGTAATAGACCGTCTATGACAATGGTGATGGGGATGTCACAAGGGTCCGCATCTGCACCCGGCTCCACAACAGCTTTGCCTTTACTTTCTGATGGAATTAATAATTTACGTCCAATACCAACACGCGCAACGACAATTTCTGAAACTGCATTAAAGAGCCATGATAGTTCAAGTACGGCAAGCCCCGAACATAGTGTTGGTGTAGATCATCTCATATCGTCGAATTCAAGCTCGGCAGTACAAATCACCCCTTCACAGGGTCGGAATGCATACACAATGATCTTGGGTCCCAAATCACAAGATATTGTCAGTTCCCAAATTGATCTTATGAAAAATTATTTCCCTTTAATTCCTGTTAAATTGCAAAATGGTTCCAGTTCACTCGATTTCAAGAGACTTGTTCCCGAGGATCCCGCAGTGAAAGGTACAGATATGCAACGGAACGTTAAGATTAATCAATACTATTTGAATAACAAGACTGTGACGTTTCCTGAGGTACAACGTAGTTTCGAGCCCTTAGTGAAAGGCCACGACGCATCGTTTGCGTTGGAGTGCATCTCTCCAGAGGTGGTCCAAATATTCGCGAACCCAGAATGGTCTCATTCATTAAGGTATGCTACCCCGATGGAAATATATACTCAGATAAACATGCCATTTTCACATACATCGGGTTTCCATCATTTATTAGTTTATCTGAAGGGGCGATTTAATCAAGACGATGTTGTGGAGATGTGTCGATCTCTTGCTGAATTCCGTCCAATTTTCATTGCCTGTTCGGTGACGCTGACAGAAGAGGACATGATCTTCATGGAGCAGGTGTATCAACGGACGTTATTGGAGTATGCCAAATTCATCGAATTAAGTGGGACTCCGACTTGTGTGTGGAGACGTAATGGTCAAATCTCATATGTGAATGAGGAATTCGAGATACTGACAGGATGGAAACGAGAAGAATTATTAAACAAATTGACGTTTGTGGTAGAGATCCTTGACGATGAGAGTGTTCGTGATTATTTCAAGACATTTTCCAGTATCGCATACAAAGATTTCAAAGGTTGTGAGCAAATGAAAGTCTGTAGAATTTTGACACCGATCGAGGGACAGGTGGTTCATTGCTCATGTCTTTGGACGTTGAAAAGAGATATCTCGGGACTCCCACTGATGATTCTGGGTAATTTCATGCCTATTCTGTCTGAGCAATGAAATTGTATTCCCATCGAAACAGGAAGTTCAATGTCATCCAAAGAAAAAAGTGGAGGTGTCATCTGACGTATGACGACGAACACATAACTACGAGTACCTAAGAAAAGGGGATCTGAGGAGATGAGATGAGCTGAAAAATTGCTTCTTCTTCTTCTTTTGCAGTTACGAAAATAAAAGTCGATTGACGTGAATGAAAACAGATAGATGTGCATACGAGAGATAAATTCTCTTCCCGCGGGTATAAACCGGAATATAGCAGCACATTATAGTCTATTTCTCTTCGAGTTCTTGATTTGAAATGTAATAATCAAATTCTATGAAAGGTTGTTTATTTTGAGTTTACTTTCTTCCTTCTTTTTTCAGGCACCGTTCATTATTGTAACTAACGAAATTTCTTTTTGAAGAATGTGTCTCGTCGGTTGGAAAATCTGAGTGCCCACTGCTTTCCGCGTACAGCAGGCAAACACAGCAGCCTGTAAAAATAAACTGAGAGCGAAAGCCGCGAGACAGGGCTTCGTGTTTTTTGTATGGTGTGCCGTGTCAAGTGACGGTAACCTTAGGGTTTGGGTTGAGGGCGTTGGTGTGCTGGAAGACGGCCTCTAGCACGTGATATTGGCGGTTGTTGGTGGCGTTATTCATACTTCCATGAAACTAATTGGGTATATTTGGGATAGTAAATATTTAAAACATTATATAAATCTCTCTAAAGATACAAAACATAGATATTTTTGGTGATTTCACAAACCGTACCATTTCATAAGGTCTCGTATCCACTTATCACCTGAGTTAAAGTTATTCTAGTGTGAAAATTGGTTACGTCCTTATTTTTATTATTAATAATAACTGAAGTTTTGTTTTGTGTTCGTCGTTATATTACTCTCTAATGATCTCTCACTATTGAACTTTGGAGAATGAGGAGCCAATACCTATAGCAATACATATATACAATTTTTACCGATTCAGATTGGAGGAATTCCAAAACGATCTCATACTACTAACACCTGATCTTTAAAGGTATATTTAGTTTTGATTATTTTTATTTCTGTTGAATATTTTACAGTTTTTAGCAATGTCAAGATGTAATTAAATGTTTGCTTCCGTAAACAAATCATTAAAAGTGATATTTTTAAATCTCTATCGATTGTCACGAATTCTTCTTCAAATGCCTCCAAGGCTATTATTTATTACTTACTGACCCTTTCGTCTTTATCTGCTTTATTTAGAAATCCCTATTGTGCTATTTCTATTGGCTACAGCCGCCAAAGGTTCATCAAGTTCTTTAGGATACCCAAAGTCACCAGGTTAAACCCTAATATCCAACCCTAGGGCTTCCGACGGAAATAAAATTAGAAAAACCGGACGCCATCGCCCAGGAAAAAGAAACAAAAGCCCCATCCGTTGCTTTTGCAAGTGATGCAAGAGAAACCATCGCACACAACCAGCGATGTTGTCGTCGCGTGCCTCGAGGGTATTCACCGGAGGAGTTTCTTTTTTGTTTTTATTTTTTCCTCAGAAATTTGGTATTTAGGATTTTCAGCTTTTCCATTTCCAGGGAATCACTCGTACGAATAAGGTTTTTTCTCCCATTTATTTGGTAAGCTGGAAATACTTTTTTTTGTTTTCGTTTTGTTTTTGATTTAGTTCTTTGATCTTTTTCAGCACATCATCATCGTTGAAATTTATTATTTTTGAGGAGCTACCCTTCTACTACATCAGATTTAACGTCAGCAATCTCATAAAAAGAAAAGGATACGGAACTCTAAAGCAAATCGCAATGAAGGATACATTCTCATCCCTTTCGTTATTACAGAAATTGACAGAAAAAATTTGTTAAATTAACTCTTCGTGGAATCACAAACGCTTCTAACATTTTTTTTACGTGGATTATATTATGTGTTTCTATATCTTTTTTTTTTCTTTTCTTTTCTGTCTCTGCTTCTGGTTTCCTTTCCTTCAACTTTTCTGTACTCATGTGATTTATTGAATAAAAAGTACTGCCAAGTATAGATCATCGTATCTATTCTCTTCTTGTCACGAACGGAGGATAGATAGTAGAAGCATTATTATTAAAACTATTACAAAATCTTTAAATGAAGACTTTTTTCTTTTGCTTTTAAAACAATATCTACGTTGCCAGCCTCTGCTTCCTTATAGTGTCCTTCCTCTAATTCTTCCATTTTGTACAAGTATTAACCTCATACTGTAAATTTCTACAGGTATTACATTTATTTTTACCATTTCATTTTTTTGTGGGTTTTTTATTATAAATACAACTCAAGTATTACTAATACCTAATAAAGTACAAAATTCAACACACATACAAGGACGTCAAATAACAACTATAAGTTGAACCTAAAATATTAAAACAATAAAAATTAATTGAATAAAGTAGTGACTTTATGCTGATATTTAACTGATAATAATATAATTCATCTCCATTTCCTCTTTTCTGTTTTTTTTATAGACAATCGCAAGAAACGAAAATAACCATTATTTTTATATTCTCTATTTTGCAATACTATTCCACATATTATTATTTTAGCATTATCAGATAACTAACTATCTCTGTTTTTTATCACTTAAAGTAAAGGAAAAAACAACTAGACTTTTTATCATACTCTACTCTGCATTATCCGTTTCCTTTTACTCCTACGTCTAGACATCACACTCTGACAGATCCCCCATTCTAAATCAGTCAAAATTTTACCCATCGATCAGAATATGTTTAGATTTGCCCAACAATCTCAACCATTGAAGGGCAAACTGCCAAATCAGTTTATTCCAAACACCGGGAAGCATTCATATAACCCAAATATCGCTAGATATAACTCACCTATGTCTATGGACGCTCAACAAAATGCCATACCTTCTCAACAACAGCAACAACAACCCCAAGCATACGCTATGAACATGAACCATAATGATTCAGAAGGTATGCAATTCCAAATGAATCAAATGACTCATATGAATATGGGTAGAATGCAAATGAACAGCAATAGTCAACCATTTCAACCACAACAACAACAACATCAACATCAACAACATGAGGTTATGAACTATAATAATGGGAATAATCGTAATGGTAATTCTCAAGCTCAAAACAGGAACAATTACGGTGGTCCACAAAAGAATGGCGGTAGAAACAACCGTCCTTACAACAATGGCAGTAATAACAACAGTAACAGTAGTCTCCAAAGCAATTCATCGTATAATTCAATGAACTCTGGTAAACAAAGACAGTACAATAAGGGCAACAACAATAACAAAGGTAACAATAAGAATAATACCATTAGCCCAGATTCACCATGGTATCAGAAAGTGACTGCTTTTGAAGAATGTGTTTCTCAAACGTTGTACATGTCTCAAACACCAAGACGTAAGAATATCAAACATCGTTCAGAACACCCAAACTCTAATGCCAACCCAATGTTCTGGGATTCTATTGGAAGAGCCATGGGTTTGTACCATGATTTAATCGATACACCTGAGTTGAACTCAGACAGAGTCTCCAAGTTAGTCCATTTGTTACACAATGGACTAAGAGCCAATAGAAATCAATTAACCAGAATGAACAAGAAACCGGATTATGATTCCCAATCATTCCACAAAGAAATGACCAACTATTTATGCAAATCTCTGAGAGAAATCTCTGAAGATGTTCTTAACAGTAAAGTTGAATTAAACGAATATGGTGCCATGCATTTAATCACTGCCTTCAAGGAACTATTATTGTTTGAAGAGGCTGTCGAGATTTGGAAAAGTGCCATCAATGGCATTAATAGTTACACCTCCAACATCTTCTTAAACCCAAGAGTCGTTGGTGTCATTTTGCCAATCCTGTATGATAACGGTGTTTCATACCCTGAAATTCAACAACTTTATGAAAAGTCTTCATCAATGATTAATTATTTCCATCCGAATTTATCTGTTGGTATGATTAGAGCATCCTTATCTGCCAACGAAAACGAAATGGCTTTGAAATTATTCCAAAAATTATGCCAAGAATCTACAGAAATGAAGTATGGTTACTTAATTGAAACCCATTTATCATTCATTGGTGAATGTAAGGATTTGAATGTGGCTCAAACTTTCTTTGACAAGGCTTTAAATGATGAAATGCCATATAAGATTGATTTACAAGTCTCATACGTTAAGTCGTTCCTAAGAAATATCTGGACGCAGACTCATGATTTCAACCACATTTATCAAATTTGGTACAAATCTTCTCTACATTACGGGAGACATGTTAACCATGGTATTTCTTCCTCTTTGAATGATACCTTCTTCGACATTTTCTTTGAAAATTTTGCTCATAAAAAACAAGAGGGATTTATGACTTTACAAAACTTGATTAACACCTACAAGAATATCAAAAACATTGATGAACCATTTTTCAATATAATCTTGGCTAAGTGCACTATCTGGCACGACAGGGAAATTCTAGAATATATTGATAAGAGTTACGAGTTATTCAATATCCCAAAGACCATCGTCGCTTACAGAATCCTGTTGAAATCTATGGGATCTGTTGATGACACCTCGAATGATGAAATTCTACAAAGATGGATTGATTTAATCCAGAAATCTGATGAGATTGGTCAGAAATTTATCGCCAATGCTGATTGGGCTGCCTTGAGAGACGCTACTGTCACTTGGACTCAATCTCATAGAGATAATGGTGTTCCTCTAACTCAAAACTCAATTAACGAATCGAAGGCAAGCTCCGTGGCACCTACTCGTTCTGGTACACCAACTCCAAAGAATAATATGGAGTCGGTTAACGTTGGTGACGTAGACTTCTACTCCCACCCAGCTTTCCAAGCATTGAATGCTTCTGGTGCCTTTGACGAGTTTACAAACTACAATGCCTCTACTCAATCTGCAACTGTAGTGTCCAGTCCAGGTACAGTCCATGAAGAACCTTTATTAAAGTCTATTTCTCATGAGAAGGAAAGTGCTGCTGTTGACAGCAGAATGATCCTTTACCTTAAGATTGTTAAACGTTACTCTCCATATTGTCGTGACTCTAGACAATTGGCAAGACTAACCACTGGTACTGCTGTAAAGTATTCAGTTCTACAGGAGGTATTAAACCAATTTCAATCTTTGAACGTCGGCAGTATTACCGTTCCAAAGTTGGTAAATCTAAAACCATCATGTGCCTGAGGCAATGCTTGGTAACAACATTTTTCTATGCATCATTCTTCTTTATACATTTTAGCATGTTAAGAACTGGTATTCTTTTACCTTTATTGTGATTAGTTTATTTCTTTTTTTCTTTCATTAACAAACTATCACAACTAATCTATTCATAAACCAAAAATTTATTATATTCAACGTATTTCAATAATAATATTATTCTAATAAGAACTTTGACATCTATAAAAACATAATTACTAAATTTATAATACAATCTTTTAAAAATATTAAACAAATATAACCATTATTCATTTTATACATCTATTTAATGACATTTGAGCATATTTCCAAAATCCAAAAAATAGAAAAAGCTATATAGCATGTTGCCTCAAACGAGATGAAATAAGCAAGAATCAAAATTTATGACTTTTAATTGTTTGATATTCAACCTTTTTCATCCCTTCCTTTAGTTTCTCCTCTAGCAAATTAATACTTAGAACGATATCTTTCTCCTCCTTCCCTTCAATTAATAGGTAAAGTTTTGGCGGATCCTTTTCTGTTTCTGGACCTTGACCTGGAGGATAATATCTACCCTTATTTGTAATACTACAACCAGTTTCATTCTTGACAAATGATAGGGTTACATTCTTGGACATTTCCCACCTTACCAATTGAGGGAGATCATTGATATTAATATTTGCACTATATATAACAGAACCGTCGGAATTATCTTCTTTAATGATGGTATACTCTAACTTTGGAATTATTACATCTTCCTCAGAACCATTATTTGTTTCATTATCCACCTCCTTCACTGGTTCTTTCTTCGTAACACTCTCTCCAGATATATTTTCATATTGTTTTCTTTCTTTTAATTCTTTTTGCTCCCTCTTTGAATCTAAATTATCCAGACCTTTCCCACCAAAACCTTTGGATAACATATATTTTCCGTTTTTCATACCATCTTCAAACTCTTTACTCATCGCTCTCAATTTAGTTACCTGTTGTACAGGTTGTTTCTCTAATTGATTATGCATCGCCTTGGTTAATATATATGCAGCTGCTATATCATCTGGTTCTAAAATTGATACTGCTTTACCATGGTGTACTCCTCGGGCTGTCCTACCTGTAGTATGAACATATTGAGCAAACGTCTTAATAGCATTGTATATTACCACCAATGAAACTTCAGGGACATTTAGACCCCTAGACATGACTTCTGTACACAGAAGGATACTATTTTTTGTCTTTTTAAAAGATTCAAGATTAGAAATTCTTTCCTGGTATTGCTTACCGGCATGTATAGAGAAAATCTCAAACCCATTACGTATTAATTGTTTTTCAACGAAATCACATATATGTTGACTAGCAACAAAAACAATTGTTTTCTCATCCGATTGCTCATCCAAGTTTTCATCATCTTGAAGATACTGGGTTGTTTTATTAATTTGATTTGACAGAATTGAAATTAAGACACCAAATTTGTCAGAAGCAGAATCACATACCTTAAAAGATTGCTCAATATTTTCATTAACCATATTTCCTGAATTAACTGTAATGCTTAAAGGTTTATGCAAAACTCTCATGGCAAAACTACGTAATTTGTTAGGAAACGTTGCACTAAATAAAACACATTGTTTATCGGGTCTAATTGATCTCATAATTTGGGTAATTTGAGGTTCAAATCCCATATCAAACAATCTATCAGCTTCATCAATCACGACAAATGTAACACGTCTTGTGTTAACCAATTTCCCCACATTTAGTGTCAACAAATCGATAAATCGACCCGGTGTCGCCACCAATATTTTAACACCCCTCTTCAAAATTCTAATCTGCTCTTTTAGTTCTGAACCGCCTGTACAACAAACACAAGAAAGTTCTTTGTCCTTTCCAATAAAGTTGACAGTTTCTTCATATATTTGTTGTGCTAGCTCCCTGGTTGGGGCCAAAATCAAGCCTAACGGCCCTGTTTCTTCAGGTTCTAGGTTTCTTTGGGCTTTGATGTGTCTTATCAACGGCAATAAATAAGATATAGTCTTTCCTGAACCTGTCTTAGATATTCCTATTACATCTCTACCAGACATGATCGCTGGAAGAGCTTGGGCTTGAATAGGTGTCAATTGTTTAAAATTTAAAGTACTTGTGATGATATTCATAAGGGACGTGCTCAAACCTAGTTGGGACCATCTAGTGACAGGATGTGGGCAATCCTTACCTTTAATAACAAGATTATCCAGATCTAGTCTCAATTCTTCTACTTGTTCTGTAGTCATTTTATGTACATCCTCTTGTTCGGTATAGAATTGTTTTTGGAAAGGCTCCAATTCCGTTTTATTATATTTCACCTCTGTGACCTTCTTCAGTTGCTTCATCTTTGCAATCTTCTTGTAATGTGCAGCTTGTTTCTCATCTGAATCATCTATTATCGGATCATCCTCACCATTATTTTCATCGTCTCCATCAAGAATATCTATACTGGTCAACTTATTAGATTTGGAGTCATATTCCTCTTTTTGTTTATTCAATTTTGACATAAAACAATCAAGGGCATCGGAATCAGCTCGTACTGTGGGATGAGGTAAAATATCATTACTTTCAAGCTTTATTTTATCATTGCTAGATATTGGGGGTTTAAATAATGGAATGACTTGGTTATTTGGTACTTCGTAATCAACATCGAAAGTCAGTTTCTTTTTCTTGTTCTTTTTAAGTTTCTTAGGTTTGAGCGATATAGGTTCTGGTGCTTCAGGTTCAGTTTCTTTCCTTTTCTTCAATTTCCAAGCTTGCAACTTTTTCCTTCTATCTGCAAATGCTTTATCTTCGATCTTCTCAATTATGGGAACATGCTCGTTTACGGATGTTGTTGCTATTTTTGCTTTAATGACATCCTGTCTAGCTTTTTGACTTTTCCATTTTGATAATTTCTCCCTTCTGGCCTTTAAAAGTTCCTCCTTTTTGGCTAACTCATCTCCATTACTCATAGTCAATATTCGAACCTCAGTCTCTCTCAAATATGGTCGTTACTCATGTTTTGCATCTTTATTCCTATATTATATGATAAATACAAAATTATCGATTTTTCAAATTTGAAATTTTTACCTTGTAAAAGGGACTTTCAAAATTAATTTTAAAACAGGGAACAGATGTCGAAGGTACTTAACTAGAATAACAAGAACATCACGGTCTTTGCACACCCCCATTCAAGAATCACTGATTGAAATTAGAACAGATCAATACTGTAGATATTACTAATGAGTTTGAGACCTGAAAAACCGGCATGGATGTCCCAGGAGGACTACGATCGTCAGTATGACATCGATTCAAAGGACAGTCGCACTGCCGCAGCAACAAGTGGACCAACCAATGAAAATACTCAATCTCCAGAACCAATTAGTGGTTCCGAGTCAACAAACTCAGCTCTTAACAAGGTTGAGAAACGTAAGCATAGTAGATATGATCAAGATGAAAGGAAGAGGAGAACTGAACAACAAAGGATTAGAGATGAGCAATTCAAGCAGCATGAAATAGAATTAACAGCCAACAAGACATTGAATGTGAATCAGATCGTCAGAGAACATTATAATGAAAGAACTGTGATTGCGAATAGATCGAAGAGAAACTTGTCACCCATTATCAAGCTTCGTAACTTTAACAATGCAATCAAGTATATGCTTATTGACAAATACACTAAACGTGGTGATGTTGTTCTAGAATTAGGTTGTGGTAAAGGTGGTGATCTAAGAAAGTATGGTAATGCAGGCATTTCACAATTCATTGGAATTGATATATCAAATGCATCTATTCAGGAAGCTCATAAGAGATACAGATCAATGAGAAATCTGGAATACCAGGTTATCCTAATTACTGGTGACTGTTTTGGAGAATCTCTGGGTGTGGCTGTGGAACCATTCCCACAGTGTAACTTTCCATGTGATGTTGTTTCAACCCAATTCTGTTTACATTATGCCTTCGAGACAGAAGAAAAAGCCAGAAGAGCTCTATTAAACGTTTCCAAATCTCTAAAAGTTGGAGGTTACTTCTTCGGAACAATTCCTGATTCTGAATTTATTCGTTATAAATTAAACAAAATAAACAAAGAGGTTGAAAAACCAAGCTGGGGTAATTCAATTTACAAAGTTACATTTGAAAACAATGAATATTCTAAGAATGGAAATGAATTTCTTACACCATACGGACAAATGTACACATTCTGGCTAGAAGACGCCATTGATAATGTTCCCGAATATGTGGTTCCATTCGAAACCTTAAGAAGTTTGGCTGATGAATATGGTATGAGTCTTGAATTACAAATGCCTTTCAACAAGTTTTTTGCTCAAGAGATTCCCCAATGGTTCCATAAATTTTCACCAAAGATGAAAGAAGGCCTTCAAAGATCAGATGGTAGGTTTGGTATTGAAGGGGCTGAGAAAGAAGCAGCGGCTTATTTCTATACGATGTTTTGTTTCCGTAAAATTAAGGATATTCCAAACTAATACTCGTTAGGACGTTAAAGAACAAACTACATGTACACATTCATTATTACTCCTTCATTTCATTCCATTTACATTTTATAATTTTGCTACAATGATGTACCCGATATATCCATGATTTAATTTATATATATATATAAAATGGAGTATATATTATTCTATAATGCTGTAGTGACAGTCATAGTTTGTGAATTGATCAACATTGTGGGTGGAAGATTCCTTAACCATATGTCGATGTCCTCCACGTACCCAACGCTTCCCTCTAAGTCTTGATGTGTACCCAAGGCGGGTATAGGTAAGGTAGAAAATATTAAGTTAGATTTCCTAGATAGTTGAATCATCATATCGTTTAATACTAGATATTGCGCACGACTTGGTAAATCACCAAAACCTAAATTTTCCATAGCTTCCACTAAACTGCTATCTGAACAACACGGAGAGATCTCAGGTAAGATAGATCTACCCGATAAACTTTCCCTTGGTGATTTTATTGTTTCAATTTCATCTTCAATAGGAACAATCGATGGTTTATCACCTGTACTATCCTCTATAACCTTAGTATTTGGTAACGCTTTACTTGAAAAGACAGGCTTTAAATTTTGAGATGAAGATCGTTTTTGAAATTGACTTATCGAAGAAGCTAATCTCTTGACGTGTTGATGTTTCATTTCTCTTGCAACTTCACCTATAGACAAATGAGAATCTCTCATAGAGTCTGTTTCGTTTTCTGAATCATCACTCATTATTGGTGTCTGTATAACACCCTTTGGCATATTTGATTCCATTTTCAAGGAAACACCTAGTTTTTGCATTTTTGATGTGCTATATTTTCTAGTCTTTTTAACATTGATATTAGTTGAAAATTGTTGATCTTGACTTTGGGCAGGTGTCGTGGTTGAGAAACGTCTTTTGGGTTGTAGAGTTTCTCTTGCTTCAATAAGATCCTTCCACCAAGTGTTATCTTTTAATTCTTCATTAACATATTCCATTGCAATCGAATTACCTTTTACAATTGTATTATAAACTCTAAACTGATCCAATGATACAACAAGTACTGTTGCCTCTATTCTTAAAACCTGCAACAATTTTACCATTCTTTCATTTTCAGAAATTCTTTCATAATCATTCTCAACAAATAATATTATTCGAAGTTCATGGGTATCTCTCCATTCAGGGACAGTGATTAAAATCGCACCTAATTGTAAAATCAAAGTGTAGGTGTCGAAATTAGATGTTATAATAGATGGCTTACCAGGGTCTGTATTCATTGTAGCTGACATTTGAATTGGATAAAGATCGATAACTTGTTTTTTACCTGACAATGTTTTGCCCTTCTCTGGAAGTTTTAATTTTCCAAATCCATAAGCAACAGCAATATTTGATTGCATTAGCGATAAATCCTCAATTACTTCAACCCATTGTGTTATTCTGACTTTTTCCTCATTTTTAAACATATCTGTAGGTAATGGAAGTGCTCCCATTGGAATATTAACACAAACAGCTTGTTTCGTTACATCTCTAGTAGCAGTTAATTGTGGTTCTTCACGTTGTGCATTATGATGACGGTAGGACTCCAGATCAAAAAACCCAATAACTGAAATATTGGGTTTCATACCACCAAGACCTGACCCTAAATAGACGTTTCTTATCCCCCATAGCAAACTTGGCCCAGTAGCAACCTGAACAAAGGCTTTAATTTTTGACATGTCTCTTATCTTTTCCCAAGCATGTTTTTGTTTCTTCAATTCTGAATACTGTGTCTGAAAATCGTTGGTCACTGTAACATGACCTAAAACGTAAAGCCCACCTTTCTTTAAACTATTACAAAATCTAATCAAGGTCCAACTAGTTCTTGGATTATCGACAAATAGTAATACTTGTGGTCTCCAATACTTTATATTATCTTGACGTAATCTCAATAAATATTTTCTTACCTGATGATAGATTAAACTTTGTGACACATCACCCCATGGTTTGGGAGGACAGAAGTAATGGATAATTAAGAATAAAAGACCCATGGATAGGATGATGGCAGAAGCTGTTATTCCATCAACTACGATCATAGCTACCGTCGAGAGGACTGCACCGCTCAAAGCGGTGTAACGATCAAAATACTTAAATGAGGGTCTAAAATTTGGTGCTGCTGCAACTTCTAATAGGAAACACGCAAGGTTCATCACTATAAAGGTCATCAGGAACGTTAGAGTGATAAATGAAGCAATCTTGTTAACATCAGATAATAGGCATAATTGAGTCAACATCCATGTAAATATTAACGAATAAATGGGTCTACGACAAAATATGGAAAGACCAGGTAAGATGTTATCCATTGAAATAGCCTCTAATACATAAGCTGCCCCAACCATACCAACAATTATAGAAAACAAAGAGGTTGACAACTCACCCAAAAAAATTATCCATTGGACCCCACTGACAGATTGAATTACTTGAACCTCAGAATATAATGTTTCTCTTGGAATCGAACAACTCATAGCTAATACGACAACAGTGTAGCAAATAAAAGTAAATATCAACCCCCAAAGAGTTCCCTTAGGAATGGATTTTGATGGCTTACGCAATTCACTGGACATCCCAGCACCAGCAAATATCCCTGCAGTAGCTGGGAAGAAAACACCAAACAGATTGCTAAATGTTTCCTTTTTCTTTAAGAGAGATCCAGCCGCACCCTTTGTGAAATGAGGCATCAAATTACCATAGAATGTTTCCCAGGATGGACCACTATAGAGGATCTTACCATCATGGAAAGGTGACTTGAATATCACTGACACAGGGATTGATATTATAGAAATTGCAAGAACGATAAACAATACGTTACCTGCTCGAGATACAGTTTGAGATCCAACAAATGCAACTCCGAAACATATAAAGAGAATAATAGTAGCATATATGAAAACGTAAATTTCTCCTCTTGGTAATAATGCAAATAATGCTGCAGGCGGTTCATCTTTGATATTTTGACCTAAGTTGTATAATATTGGTTCCACGATACCAATTGCATTCATACCACTATTAAAGACTTGCCCTAAGAAGAAAACCAATCCGATGGATCCCCCAAATTCCGGTCCCAAACATCTTGAGATCATATAATAAGCACCACCACCTCTAACAGTACCATTTGTTGAAATAGCAGATATACTAAGAGTTGTTAACAAATTGATCAAATAACTGAGTAACAATAATGCAATGGTACAAATGATACCCAATTGACCAAGGATAAAGCCAAATCTTAAAAACATCAGAATTGAGAGCACATTTAACGCTGTCGGTACAAACACACCGTCATAGGTTCCTAATTTATTCTTATTTGGGTTATTTGGATCATATCGCGACGATATCTTTTGACCTATGGGGGTAGCCCTATAACTGAAATATGTCTCATTATCCCTACTTTCGGACAATAACGACGACGATTCATCTACTGTTGATGACGGTCTATGACTTCCTGGAATCCTGTAGAACTTGCTACTCATAATTACAATACGGAGCTGGAATAATCCTATGTATGCAAATAAGATTTAAAAATATAGGGTTTATACTGTTTTAATGAAGTTGAATATTTGATTTAACTATCGAAAAAACAGAAAAATGAAACAAAAAAAGTTTCGAAGAAAATGAATAAAGTCAATTGCTGGTATGTCCAAATGCTTGATCCACTCCTGGTGTATGTCTTATCCTCCTTGTGTTTGACTTATCTTTTGTAACTACTGAAAAGTATTAAAAGTTGCTGTTGCAGCCTTTATTTTTTGATACATCAGGCGGTAACGAAAATGGGAATATCAGCTATACAACGGAATGAATAAGAACAGACGGGTATTTAGAGACACAAGATCATAATATCCTTTCAGAACCCTACGATGTATGCTGTCTATGCTTTGGGATTATTGTATTGTACAAACTATATGTGTTTATATATATATATTTAGGTATATAGATAAGCTATAGTGGATATGGAGGACATATCTATCCCTATTTCTTAGTCTTTTTCCTGCTGCCGTTCTCCTCAAGATGGCCCCAAAGTTCTTCTACATCTTGTTCAGTTTCATTTTCTGGTTGATGTCTTTTCTTTTGGGCACGTTTGCCCTTACCTGGAGGTTGTGGGATCTCTACTTCATCGTCATCCAACATCAGTACATTATTACATTTACCAGTAACGTATACTTTAGCTATTCTTCTTGCAGACTCCAGATCAAATACACGAACATATCTATCTAGACCACCTTGTAATAAATATTTACCCTTTACGGTTTTTACGAAAAATGCAGAACCAACAATGTCGTCCTTACCAAATTTAGTAATCAATCTACCTTTATTATTGAATCTCATAACATTCTTTTTCAAATCAGTAGTAACAAAACTGAAATCATTAACATCGGAACTCTTTAAATTACCAGCAGCAGTCATTAGTTTCTCATTGCCTACCATCTCTAGACATGCTAGTGGATCACGTTTCAGTAGAAGATCAATGTATTCTAACGGTTTGCGACCATGTTGTGTTTGATATACTGCGAGATGAGACCAATGTGTCACTACTACAAATTGATAATTCAATTTATCAGACTCGATTTTATTAGAATCCTGAGGGTTTAGAAATTTCAATGCGGTAGGCCAAACAGGGATTCTCATATCTAATCTATCATTAGCTACATTTTTAGCCTCCCATATTTTTGTTAACTCCTTAAAATTAGCGCTTAATTTGACTAACTTCACAAGATTCTCTTCACCACCATATGCAAACACTACAGATTTAGAGTTTGTATTATCATATATTTGAGCAAAATCCAATGGCGCAATGATCTCATGAGTTTTGATTAATTTCAAAGTATTCTTCTTGATGGAAATAATATGGACCAACCCTGATTTCGAAGCCAATAACAATACATTTTTATTATTTGGTAATTGGTGCATACTCACAAATGTATCATATATCTTAGTTCTCATCGACGACTTCTTTGAAGCATTCTCCAATCTGGTATCATTTAGTAAATCAGACACGGTAGATAACAATTCAAACTCTGTAATATCGAACATTGGTTTCAATACAACAGGTGCTTCTTCTTTATCAGTAGTGGCAGTAATGTTATCGGTTGTGACATCGTCGGAATCCACAGTGTGAGGCACCCTTGTGCAATCATACAATTCCACAGAACCATTGTCTCTGGCTACCACCAGAGAACCTCCAACACTCAATAACTGACTAATCTTAGCATTTGCATCCTCTACCATATGAGCCTTTACGGAAAAAGGCTGTCTGGCGGTCTGTACTGATGTGTCTGTATCTTGGTTACAGACTATTTCCTTCAGGGAACCATTATGTGTGCAACTCACCAGTAATCTCATTTCTTAGAGTTGAAAGCAAAGGGGGCGACAAAACGTATTTACTTTTGGCTTAATACAACAGATCTACTATCAAAATGTAGACTCTATACAATGTCCTGAACCCTTCTCACAGGTGTCTTTAACCATCCTTCCACTTGTATCGATGTGCACATCGTAAGAATTGAAATTTCTGCGATGAGCCAAAAGTGAAAATTTTCGCTGAGCTGAAAAATTTATTGCAGGCGATGAGTTTTCAAGAGAAAGAGAGACAGACACAGACAGAGAGAGAGAGAGTAATGGTGTTTAGCAGTTTGGTGTTTGTTTATTACAAGGGTGAGTGTGATCATGGAAGATACCATGGTCATAAAGGAAGCGTATGTATAATTATATAAAGTTTGCGACTATTGTTGTGCCCGGTGACCAACGGAGAAATTTTCTCCAGTAACAACAACCTTACCATATCTTGAATACCACAGGCGGCATAACTCATTGTACCCTACCTTACAGTATTAGTCTATAGGGATATGTAATCACCCTTTTTATCTGCATCTTCTCTGGCTATAACGTCGAATTTGGGCCTTTATTTACTATCGACATTTTGTTGACGAATAAAAAGCGACGAACGTTAAAACAACAAATTTAACGACAGAGAACAATAACACTGGTGAAAGAGAGAGAGAGAGTAGAAGAAGAAAGTATACGATCGACAGAACATGGCAGAATTAGAGACCAAGGAGAAGCAGAAGAAGGAAGAAAGCGTATCCTCGGAAGAGGATTACAACGAAGAGGAAGATGAGGATTTCGACCCAACCAGAATAGATAAAGATAATGATATCGAGACGGATTCTGAGGCTGAAACCGAGTCAACTGACATTAACAGCAACAACGCTAAAGTAGCTGCAAAACCTGTGGATTATTCACGTATAGAGAGTGAATATGGAGGGCTAGTTAAGACGAGGAGAGCACGTCATGAAGAAGAAGAGGTTAACAAGAGACGTAAATATGAAAATATACAAAACACGCCTATTTCTGAAACTGCTAAAAGTATATGGGATGAAATGCAACTGCAGAGTAAGAAACGTCTGTCGAAGCACCAAGGTAGTAATGCATCTATAATATCGGCCGTTGTGGAAGATGTTGGCAATACCACGGCAGATAGCACAACAAATGAGGAACATATAACGATAGAGAGGACTTATACATTTGCCGGAGAGGTAATTCATGAAAAGAAAACGGTTCCCAAGTTTAGTGCAGAAGGTCAGGAGTACTTAAAGAACGGTAAGTTTAAAACTCCGGAATCTCAACCCAAGGAACCATCAGTGAACAATAGCAAGATAGATACCATAACACAGGAACAGAGGTCGAAACTAAGAAGACCACTCAAGAGGGAGCCGATACTAGAGAAAATAATCTCAGGTTCCATCAAACCAAAACTAACAACATTAGAGAAATCGAAGCTGGACTGGGTCAACTATGTCGACAAAGAAGGGATCACCGACGATCTTGCAATACATAACAGAGACGGTTACCTGGCTAAACAGGACTTTCTCGACCGTGTCGAAACACACAAAGACAAGAAATACAAGGAGTTCAGAAAGACTCAGTTGGCCATGCAACTTCAAACCCAGCAGAAGTAATAGTCATGGGTTTCCATATATCTATACAGTCTTACATATTCGTTAATAGTGATACGATTTTAAGTATTAGGGTTTACACTTTTGTCAAATCCCTGATTTGGGGACATTTGTTCTTATTTAGGGCTGTTTCCGTATTTTACACCTTTTTGAGGGGCGCGAGCGTAGACACCCAATACAAAAATGTAATGGCAATGGTCAGAGCTTAACTAGATATTAGCCATAGTATACTTTATTTCCTTACTTATTTTCATATTTTCTCAGTAAAGAGTGTTGTCGTTTCAGCATGGTACCCCGAGGGTTCATTTAGCTTTGGATGAGCATTCCTCATTTGCGGGAAAATATATTAGAAGATGGGCAACATCCAAATATAGGGCTCTATAGAAACGCCCTGAAATCCCGGAATTCGGTAAAATTTTAAACCCTAACTGCGCAAGGAAAAAATTTTCTTCAGCTCCGCCGCCCATCGAAAAAGTATAAAAGGAGCGAAAGGATTGCGATTTTAATTTTTTCATTTTTGCCACTCTCTTTGTTTTCTAATAGATTCGTTTTTTTTTTGATTTTTGTTTAAAGACCCCAAATCTCTTTGCCTTTTGGCTTAGATCAAGTGTAGTATCTGTTCTTTTCAGTGTAACAACTGAAATGACCTCTATGAGGCTCATTACCTTTTTTTTGTTACAAACACATTTTTTGAAAACAAACTTTTTTGTTCTGTTGTTGCAGCCTTATGCTCTCCTTTACCGGAGAGTTTAAGTGTCCTGCACTGGAGAACAGGGTGTGGAGAAACTTTGGGAATTCGTATATTGTCCTTATTTAGAGACCTTGTGTTTCTTTCTAAGGAGTGATTGTTTCGAACTTCGATCTGGGGACCTTGTGGTTTTGTGGGTATGACGGTTTATGCTTAATCTAATTTTGCGATCATTGAGTTCGGCGTTTTTGTACGTTTATTTTTGTTGTGAATTTGTTTTAAATCTTTTTTATTTGTTGAATATTTTGATTGAATCTAATATTTGAGGAAGTATTTGCCGAAGTAGGTTATGATTTTTAAGTTGAGTTACAGATAGAATGAGCAGTAAAGGAGTTTTTTTTGGAGAAGGATGAATACTATATTGAGGCGTCCTTAACAAGGTTTGTCTTTACAAATATAAATATTTGTAAAGGATGTAATAGGGTAAGCTTGCTTATCCCCCTTATTAAATCTGTGGCGCTGAGATGGATTTCATCCTTCTTTAAGGAAGATTTTTTTGTTTGTTTTTGTTTGGAATTTATCGATTTTTCTTTTGTGATTTATTTTGTAATACAGCTGTTTGAGAATATTTGGATAATATTAATGTCATTTGATTATTAAATTTTTTTTTGGCTGATGAATAATGATTTTAGACCTTTATTGATGGGGATGTAAAAAGTTTCCTGTATGGAAGCGTCACTATAGACTTTTTGGTTTTTATAGACTTCAATACTTTGAACCATGAGGACCTCGTGAAGGATTGTTGTTTGACAGTCATTGATATGTCGTTGAACTATATGTTAGGTTGATCGCGGTCCCGCTTTTTACACGCATGTCATTAGTCGTTGGATGTGTTGAGTAACATGATATTTTTATTGTGATTTATTTTGCTTTGAAAGTTTATGCTATTCTTCCCGTTTAATGATGTTGATCTGATTGCTTGATCGGCCTTTTTAATCTTCGCACCTCCCTCTAAGATTTTTTGTTGCAATGAGGTCATTCAACAATTTTAGAGAGTTTAAAAGGAAGTATTATTATTATATTATACATGATCTATATCTATTTACTAACGATTCTGTCAGAAGTCGTTGTTTCCTCTTTGAGAGAAAACTTTTGAACAAATCACTCTCGATGATAATATCGGGATGATTGTTACTATTTGGTAAAATCTGATTCTTTGTTGATAAGAATTCTTTATAACCTGATGAATGAATCATTAATTCGATGTACCATTGTTTATTGAATGTCACAAATTCCTTCATTGAAAGGACAAATCTCTTATCGTTAAGATTTTTATTGTTATGAATATGTTCATCCAAAGTATGAAACAACTGAAACGATTCGAAAAAAGATTTGAAAAAATGGAAGCATTGTTTGATGATCAATTCCAGGGATTGCAACGTCCTACTATTCAACTGATCGATCTCTTCAAGGAACATAACGATCAGCTCGTACGTGTCTGTCAATCTCCTGGCATCCACATTCGAAGATTTGATGTTCTCCCTGATATTAAGTAAAACATTGACCAAGGTTCGATGACGATGACGGTTCGTGTAAATCAGCGACTCCAGCAAGATATCGATGAGCTCTCTCAAGGGTCTGACCAGCGACTCCACAAGGCATCGGGTCAGCTTGCGACCGAATTGGTGTTTGGTGGTTGTAGCTGTGTTGTAATTCATGGTAGTAATGGGAACTCATTGTGGCGTGGGTGATAACTATTCTAAAAACTTTCTATTTATTAACTATATTCACTTCATTGTTCCTGATGGGGGAGTGTGTACACTGGAAGTAGAAGTGCCAGTAATAAATGCATACCTGAAGAATCGAAACACAACTGCCAGACCTGTTGTCCTTATATAGTTGTGTATCGTATCCATGACTAATAGCAACTTTTCCTGCCAAAGCTGGCGACACACCCAAAATCGAGTTCGCTGCGCGGTGCACAGCCAAAATTCTACCTTTTATATGATGAGTCACTGTGACCAACAGACAATGGCAAGTGACACAGACAGCAGTTGAATACTTAAGGCTCATTGATTTTGCAGGTTGTCAAGTGTTGCTACCAAGCTTCACAGCTCGTAGATTTCATCTTGGACTAGGGTCTACTATATGTGAACACGGCGAAGGACCCTCTCCCCCCCCCACAGCAACAAGACACATTGTAACGTCTTGCGGAGACTGCACATTACAAACTGCAACCGCAATACCAGTAATACACTATATCTCACCTGTAATTATCTTATGTCTACATACTTCTTAATGTAATCAAAGTGGAATTTGAAAACTTTTTGCTGGCTTGCTTTTTTTTTCAGTATTGAAAAATTAGCTTAACTCATCACTCAAGACACTACAAACAAAAGGAAGAAAGAAGCATCAAACATGTCTATGTCATTCGGATCCGCTTCTGTCGAGGACGCTCCAGATGCAGCTATCGCACCAAGTCCATTCGACAGTCTTCGTAAAACCAGTGTGCAGCATGAAGTGCACCGCAAACTGATCGAGGACTGGCAAATGATCGAGCATAGAGAAGGTGGATACTTCAAGGAGACTGACAGGTCTCCATTCACTATGACTGTTGGAGAACAGTCCATGGCGGTCAAATGTGACTCTAGTGCTGGAACGCAAGAAGAGAACACTGTCTCTAGGAACTATTCTACACTGATCTATTACTTATTGACATTGAAATCCCCAATAGGCAAACTACATAAGAACAAGAATCGGATCATCCACATCTTACAACGGGGGAAAGGTCAGTATGTTCTGATCTACCCAGACGGCAAAATCAAGTCCTTCCGTGTCGGGTTTGACTACGCCAATGGTGAAGTCTCCCAATGGGTCGTCCCCGGAGGAGTCTACAAAGCCAGTTTTGTGGCGTTGAACGACGAGTTCCACAACGGATTGTTGATCAGTGAGGTCGTTGTTCCAGGGTTTGATTTCGACGATCATATGTTCATGCCAAATTTCCAGACCTTGGTTGATTTGGTGGGCAATTCCCAGGCTGAAAAGTTAAAGTTCTTGCTGTAGAGTTGAATCCCCAGAGGGGACCCGTTGCCAACTACTATATATATAGGCACGAGTATAACTACATATAGACACCTGAATATATATAAACATAAATATAAATCTCAGTCGATCCTGTGTTCATCGGTATGCATATCACGCAGCACGAGGTACGACGTTCTGAAATTATTTCGCTCACCTCAAAAAGCCTTTGGGGCGATGTATAAGAAAGGGAAGGATCGGTTTCACCCACAACATTGTTTGGCAAACGAAAGGGGAGCAACACAAACCACATTCCGACATCTAGCACATTAGCCATGTTCAAATCCACTCTATTGAAGCAATCCCGTCTATTCTCTACATCTACTGCCAAATTTGGTAAGAAGGTATTCTTTGAACCTGCCGTCAATGGTAAGAAGCTTGGAAGAATTGAGTTCGAACTTTACGATGAAGTTGTTCCAAAGACCGCTGAAAACTTCCGTGCTCTATGTACTGGTGAAAAGGGGTTCGGTTACAAAGGTGTTCCATTCCATCGTATCATTCCAAACTTTATGATTCAAGGTGGTGACACCGATCTGACCAACGGATTTGGTGGTAAATCCATCTATGGGTCCAAGTTTGCCGATGAGAATTTCGTCAAGACACACGAAAAGGCCGGTTTGTTGTCGATGGCCAACTCTGGCCCAAACACCAATGGTTCCCAATTTTTCATCACCACTGTTCCATGTCCTTGGTTGGACGGGAAGCATGTTGTCTTTGGTGAGGTGACCAAAGGGATGGACATCGTGAAGACGATGGAATCCTACGGCACTCAATCCGGTAAGCCAAAGGCGGAGATCGTCGTCGAGGACTCTGGCGAGATCGTCAACTAGTCAAGCAAATTCAAGCAAAATCTAATCTGATCTATCTGTAAATATCGTTTTGTATGTATTGTATGTAAAAGTGGCTCTAATTCTTGCAGGGCCAAAAAATAAAAATCGAAATGAAAAAAATATTGGAAAGAATTGGAAATTCTGACCTTTTTAAAGGTGGGAACACCCACGATGTGTAACGAACCAGCAGTTATCAAGACCGGTAAGAGACGTGCAATAACGGTGGAAGATGAGTCTGGAGGATACACTAGCTAACATGTCGTTGTACGACGCCAAAAAGTACTTCCGTAAAGCTCAAAATGTCATGTATAACTATACGGACATGGAAGGTAAAGTGCGTGAAGCCACTAACAACGAGCCCTGGGGTGCGTCATCGACTTTAATGGAGCAGATTGCACAAGGGACGTACAACATCAGGGAACGAGAAGAGATTCTGGGGATGGTGTTCAGACGGTTCACGGAGAAGGCTGGCAGTGAGTGGAGACAGATCTACAAGGCGTTGCAACTGCTGGATTACTTGATCCGTCATGGGTCTGAACGGTTTATTGATGATGTTCGTAGTAGTATCAGGTTGCTGGAGTTGTTGGAGACGTTCCATTATGTGGACTCTGAAGGCAGGGACCAAGGGATCAATGTGAGGAATCGGACTCAGGAGATTGTTCAACTGTTACAGGATGATTCAAGGGTCAGGTCAGAAAGGAAGAAAGCTCGTGAGACCACAAAGAAGTACAAAGGAGTTGCTGGTGGGTCTGTCGACACGAGCATGAACCCCTCGGCAGGGTTCAATAAGTCGCATGGTACTGGGATAAGTGTGAGTGCGGATTTCGGTCATCATAGTGACGATGATGATGATGTACCATATCGTGGAAGGTCTACCACTTCGCAGGAACTGTTTTCCTTTGGAGACCAGCCATCGACGGTATCGGCACCAGCACCAGCTGAAGACGACGACGAAGACGAAGACGACGAATTTTCAGAATTCCAATCTGCTACACCGGTTGCCAACACTGCAAGGCCACCTGCATTAACGTCGTCGTTGCTCGATTTCACTAGCAGCAGCGACAATAATAACACAAGCAGCCATGCCACAGAAGTCGTCATTCCTGCCATCACTACAGCCAACGAATCCAAGAAATCCGATCCGTTTAGTTCGTTGTTCAACAATGCAAAGACCGAGAAACCAATGCCAGCCACTCCTTCTGCTACAAATGATGACGACGACGAGGAGGATCTGTTTGGAGAGATGACATCTGCGCCAACGACAGCTCCAGCTCCAGCTCCCGCAACAAATAACGAAGATCTCCTAGACTTGATCTAGTCTATATATATGAACGAATTAAATTAAATTAAATTATTATATTTTTATTATCTATTTACTTATGGGAATATCTACATATTATAAAACGTCGGGAGAGTAGTAAAAGGAGCCTGCCTTTTCTGATGTTGCTGTCCTATTTCTTGTTCTCTTGCTGCTTCTTATTCTTATCTGTCATCTCTTCTGATGTGTCTGAACTCACAGTGTGTGCGGGACATGGCAACACGGATGCCAGGGCGACAGACCCGAACGCTATCAGGAACGTCGAGAGGTACAGGTTGTTGATCACTCTGTTTCTTGTCACAGCCTTCATGTGCATGTTTGGTAGGTCGTGGTGATGTGGTATTGCTCGACCTGTTGTTGTTGCTGCTCTTGTTGTAGTTCCCTTGCTGTTGCTGTTGTTTCTCTTTAAATATCGATTTTTTGGCTTGGAAATCTCGGCGATTCCGGAGACTTCGAGGGGTTCCCTGCAGGGAGGGAGGGCTCTCTTGATGCGTTGGGTGGTGGATGTCGATGGGCTGGTGGGCTCGTTAAGGGAAGTGTTGATGTTGTTTAAGTGTATGGCTGCTGATGATGGAGGGCTGGATGGAGGGATGGGCCGGTTCGTCGAGGGTGATGTGTCACGTGCCACATGTGCATCACGTGACGTGATGCCTCGAGAGAAGGTGGTTCTGCTGGTTGGGATTGCGTTGGTAGGACCCCCAGCTCCAACCAACGCATGTGATGATATCTCAGGGTGGTCGGCAGTGGTGTATCTGCTCAGTGTTTGCTATAGCTGCCTGGCGCATTTCAGAAAGCAGAACAGCAGGCATCTCGCTGGTATTTTATAGACCATATACACCACTGCCGACCAGCAGTGGTTACAGACACCAACGTCTTCAACACTCTGGGGACTGTGCTGTCCAAACACATCTACACAAGTACAAGCATACAATATTGCATATACTGACGTCTGGTGCACCCACGCACCACAGCTAAACAGCTCTCAGTCTAAATTTAAACGTGGCGCGGACCGACAGCTCACTTTGAGTGATAAAAACAGACAGCACAAGACCAAACTAACAGCAACTAAGAGCAACTTATAAGAAGCAACCAGGACCATGTCTGATCAGTTACAGTGCGCGCTGAAGTATTTGAAGTACTGCTTCTCGGTGGAGGCCATCGACTCGCGTGTCAAGCCGGACACGGACTACATTAGACGGCAGAAGGCCGCTGCTTTGGACAATGACTCAGATGTGAAGGATATCAACAAGATCCCTCGTCCATTATGGCATACGACTGAGTTTAAGTTCTATTATGTTGCGTTTATCATCGTCGTGCCGTGGATGTTCAAGACTGCAATGGATGCGAGTAACGAGACTAACGTGACGAACTACTATAAATTTGAACATTTGTTATCACCCGGTTGGTTGTTTGGTAGAAAAGTCGATAATAGTGATTCCCAGTATAGATTCTTTAGGGATAATTTGTTCCTGTTGATTCAATTGATGACTGCACATTTGGTGATTAAACGGGTAGTGTTATACGTGACAAAGATGGCCGTTCTGAGATTTGATTTTATATTCGGTTTGATTTTCTTGTTTGCTGCTCATGGGGTGAACTCCTTAAGAATACTGACGCATATGATTGTCATGTTTTCTTTGGTTCATATCCTCAAGAGACATAGACGATGGGCTACTGCTGCAACTTGGATATATGGTATTGGATCGTTGTTTTTGAACGACAAATATAGATCTGTGCCATTCGAATCGTATTGTTCACTATTGGCTCCATTAGACTCAGCATTTAAAGGGATCATTCCAAGATGGGACGTGTTTTTCAATTTCAGCCTACTAAGAATTATTAGCTACAATTTGGATTATCTCGAAAGACTAAATAATCAATTGCAATTTAGAAACACTCATGAGGAATCTTCAGAAGATTATGAAGAATATTCAAGAATACATAGTAATAACTCCGACGAAAACAATGAAAGAGATGATAATGACATTCAAATTAATAGACCCTCTATTAAAAAATCGGGCTCTGTATCAAAATTACAAACAATCGATGAATCAGGTAAAGCAGAGGTCTTGAATGAAAGGGCCAGATTGATTGCTCCACATCATATTCAAGAATATAGTTTTATGAATTTTATCGCGTACGTCACATACACTCCCTTGATTATTGCAGGCCCCATAATTACGTTCAATGACTATATTTATCAAGCGCAACATAAATTGCCCTCCATCACTCTGGAGAGAATCACTATTTATTCATCAGTCCTGGCGTTTACTATCCTAGCAATGGAATTTATCCTACATTTCACTTACGTGGTCGCCGTGTCAAAGGCTAAAGCTTGGGAAAATGATACACCTTTCCAAATCTCAATGATTGGGTTGTTCAATTTGAATATTATTTGGTTGAAATTGTTAATTCCATGGAGATTTTTCAGATTATGGGCAATGCTAGACGGGATTGATACACCTGAAAATATGATTAGATTAGTAGATAACAACTATAGTGCATTGGCATTCTGGAGAGGATGGCATCGCTCCTTCAATAAATGGGTGGTTCGTTACATTTATATTCCATTAGGTGGCTCAACAAATAGAATCCTAACTTCTCTTGCAGTATTCTCGTTTGTGGCTGTATGGCACGATATTGAATTACGTTTATTGTTATGGGGTTGGTTAATTGTTGTGTTTTTATTACCTGAGATTTTCTTATCTCATTATTTCCAAATGTATCGTAATAGATGGTGGTATAGACACGTTTGCGCCCTTGGTGGGATAGTCAACATATATATGATGATGATAGCTAACCTGTTTGGATTCTGTCTAGGGTCAGACGGTACCAAGATGTTGTTGCATGACACGTTCATGACTTTTGCAGGGTTCAAGTTTTTTGTTACATCTACTCTATGTTTATTCGTTGCTGTTCAGATCATGTTTGAAATAAGAGAAGACGAAAGAAGACACGGGATCAATCTCAAATGTTGAAGCATCTACTTCCTCTCTCTCTCTACACCAACATCATACACACATACACACACATATATATATATATAATCAATAGTATTTATATTGTACTTCATTGCATAAGTGAATCGCAACTTCTCTCTTTCGGCATGACGATGATTGGCGATGACTCAAGAATTTTTCATAATTTCATACTTCTCATATATATATTTTTTGGTTGGGTGAAAAAACCGGAAAGTTCACCATTTTCCTGATGGCTCTTTCAGTCTGTTTCGACTACCAATTGCTTATAAAGAGAGAGAAACAGAATTAAAGAACATCGATTTCCAATTTGTCGAAGGTTACTTACGGGGTATAGGACTAGGAATAAAAAGTAGGAACTATGCAGAAATTCTTTTCTAGCAGATGGTTCGGTCTATCGCTCAAGTATAATATCCGTCGTCAATTTCAACGAGCTTATCATAACATTGAATATCCACATCTCAAGAAATTGAATAATTCTCCATATGTACGTTTGAAGCCAGTGACGAATCTAAGGGCAGGGAATAATGCGGAGTTTGTTACATCTCCAAACTCAAAGTTACAATCTCTAATATGGCATACTCCGGTGCAGAATGTATTAATTACAAAGAAACCCTGGACTCCTTCTACTAGAGAAGCAATGGTGGAATTCATCACTTATCTACATGACAAATATCCCTCGATCAATATTATTGTGCAACCAGATGTCGCAGAAGAAATATCCCAGGATTTTAGGTCTCCGATGAATAATGATCCAAATAGACCTCACGTCTTATATACAGGAACTCCAGGAAATATCGTGAATAAGACGGACTTGTTAGTCACATTAGGTGGTGATGGTACTATTTTGCATGGTGTTTCGATGTTTGGAAATGAACAAGTACCACCTGTGTTAGCGTTTTCCTTGGGTACGCTAGGTTTTTTATTGCCGTTTGATTTTAAAGAATATAAAGAAGTGTTTGAAAGGGTTACATCCTCAAGAGCGAAATGTTTACATAGAACAAGATTAGAATGTTGTGTGATTAGGAAAGGCGATGAAGAAAATCCGAAAATATTACATGCAATGAATGATATTTTCTTACATAGAGGTAATTCTCCACATCTTGCCAATCTAGATATTTTCATCGATGGGAATTATCTGACAAGAACTATTGCCGATGGTGTTGCGTTGGCGACCCCTACTGGTTCAACTGCATATTCGTTGTCTGCTGGTGGTTCTATTGTTTCTCCATTGGTTCCGTCGATCTTATTGACACCAATCTGTCCCAGATCATTATCATTTAGACCATTGATCCTACCGCATTCATCACATATAGTGATTAAAGTGAGTTCTAAGATTAATCAACGTGTGACAAACAATGTAGTGAATTTGTCTGTAGATGGTATCCCCCAGGAGGATTTACATGTTGGTGATGAAATTCATGTTGTGAACGAAGTCGGTACGATATATATGGATGGTACAAAATTACCTAGTATGAAGAGAGGTACAAAGACAAACGAAGAAGGCAAAGATACTCAAACTTTCCAAAATATAAAGGATACGAAACAGAAGAAGGATCAATCGGGTATATACTGTGTTGCGAAATCAGAAAATGATTGGACTAAAGGGATCAATGAATTACTTGGTTTTAATTCAAGTTTCAGGTTTACTCGTCGCCAAAAGGATAATTAAATAATACCTTTCTCATACCCATATTTATGTATATATTTATATATAAATATTCATATTCCTTCAAGATAGTATTTACATAATGTATGATAATAAGAATTGACAATATAAAATAAAATAAAAAGGGATGTTCTATTGATCCTTGCAACCGTCCCCATACAGGTGCGCGAAGGCAATCCTTTAGATCTGCCACAAGGGCAGACGACAGATGGACCGTTGCACCCAAGATCAATAGATGTGACGTTTAGTCTTCAGTCCAAGCTTTAAAAAAACATGAAATGTTGCAATACACATCCACATATGTCATGGGTCAAGAACGCCCCGAAGGGGTTCAACCTCAATGGGATACTGTATGTACTGCGATTGGCTGTGAATTTGCGTTACCCTTCTTAAGAAATAAACAAAAGAGGAAAAACTAACAGTAAAACTACACTTTAGTTGAAAGATTTGGTTCAATTGAGCTGCCTTTTTATACGTTGTCCAGATTATTTCGTTGGGAAAGAAAAGAAAAAAATTTTCAGTTGGGTGAAATATGTGCGATGTGTGGGTGTTAGAGGTGATGAGCTGAAAAGTTTTTTTGTTATTGACATTAGGGTTAGACCAACGATGGGACACTTCGACAATAAATTCGTGAAGGAATAGTATATATTTGCCATCAAAGAAGTATCTATGTGATGTTAGATTTTGTTTATCTTTTATTCGATTTGGGATTTGCATTTGGAGTGTGTGAGTTAGCTTGTTTTGCGGAATTTTTTTAATTGAATAGGAAAATATCAGATTATTGAGCTGTGATAACTAATTGAAGGATATCATAGAGTATGATGTATAACTCAATCAGGTAAATTAATAGAAGTACCACGTATTTTGTAATGAATAGTGGTTAATTTGACCAATTCCGTCTATAAGTGTTTTTTTATCTTTTTTTTTGACAATTGCATTTACGTAAAGTATACATATTAATGAAGTTGGATACGTTTCAAATGCTAGCCTGTTTTCCTTTTTATCTTACCTATCACCCTTATTTATGCACAGTTTAGGTTGTATTGAGGTATCTGGCTACGTTTTACAGCGGTCCTACCTCCACAAAGTCACATTACTGTTACTATTTAGGAAATTCGATATTATTGTATCAGCAATACATAATCTTGAATGTAACGACACTAAATCTTGCCAAAGAATTATATTTCACTGTTCTTTCGATTCCCTGCTCGTTTGGTTCTTTGTTTCTTTTTTTGAGGGAGGGGGAGTGTCGCATCGGTCGCATCAAATTATGTCAGAGTTTCCTATTTAGTCGATCAATGAAAGTTTTAAGATGAATTGATGTAAATTTCAACATAAGGAATAATATATCGATGATGGAGTTTTAATTGGTTTATGTAAATTGGGGTTTTTAGCCATAAGAATATTTTTCACTTTGAAACGTATTGTCCATGTTGACCTCCATACTAGAAACTCCATTCTAATAAAATGGCCAGACCAGAAACATATAAAAGAAGCAACTAAGCAACTTCAAATAATCAAATTGAACTCATGGTTTCTTTATTAATCTCTTCTTATTGGCAAGAGAACCACAAACAACAATTACAATTACATTAACATGCAATTTTCTACTATTTTATCTACATTAGCTTTATCAGTCGTCACTGTCTTAGCCGAAGACACTAACACTACATCTATCCCAGCTGAAGCCATCATTGGATACATGTCCTTAGGTTCCGACAGAGATGTCGGTATTATTCCTTTTGGTAATGCTACTTCTAATGGTTTGCTGTTCATCAACACCACCATTGCCAAGGAAGCTGCCTTATCTGAAGATTCAGACAAGTTAGCTAAGAGAGAAGCAGATGCCAGTGCATGGCATTGGTTGGAATTAGACTGGGGTCAACCTTTGTACAAGAGAGATGCCAATGCTGATGCTGAAGCAGATGCCAGTGCTTGGCATTGGTTGGAACTTGATTGGGGTCAACCTCTATATAAGAGAGATGCCAATGCGGACGCCGATGCGGACGCTTCTGCTTGGCATTGGTTGGAATTGGACTGGGGTCAACCATTATACTAAACTGAGAGCCGCAATTAAATTGCCCTTTCCACTGTTTTCGATTTTTTATTCTTACCTTCAAGTGACACTTTTCTAATTCTTTAAACTATTTAAAATTACATAATTTTTTAATTTAAAATACAATATTTCAACTCTTTCTTTCTATTAATTAGCAAAATATATTTTATTAACTTATCAAATATTACGTTTAGTTCTGATAATGTCAGCTATACATATTTTATATATATATATATATATATATCTTAATGTTCTGTGAAATGGAGGTGTGAATGAGGGAAAGAAGAAAAACAAAATATAGATTATAAAAGTCTATGAGTTGTTGTGTTTTTTTGTTTTTGGAAGCAAAATATGACATTTAGTGAGATAATTTTAAAAATCTAGTCCTTATTACCTCCAGTGAAAAAATGAAACCATGAGCCAAAAAAGGCAGAAATAAAATCAATCAATCTTTGTAGCATGCCCTTATAAGCTTCAGGATCCTTTGTCTCACGTACTTCTTTATTCATTAGGTTATTAATTTCATCTTCTTTCAATTTTTCAACCATTGCTCTTTCTGCAGCAGGAGTTTCAGCTTCATCTTCATCCTCCGTGACATCTAGCCCCTTTGGGATATTCATACCTGGAGAAAAGAATACCGTTTCGTCACCAACTGGAGATCCTCGACCAGACTTAATTGGTGTCTGTGGTATAACAAGAGGTACTGGTTGTTCTTCATTTATGGTATCCATTGCAGTATCTTCATCTTCATCACCGGTAGCAACGCCATTATCACCATCATCACTAGTCTGTTTAACGATTGCAATATTTTCCAAACTTGGGTCTGGAGTGAGATCCTGCAAAACGGGTTCTATTAGTGACGATTCTGGAGTATCGTCAATATCAATATTTGTTTCTTCTTTCAATTTTCCATTCTCAAACTGCAACAATATACCATTATTAATATTATTATTTTCATCGGGAATCAAATCAAAATTATCAGAAGTAAACCAATTGTCGCCATCATCAATGAATTTGAAATGAATCATTGTCTCATTAGAAGATTCCTCGGTGCAATAGTCCTTAATCATATCGTCAGTAATAACAAATCTCCATGAAGGAATGTGTTCTACGGATTCATCCTTTGAGACCAGCACCATTGGTTGGATTTTCCAAGCTGTGAAGTCGCCTGCGATCTTCAATGCTTTAAAGGTTAGCTTTTCATCAGGAATCAGAATTTCGACCATATTATATTTATTAATTTATTTCTGTCTCCCCTCTTTTCCGGTATTCTAATTTATGAATTGTTTCTTAAATACTGTAAAACTCAAACTAACGTATTCAGCAGAGTATGCAAATTGTCATTGGAGATTTTTATTACCATCAATTACAAAACAAATAAAAAGAAGGGATTTCATTAGGCAACTTTTATATAAATTATTTAAATTATTTGTTTTGGCTGTGGTTTATTTTTCTTTAAGGGGCGGGAGAGTTCACGTTAAACAGAAAAAGCGAGATCTGGGGAGGCCCTAGGGTTGGCATTAGGGCATGCTAAGGGTATAGAGAGAGGAAAGCAACTTGACTCATTCATTTGGCAACAACGTTTTGCAATTTACTTGGATGACAACGAAGTTGACGATCGTCTCGAAGGTGTTCAGCGTGCCTGGTGTGGAACGTTACCACATCTATCCTTCCCGAAATTTATCTTTAAGTTTTCAAATGCTGGGACGGATTTAATTTTATCTAAACATAATATAGCATTGTTAATATTTGTGAAATTGATGAAACAACATCTCTTATCTGGCAAGAAATTGATTTGTTCAACTTCCCCATATTGTTTGAAAATATTTCTTAAATTATGTTCGTTAAAGAATTCAACGTTATTCATATCAATATTACCAATGTAAACGTTTCTGGAGGCACCATGGCCAACGGCTAATGCTAAAGCATTTGGTAAAGGACCCGAATGTTTCCCCCAACCAACTTTGCAACGTTTCTTCTGGATAGTAAGACCGTGTAATGAACTCATCGCATAGAATTGAGCAGCAGCAGTTGGATCGATAAACGTTACAAAACAAACAAATCTATCGGATAAAAGTTTTATACTTTGTAATATCCCACCACGAACTACATTACAAATCTCTTCTACTCTAACATCCTTAGGTAAATTGCCCAGGTAGATGGTACGATTCCCTAAATTATTTGGGCCACCTGCAGAGGTAGCAATTGCAGCGGCAGCAGCCGATTGTTGTAATAATGCATTTGAAATAAATTCTCTATCATTAAATTGAGCTAATTTATCAACACCCGATTGTATCCCAAGGAATTGTGCTGCATTATGTTGTTGTGTCTTTGTAATGAAGGCACATCTATCTTTACCATAGAAGACTCTCTTTTGAGAATAAGTTGGATTAATATTTGATAAATTTGTCACAACAGAAATCGCTGTTGCAATAGAACCAAAATGAATAAATGCAATACCTTTTTCCTTAACAAATTTTATAGTATCGATTTCACCAAATTGAACTAAATCGTTTCTTAAAGTTTCTTCATCTTTCACCATCGGTTCATCATTTAAATGGCCAATGTAAACATTTCTGGTGGCACCATCGGCTTGAATCTTGGCTAATACTAAAGGATCCATTCTTGCAGACTTACCCCAACCAATTTTAATATCCCTACCATCGATATTTAATCTTTTCAAAATAGCATCAGAATGGAATAATAACGCAGCATTTTCATCGACAAATGAAATAAATGCACACATTTTTTCAGGTAAAATTTTAATTTCATCAACTACGCCACTACGAACATGATCCAAGAGTTCTCTAATAGTAGCATTTGGTGGTATATTTCCTAAATATACTGTCCTACTTGGCGCAGAAGTGAAATTTAATGGATTTGTAATTTGTAAAGTTGATTGAGTGGAAAATGATGTATTAGCATTGGCTACCGCAGTAGCGGTAGCAACAACGCCAAATGCGTCCTGCGGTTCAGGGATCCCCGAATAACTTAAGTGTATGTTGGACATCTGTTGGGTAATTAGGTCATCCTCGGTCATTGTGTATCCTGTACCGTCACGTTCGCTAGAGTTTGAACTTATTCTAAGATTTGAATTACCATTCAAATATGGAGCCGATGAAGACATGAAGGAATCGTCTACCATACCACCACCGTTGTTCATATGGAAAGGTGGTATACTGCGCTCTGGTGACTGATAAGTGAATCCGTTAGTTCCGGCGTTCATTGATCCATCAGGGTTCATTTGATAATTGACCTCTGGATATTGTTTAAAGTTGTTTTCATCATTTGCTAATGCATAATTATCAATAATTCGATTGTCCATTGTTTCGTCTTAGAAGGGTTATAATGAATGTGAAAAATAGTAGTGTGTGATAATAAAAATAATAGTGTAATAATAATATATTTCAGAGAAGTGAAAGAGGGAAAAAAGAGTTATTAATCAAACTTGTTTTGGTCAATAACTGGAAGAAATCGAAGAAATCGAAAAAGAAATAAAATATAGTCCTTGAAGTGAAGTGAATTAAAGAAAGAAAGTGAAAAGAAATATAATGTCGAGAATATAGATATTGCAATAGATAGAATGAATATATCAACGTCTGATTGTTGCTGTTGTAAAAAAGAGAGATGGCTATCAAACAACGTGTTATATGATGCAAACGAAACTCTGGTGTCTCTTGTAGTGTGCTGTTCAATCGTGATCCTTCAAGGTTGGTTCTTCTTGTCCCATTGCAAGTGGCTTTCAGAATTGGCTTTTAACCGCCACTGGGCCAAATTTTCCCCCAAAAGAAAAATCTCAAAATAAAATTTTCGAAGCCAAAAATCTCGGTTTCCCCGGACGGAGAGGGTAACGGTCACTCCGCACGACTGCGAGCTTAATTTCAATCGCTGCTCTTCCATTAGACAAGCTGGGAAGGTTGGCAACCTCGAGGTTAAAGGGAAGGAGGGAAGAGCGATAAATAAGTCATTGATGCATCCAGAAGCTGTTTAAAGTAGTTCAAGTAGCGCTTAGAAATCATAAATTACGTCTGTGGGGATTTTATAAGGTATAAGATACTCATTTTTTTGCTATGTCTGGTGTTTTATTGAGGTCAGGTTTAAGGAGCGTGCTGAAGACACGTATGGGACTCACTACGATAGTACGTGATATGTTAACGAGATCATACAGTTTAAATGCGTTTAATACAATGAACAGAGTTATGATAAGATCTCCGTTGACTTTGGTAGTTGCTACTCGTGGATTTAAAGTGAAATCATCATTGAAAAAATTTTGCAAAGATTGTTACATTGTAAGACGTAAAGGAAGGGTATATGTGTATTGTAAATCGAATCATAAGCATAAACAACGTTCAGGTTAGAGAGAAACTTATGAGAATGTGAGAATGTTTTCTCAATTTTTAAAAAAACATATCTATATTCATAATGAAGCCTTTTACATACACTTGCATATACATCTATATATAATTAAAAAAACAAAATGCACAATCCATGTAAATAATACATAAAATAAAAGAGTATACCTTATTTATATTTAATATTTCCATACAGATAGGCCAACACCTCCTAGTAATATGGATTGCGTGTTGTCATTATCTGTCACTACATTGCAGGACCCTGTATCGGCAATGGTTGTATACTTGGTATCCTTCAAATTTAGTTTATTATCAGAAGAAATATTCCATATACGTACTCGCTGATCTACCGAAGTGGTAATTAAGTTGGTGCCATTATTAAATAATTGACATGATGTCACTGTAGAGGATGCAGCATCCTCGATAAAGGATGTTACTTTGCCAGTAAGAATTCGACTATTGTCACTATTTTGTTCTATGATACTTATTCCAATAGCATTATCATCGCCACCTGTAAATACTTGTAAGATGTTATCTTTAGTAACTTTCATATCCATGGTCTTGATCCCAGATTTGTGGACATGTAACGATAATTGTGGTTTGCTCTCGGATTTTACCAATTCTAGTTCTTCTCTGTTCAATTCAATACCATTGTTAATGTTCTTTATAAATAGTAATTCTGAAGTAAGATCATAAAGAGATAAAAATCCATCAGTGGAAGCAATCAACAGATATAATTGTTTTCCGAGCTGAACAAATGATGTATTTAATATACAACACGTTTGATATCTATTTTCCCAAATCTTTTCATATTGATTAATTTCATAATCGTAGTACCACACTTTAATCGAAGAATCGGAATAGACAGTAGCGATTATAAAATTGCTACTTGACCCATCAAATACTACATCAAAGTCCATGATTCTTAGATCGGGATGTGTAGTCAATGTAGGTAATGATTGTCGTATAGTCATATATGGGTTAGATTTGAATTCTGTATTCAATTCCCACAAGAATAATTCTTCTCTTGCTGAACATGATACCATCAATTTATCATTGATGAAACTTAACCGTTGTAAACCCGATACGTGTTTTCTTTCGGTCCAATAACTAACAACGACACCATCCTTCGGATTATATTTGCATAACTTGACAGTAGTATCCTCTGATCCACTGACAAACAAATATCCATCCTGAGGTTCATACTTATCTGTAATTCTCGAAGGTAAGATACTAATGTCTCTTATTTCCCTGCCATGGATACCATTTTCTAGTGTCTCTGGAATATCTGAAGCGTATATTTTCCTTAAGAATAACTCAGAAGCTTTAATATATACAAGCATAAAGCCAGTATCTTGTTTCAAAGAACATAATTTCCATTGTCTATGAGCTCCACCACATACCTGGCTGGTAATTTCGTACCCATTTTTTTCATTAAACATGTAAAACAAGCTCGATTTGAATCCATATGTGATGTACTCGCCTTTATAATTATAGAAGGCCCCCTCTAGGAACCCCTTTATGACTTTATTGGAATGAATAATTTTATGTAAACATACCGCATCGTTGTAATCATTGGCTAATTGTTTAAATGAATTAATATTGACTGTAATAAAATTGTAAAATCCATCTCTATTGGTCACGGAAAATAATGCTTGTCCATTGGCTGTTTCGATATATTTAATCGATGTAGTGGTGTCACCGGGAGTTATTTTCCTAATAAGATATGGTTTCTGAGAATCATCTTCAAGGTTAAATATAGCCACGGTGCTGAATCTTGATCCAATTAACAAAAGGTTCTCAAAGACTTCAAGACATGACGACACAAAGTTATCTGGTTTTGAGAAATTAAATCTCTTTGTGACTTTCAATGTTAAAATATCAACTTGTAGCACAACGAATTTGTCACGAGGATTAGGTGACTCGACTGCTACTAAGCAATATTGTAACCCATATGGAATGACCATAGAGTTACACGTCTTTGATAATGATTCGATATGTAACGAACTTTCACAATTGACAGTTTGTCCATTCTGAGAAAAATTCAACATCAATAAATCGCATTTGTTATTTGAAAAGACAATAACATTATTTTCATGAGTAGCATCTGTAATGCCATTTGTTGTAGAATAAGAAGCTAATCTTTCGTCAGATGTTACTAATTCCCAAGTCATCTCACTTTCAGAATATTTCAACACGTTACCTAAAGATGTGATGGCAACTAGACCAAAGTCAAACCAGTGGAACCCCTTGAATATTTCTCCCTTCTGAACGTTAAAATCACCTTTAATTGGTAGTGATGTAATGTTGAAACAACGTTCACTATCACCAAATCTTGTAGATTGTTTCAAATCAATTAATTTGATACGGCCATCGTTACCAGATGTAGCTGCAATACTCTTGTCTTCTTGAACATCAACACCCCATACATTCTTTATAAGATGGGTTTCATAAATATTAGTCATAACTAACTCGATCTTTTCATCTGTCTTAATGATATTCCAAACACGGCAGGTACAATCTTCAGAGACACTAATCAATTGAGTATCGTTATTAAAAAATTTTAAATTCCAAATTCTCGCAGTGTGTCCCCATCCAACCGATAGTTCTTTACCACTTACTAAATCCCACAGCCTAATAGATCTATCATCTGAACAACTTACAACATAATGACCTTTATCACTAACTACAACATAAAAGATAGAACCGTCATGTCCAGTCAGGTTGTGAATCTTTTCCTCTTTGTACAGATCCCAAATTAGAATACCCCCAAGAACTGTACCTGCGTTTATAACTACTCTTTCATCAGACAATACTTTAATGGTACCTGAATATAAAATGGATCTTTCGTTCAATAGATTCTTCCTCATGATGATGTTTCCTTGTAAATCGGTCACAAGAACTAAATTATAACATGTAAGAACGTATAATTGAGTACTGTCATAGCTGAATGTTGAATCAACTATCCATTCTGTGTACATCTTTTCCATTGAGCTAACATCACTGGAACTTAATAGCTCATCAATGGAACATAACAAAATTGATTTTGATCCAAAGAGGACACAGTTCTTCCCATCACTTGAGAAGTTGAAACCATGAACTTTGTTTGCCTTGAAAATACGTAATCTATTTATTAGTTCACGAGTACCATATTTATATATTTGGACGAACGGACCAACAGCAACGAAGAGGTATTCAGTGTATGTCTTGTTAAATTTCACACATAATGATGGTCCATAATGGGACAAATCTTGCAACTTTTCAGCCATCTCAACCGCTTGTAGTCACACTTATATCAATGTAGTGTTCAATTGGGGCAAATGTCTAGTGATGTACTACGTTTTAAACATTCAAATGTTCTCTCTGAAGTCATCGGCATCGCTGATTGTTGTTTTCCTTTTTATAGAGGCAATCTCGAAAATTTTCACTACAATGTCGTTTTTTTCACTTTGCATTGACAGCATCGAAAGGAGAAATAAGAAAGGCAGGTGAACTTTTAAGTAGATTGCCTTCAAATCATTTTCTTACGAAATAGTGTAGTATTATGAGTGCTATATAGGGTATCAAAGTGATATTCAGTTCAAAAGAAACTTCAAAAAATGTATCTTTGAGCATTATGAAAGAGTATTAATCAGACCAATTTCGTGGAACTTAATGACATAAGGGTATTATAGTATATATATATATATATAACTTAAATGCTTCTATGACAATTATAATCGGTTTGATAAAATCCGTGAACTCTCCTTGGCCCTCTAAATTAATCCAAAGAGTTATTCTACCGTCCTGTAATATAGGTGAAACCCCCAAAATTCGATAGAAACTAATGAGTTTGTAATTTTATGTAATGACACAACTTGCCAGAATGTATATTAAATGTGAACCAATGGACTTTGAGTTTACTTATTATTACAAGGAGAGAGGACAACGTATGACACTATTTTCAGAATCGTTGTGCTTGTTGAGAGCTAGATTCATTTCGTCTAATGACAGCACGGGTGGTTGGCTGCAACGAATTCATCATCCTGGACTGACTTCCATAATTGTTGTTCATCGTTGTGTTTCGTAAGGATTGTCTATTATTACTACTTTGGTTTATACCATTGAGGTAGCTGTTGTTGTATATTGATCTTGATCCAGCATTTCCCGCTTGTGATAATCTATTCTGAGAACTATCGCTTAGCTCTCTTTGATGATGGCTCCTATTGCTCTTGTTTAATTGATTCATTTCATTGTTAAAAGCCATACTTTCTTCTTTCCATATTGAAGACAAGACTCTTTGTAATTTGGAATTTTGTATAGTTGGCAAGAATTCCTCCATATTAACAGTATTAGATTGACTAGAACCATAATTAGCAAAGAATTCCGTATTATTGCTGTCAGTAGATCTTAAAGAGAGATGGCCCGATAGCTTGGTATTTGTTGATTTGGATTTATATTTAGTCTTCGAATTCATTTCATTCATCCTGTTTGTATCTTCTTGCTGTTTTTTATAGGTTTCAAATCTATTTAATGATGCATCCAACGAATTATAAAATCTTTTTGAATTTGTATATTCGTGTGATATTCTTTCGAATTCTCGTTTGACATCTACATTTGTAACCATGAACACAGAATCTACAGACCCATTCTGAATATTTAAATCCATGATCGAATTTTCTCTTTGTAACCAAAGTTTCCTCTGTGTTCTAGAGTCACCCTCAGTCATGTCAGATTTTAGGAATTGAGAAAAGTTATTGAGTTTCTTCCCATCTTCACCTTTAGCAACATCATCTGTTTCTGTCTTATTAGCATTAGACCCAGAAAGGTCGTATTGATTACTTCTCTTTCTAAAAAGACTACTTAGTGGTGTAGAGCCTGTCTGTGAGTTTGTGCCTGTATTTGGTCTATGTGGACTCTGTGGGACTCTTGCACTGGCTGTCTTACCTAACACTGCTGCAGCATTGGCCCGTTGTAAATTATTGGTTAAACTAGAATATGAATTGGAAAAATTTGATATTTTTGAATTTTGAACATTCCCTGGAATATCTGAATTGTTGTTATTGTTCATCGAGTCCTCATTCGTGTTGAATCCATTGATTTTATTTGCAAGTTCTTTCGGTACTTGATGAACAGACGATATAGGTTCTCTACTGTTTAGTAAATGTGATGTTTTGTAAGTTTCTTGGCCCATATTAATATTATTATTATTATTGACAATTGAGTATCCTGAATTACGGTTTGCATGTATTTCATTGGAAAGCGAATTTTGTATAGATGGTAGATCATCAAAATGTCTTACTACCCCAGTGGATTGAGATAGAATCATATTGGGTATATACTGATCATTTAATTCATCATTCTTCCGACTATTTTCAACTTTATTATCGTTATCTTTCTGTACTGTTATATTTTGTTTTTGGTCCATATTTGTATCGTATTCTTTGTTGTTTGTCTGTCTAGTTAGTTGATTTCTGTATAGATCATAACCCTCATTACTATCGGATATATCCGCTGGTTCGATATGATCATTGCTAATAGATAATTCAGCATTTTTCTTTAAATAATCTTCATTATTATCGTCCTCTTTTGTGGTCAGTCTGTTAACAGTTTGACCTCCATTATTAAACCCGTTGGTTTTTATTTCTAGTTCTAATGATGTGTCGTTGTGAGAAGAATCATTCAGCTTATCCTGACTCACGCTTGTATTTCCATGATCTATATAATCAGAAGGTGGTTTGTAACTCAATGGCTTGACCACATGTTCCTTGTCAGTCAGTAGATCCTCTGTTCTCTCATCCATTTGGGCCTCCTCCATGATGCTATCGATTGATATAAGTTTCTCCCTAGAGTTATCGCGCATCATGCCAGTACCACTACTGTTGCTATTACTACGTTTATTACTCCTATGTCCGTCCTTCGTAGCAGTATCTGATTCACTGTCTGTAACCAATTCTTCTTCACTGTTAGAGCAACTATCACTGTTATCCTTCATACTGATAACAGAATGTGTACTTTTAGTCCTCCTGGGTTTAATTCCAGGGATACCCATCCACATTCCTGTGCCATGACCATGACTTCCTGAACCTCCATGTACATTTGGGTTTGACCTAACCCTAGCCAATGCAGTCATATTCAGTCCACTTATGGCACGTTTCCTAAAGAGTGCATCACTAGATTTCGTAGGTTTCATGGAGTCCCGATCGATGGAGGTGCCATCATGAGTCAATACTTTCCTCAGACCCTTGAAACTTGCAGTACTTTTGGCACGAGATCTAGTGGTGAATTGTCTTGTTGGAGGCTTATTGTTCTGACCATGTATGAATTGGGAGGGTCCCAAATGAATTCCCGTTGGCGACGCTATCTGTGTAGGTTCTACTTTTATCTTATGGCCCATATTTATATAATAATCTTAGACACCAAAATATGATGGTTTCTCTCAGTATATTAGAGAAAATGTGTGTTTATTGTTCGTAATTTCCCAAGATATTTGTTCTTGTTCTAAGTTGGGTTTTCCTTTTAATAAAAGTTATAAGGTCGGAATTTTGTAGTCTTTTCATACAAAAATGAAAGATTGGTATCTATACAGAGCAAACAACAGCAGTACAAAATATATCATTTCATAAGGATCAGAGACTCGGTGATTCAATTATATATAACATTACATTAGTCCAAAGCACAGTTTGTTATTCTCCCTTTGATTTTTTTAGCTATTGAGGGTAATGGATTTGTTTAAAGTAGGTGATTTCTATACACAAAGAATATTCAATTCTCAAGGGAGGGCCAATGGTGGGTTTGGTGAAATCTCTGGCTCTAAGAAGGGTACCACTGTTCTAAATGAGTCTAGGATCAAAGTCTTGTTATTGGACAAGGATACTACGCCAGTCATATCCATGTGTGCCACTCAAAGTGACTTGTTGAAACATGAAATATACCTTGTAGAGACAGTTGAAAACAACAAACGTGATATTATGCGTCATTTGAAGTGCCTAGTATATGTGAAACCAACTGATAAGACAATAGATTGTCTGGTTAAAGAATTAGAGAATCCTCGATATGGTGAATATCATATCTTCTTTAATAACATGGTTTCAAAGTCTCAATTGGAACGTTTGGCAGAAGCTGATAGTTTAAGTGCCGTAGTTAAAGTAGAAGAGATCTTCCAAGATTACCAAGTTCTAAACGAGTACTTATTTTCATTTGATATGGATAATAGATCATTGCTAACGCAACAGGGAATTTGGAGTGAAGGGAATCTGGAATCAACTACATCGTGTTTGACATCATTGTTGCTATCATTAAAGATTAAACCAGAGATAAGGTACGATTCAGGAAGCAAAGTATGTCGAAGACTTGCACAAAATGTGGATAAGACTATATCTACAAATGAAAAGGTATTGTTTGATTTCCCAAAGATGGATTCTTCACCATGTTTGATTATTCTAGATCGTAACGCTGACCCTTACACGCCATTGTTACAACCATGGACATATCAATCCATGATCAACGAATACATTGGTATCAAGAGGAACATAGTAGACCTTAAGGATATTCCACATGTTGATAAATTGTTAGCTAAAGTGACGTTATCGTCAAAGGAGGATCAATTTTTCAAAGAGACACGGTATTTAAATTTTGGTGAATTAGGTGATAAAGTTTCGTCCTATGTGAATAAATATAAGGACAGTAGTCAAATTAATTCACAATTGGATTCGATAGCCGACATTAAGAAATTTATTGAAAAATATCCTGAGTTTAAGAAACTTTCTGGAAATGTGTCCAAACATATGGCAATTGTTGGAGAACTTGATAGGCAGTTAGCTGACCAAAATATTTGGGAAGTTAGTGAAGTTGAACAGAACCTTGTTGTTCATAAAGAATACCAAGGTGATTATGAAGCCCTGTTGAAGCTTTTAAAGGATCCAAAGATTGATAAGGATTACAAATTGAAACTAGGTTGTATCTATTTCTTGAGACATGATGAATTGGATAGTGATGGAAAAATTGAAAGGATTAATGAGATCTTGGAAGTATTGAAACAATATCTGCCCGCTGAGGATATTAATTACATTCATAAGTTCCGTAAGCAATTCCAAGATTATAATAAGAAGGGTGCTTCTAACAGTAATACAGATGCAAGCAGCGGCGGCAGTGGCACAAAAGATGATTTATTAAGTGAGTTGACAAAACGGTTCAATAGTAAGATGGATTTGCATCGTCGTATACATGACAATTCTACAGACAATGTGTATATGCAATATGTTCCCAGTGTGTCACGTATATTGAGTGAATTATCCAGTAATAAATTGAGCGAATCAGTCTATAAGACATTAGGTGGGGATTCTGGAGTCAACGACAATTCAGCAAGGACTAGTCCACCTCCTCAAGATGTGGTGTTGTTTATTGTCGGTGGTGTCACGTTCGAGGAATCACGGTTAGTGTATGAATTCAATGAAACCATGAAGGATAAACAAGCGGGACGGATGCGTGTTGTTCTTGGTGGTACTTCTGTTGTCAATACTACACAATATATAAACTTCCTAAGATAAATGAATAAATAAATACATGTATTTGATATTTGAACTTGCATATATATATATGCATCCTATGAATTATGAATTTCTTCAAACGTATTTCCTTGATTCTCGTTGCACCATACACTGTATGTCTTCAGTGCAAATTACTACTACTCTATATGTCAATTAGGTTCCTGAATGGTTAGGAGTATGGTACCATCTGATACCCCCACCACATCACATTCTCTTACTTTTGCACCCACCAATATATAATCCACTGTTTGGAATATTACTTTGATCCATTTATGACGATCAGCCAAAGAAGTAGGGTTGTCTCGTTGCAGTTAACTGGAATCCTAATTGATACTTATTTAACGTCATCCTATCAAACAAGATGTTCTATATATGTGTATGTAACATTATAATATCTACTTGCTTAATAAGTATTTACTCGAAACACAAAATATATTGTAATTAATTAAGCTAGTGACATAGCAAAATATGATAAATACAAAATGATTAGCCATGTTGTGACAACCCAGTAAGCTGCAACTCTTTTCCTTTTCTGTCAAAACGTACGAGTCTCAACTTCGAGAAGTCAAAGGGGAGATCCAGTTCAATAGAAGAATCTATTAAGCACTTGCTGTAGAGACGAAATCGAATCACGTACATAGCAACAGAGGACTAAAGAGGTATATGGCACCGCCTGGTTTGATTCGTCACAACACAAAGAGAGCCTCACCAAGAACTAAAAAAATGGCGCAACTTCTGTACAGAAACGTCAGTTCTTGCACGTGTAGGACAGTCAAGTTTGATGATCATGGCCTACATCGAGCAATTCTAACTAGTCAAGGGGCAGAGAGCTCCTGGCTCTTATAAAACACAGTTCCTCCCTCAGTCTTAGACAACCTTCCAATTACACATGTCGTATAGCATGTCGTAGTTATATAGTATGGCTATATAGTGTGTGTCACGTCCAGCGGGCCTCCACCCAGAAGACCCGCTGCTCTTGCACTAGCACCACCCTTCCAACGTGTCCACAACTTGTAGACACCCACTTGTAACTATAACCAACACCATCGACCGTCCAACCTGGTCGTGATCCCAACAAGTCACTCGAAGTGTGTCGTCGTCAATGGCCTCAAACACCCCCAAACGGCAACATCACTTCCAACGAGCTGCGAACAAATTTTTTGCTGCCATTCCTCCCTCTCGCCGTCCTGTCCTGCGGAACTTTCCCTGCCCACAGCCCGTTTCGTTACATAATCATTTTAGTAATAGAAATATATATATATAACAGCGAAAGAGCTTACATATTTCTTTGGAAGTAGAGAGCAGTTTGGTTAATTGAAAACTCGTTTCGTTAAACCTCGTCGTACTATCATTAGTGTTATTTCCATCCCATACCTGTTTTTACAAAGTTTTTATTGTTGTCTTTTTTATTATTAAGTAATATCTACATCTCATCAGTTTAATGCGAAGCCCGTCAAACCAAGATAATAATTTCTTACTACCGAGTAACTCAAATTCTAGTAACAACTCTGCATCCAGCTCCGCTAGCGACGACTCGGCCACATCTGCATCTTCTAATGACTCTTCTAATGACCCAGATGATAGGTATAAACCTATCATCTATCCAAATACAAATAATACAAATAATACCAATGATAATGTTAACGCAAACTTACATTACAGCAGCAATTACACTGCTCTAACCAATTTACCCAATTTCATTAAACCATCAATCTCTACTACACAGACTAATAGAGTCTCAGTGAACGACGACACCGTTTATTCTTCATCCAGTTCAAGTTCGGATGACGATGATTCTTCTAGTCCTCATGGCTCACCAATTTTGTTGAATGACTTCGGGTCTTACCCGGCCAGCTCCGTGTCGTCATCTTTAACGAGCGGGGGCTCACCATCGAATTTTATTACTAAGTCAAAATTGACCAGTATATTATCCACTTCATTATCTTCAAAGAATAATTCTTTATCATCATCCTCTAATTCAAATGGATCTCCAACCTCAAAGAAATCGAAAAATTCGCCTTTGTTTTTAAAGAAACATCCTAATGATCCATCTTCTAATGAAGGTGTTAATGTGGATTCAATGATCAAAAAATTGATTCTCTTGAATACTAATGGTAATAGTACTAATGGTGGCAACGGTAACATCTCCGTTCCTAAATCAAAGAGAGACAAATTCCCATTCCATGCTTGGGAAATCCAATTGATTTGTGTTGCCGTTAGAGAAATTTTTTTACGTCAGCCAACTTTATTAAGATTACAAGCACCAATTAAGATCGTAGGTGATCTTCATGGCCAATTCAATGACTTGTTAAGAATTCTGAAGTTGAGTGGTATCCCATCTGAAACAAATTACCTGTTTTTAGGGGACTATATCGACCGAGGTAAACAATCTCTTGAGACAATTTTACTTTTACTTTGTTATAAATTGAAATATCCAAATAATTTCTTTATGTTAAGAGGTAATCATGAATCTGCAAACGTCACTAAGATGTACGGTTTCTATGATGAATGTAAACGTAGAAAATCAACCAAAGTTTGGAAAGCCTTCATCGATGTATTCAATTGTTTACCAATTGCTGCTACAATTAATGATAAAATCTTTTGTGTCCATGGTGGTATCTCCCCAGATTTAAAAAATTTGAACCAAATTAATAAAACTGTTGTGAGACCTACTGATATTCCAGATAATGGGTTAATCACTGATTTATTATGGTCAGATCCGGATTCTACAGTAAGAGATTGGTCCTCGAACGATAGAGGTGTCTCATATACCTTTTCAAAATCAAATGTTTTGGATTTTTGTGCAAAATTTAAATTCGATTTGATTATTAGAGGACATATGGTTGTTGAAGATGGTTACGAATTTTTCGCAAAGAAAAAATTAGTTACTGTCTTTAGTGCACCAAATTATTGTGGACAATTTCAAAATTGGGGTGCCGTCCTAGCAATTAATACAGGTCTAATGTGTAGTTTTGAATTATTAAAACCTCATATTATATCTAAGAAAAAATATTAATTAAGAATAGAAGAGAAATAACATTGTACATTGTTTTTTTCCTCTTCGTATGTTTTGTTATGTTTTATGTATATTCACGTGTTTTGCGTCTTTTCATTGAGTATTCTTTTTTTTTCCTAAAATTCCTTTCTATATCTACAATGTATTTATATTACGTACTTCTATCTATTCCAATTCTAGTTTATTTTACTTTAATTTTGTTTTTTGTTTTTAATTATTATTTAAATATATATATATATATATATAGTTCTATCTATACGATCTAAAAACTACTCCAGTTCCAATCTACTGGGACACTTCCGGCGACACTCTCACGTCTATTTTCAACGCTACGTTGTCCATTACGTCTACGAATTGGCATATATTCATCTGCATTACCATTTTGTTGTTCCTTCCGTAGTTGTAGTTGTTGTTCCTCCATTCTTTTCAATTTTTTCAATTTTATAGCTTGCATATATTCATCATTAGCAATATAACAACCATGACAAACTTTGACTAGGACACCTCCACCAAATTGTCTTAATTGACAGAATTGAGCATCACTATTCAAATACACCATATCAGGTAGATCCTTCTGACAGAAAAGCTCCCCACAATGACGACAATGATGTTTACGCTCTAGCATGCTAAATTTTGTATGGCATGCATGACAACTATCACGTTCAGAATCGGGAACCCAGTGTGTCCTTGTAGGTTGTTTGTTCATTGAACGACTCCCCGCACTGGAGTTTGTGTCCTTTTGATAATAATTCACTAGATCTTGGAACCGGTGACGGTACGCACTATATATTGAACTTGCTGTGGAATGGATACTTGACTGAGTATTTGTATGTGTACGATGCAACTTGATGCCATGATGTGAACTGTCTGTATTTTTAATTAAATGACGATCAAGACTGTTGATATTACCACCTCCAGAATACATCGACAAATAATCCCGCGCACTGCCATTTGAACTCATGGTGTCATTCCCAATAATACCGGAGACACCGTCATCGTTTTCATCATCATCTTCTTCTTCTTCAATCATGGCATCTTCTTCATTGATTCTGTCCATACTTCCTGGATCTCTAAAATCATCATTAGTCAAATTAGTCTCCGAGACATTACGTAATACAGCCGGCATGTATAACGGTTTCTTAGGATTATTAATTTGTTTAATAGATTTGGTAGATTTTCCATTGACACCTACTCCCATAGTCGCAGTTAAAGACGTCGATGATGATGGACCAGTATTATAGATATTGGGCTTGTTCCCAGTACCAAATGGTAATTGTTGCGGTTGTCTCATCATGGAAATTGTGCTATTGCTGTTATTATTATTATTAAAACCGATTTGATTTGTAGGCAATCCATTTGTATATTGCCTAGAGGCATTTTGGATACTATTACCCTTTAATGTCATAGCATTAACTTTACTGTTGATATGTGTAGATCTTATTTTTTTATTCAAATTATCGTTCTCAATCTCAGGACGAGTATCTTTAACAAATAGCATTGATTGTTCCGATTCTTGTATAGAGGGATCCCGCCGTATACTTGGTGGTGGGGCTGGAGGTGGTGGTGATGGTGTTAATGTGTTGACAATTGTTTTCGGTATCATGTTCACGCTTGTCATATTCCCCGTAGGAGCAACTCCAGAACTAATATCTACGGTGGCTGTGAAATTCGATTCTGATCTTCCAAGTTTCAAAGTTTCATCATCGTCTTCGATGTTGTCATTGTTATCAGGTCCTTGTCTATCGTAAGGAGACGATAACGATAACGACCCATTTGGAATATTATTACTACTGTTGTTGTTGTTGTTGTTATTTTCTTGTGTGGAAAAGGCATCTTCTGTAACCTTGGGTATTTTATCTTCGTCGTTATAATTATTGGAATAACTTTCGTCAACATTATCTTTCTCACTCTCAGTAGGGTTCAATAAATTATTTTCTCCCATTTTCAACATAGACAATTTTCTTAATGCCTGTGTAGTTAAATTATGAGCTTCTATGTCTTCTCTATCCTCTTCATCGTCATCAGTGGCAGCTATAGAACCTTGCTTACCAGTAGCTGTGGTGGCTTCTGTAGAAGTACTTCCTACCATCATTTGTTTATCATCATTACTAATATTATTATTATTCTCTATTGTTGGTGGGATCATTAATCCTATCTCGGCGGGGACGTCCTTCAAGAGACTCCCTGGTAAATCTAATGGACTATGAGCCACTATGGGTGGCATTCCAGCTTTCATTTGATCTATCCCTATTCTATTATCATCGGTAAACGGTTCTTGAAACCCGATCTGAGCTTCTTGGGGGATATTGGTAGTAGCAGAAGTACTCGAACTACTATTATTGTTATTATTATTAGTGGTGATATTATTACCATTTTGCATTGCACTTTTCGCACTAATTTTATTATCTAATAACGATTTCAACGACAAACTACTCAATATGCTTTGTTCTGATTGCGTCCTTGGTCTCGGGATAACTTTCACTTTCTCAAAAGTTATTGTAGAGTTTGATCTCAATGGGTTATTATTAGAATCTATAAATGTATTACTACTATTATTAATAGCATTTCCTGTGGCTAATCTTGCCGAAGAAGAAGATGAAATATACCTTGACGCACGCATATTTTCTCTAGATTTACGTAACATTTCCTTTTCTGCCTCTTTCTCATGTTCTACTTCTTCTTCCATTTCCTCCCGTATCGTTGGAGTCATCGATACTTGACTCTTGTATCCATTATTACTTTCAGCAGTAATAATATTATTGTTGTTGCTAGTAGCGTTAATGCTCATTGAAGAAGAAGAAATAATTTCTGTGTATTTATCTTTCTGTACCTGTATGTATGAACTACTTAAGTAGATCCACCTAACGAATGTAGTAATTTACGTCACTGAAGGGAGGTGACGGCAGAGAAAGTTCTTAATTATCCTAATCTATAGCAAAAAATATGATATAGCAGTATTGGTTCAACTAAATTCGAATATATTTATATATGTGTGTGTCTTAAAGTTGATGACTAAACAATAAGCACACAATAGGCAGGGAAATGTTATAATGCTTGCCACCGAATGAAAGATCGAGTCAAAAGCAAAGCAGATAAATAGTACGTAATGGGCTTGGATAAAAAGAAACCCTTTAGGTCCTCATGCTCTTCTCAATTCTCTCAATTTACTTTTGTTTTTGACCTTCATATTTTCTCGCTCTCCTTCCTTTCTTCTAGAGAGATTAATCATCCATCGGCTGCAGCTGCCGTTGGGTGGTTGCATACCGAAATAACTAGCTCGCTCTTTCTTTCCCTGTCTGCTGGGGTTTTAATGTTTAAAAAGGGTTAGGGCTTGCCGTGTCTGGTGATGAGGGTACGAATCGGGGAGAGTGAGGGTTTGTGGTAGTAAGCCCTACTTTAGCGTTTGAAAACTAAATTACAAAATTGCAAAATTGCAAAAAATAGACATGACGCGCAATTGAAAGACAACTTTGAGAAATTGTGAAAAAAAAACCATTTTTGGTTACGCGTTAATCGCAATTTAGCGTTTGTGAAGCGTAAAGAAGAAGAAAAAATAAAAATTATGGATAAATGTAACGCGCAAGTTTGCGCGCAATTTCTCTTATTAATTTGTAAAATTGCAAAATTGCAAAGCAAAGTTGCGCGACGTGTCAAGTTTAGAGCAGAGGAAAAGTCCATTTAATTACTGAATTTTTCAATGTGAATAACGTGTTCTTTCTAGAGGGGAGACCTTGTAATAGTTAATATTAATCTTTTAGACTTTATTATATAACAGATTATATAATACTTTTAAAGGTTTCATTTAGATCTAAGATACTTCAATTCCTACTTTCGTTTTATTTTGTAGTATTCTGTGTAATTAATTGGTTTGTTTTCCTTTATTGACAATTCATCAAGAGTGTACCCTTTTTAAGTTAATAGAAACAGAATAAGATAAGAAAGTTGCTACTTCTTCTACACCCTCGAATTCTCGTGCATTAATTTCCCTAATAATAAGAAGAAATTTTAGAATTTGAAACAAATTGTGTACGTTTCATAACATTATTACAAAAGAATTGATAATAATAACCTTCTTTCTTTTTATTTTACACATATTCATATAATTAAAAAATAATACAACACACTAAATGTCAGAAGTTGTTGAAAAAGTGGTGGTTCCAGATAACGCCGTCACTGCTAATGAAGAATCAAAGACTGAAGCCGGTAAATGTGTCTCCTGGGTTCAATCTTCTTTGAAGACTTTGATCTTCATCGCTATCATTGTCGCTTCAATCTCTTCAAGGTTGTTTGCTGTCATTAGATTCGAATCTATTATTCATGAATTCGATCCGTGGTTTAATTATCGTGCTACCCAATACCTTGTTAACAATTCTTTCAAGGATTTCTTAAACTGGTTCGATGAAAGAACTTGGTATCCACTAGGTAGAGTCACCGGTGGTACTCTATATCCAGGTCTAATGACTACTTCTGCTTTCATCTGGCATGCATTGAGGAAGATCGGTCTTCCTGTTGATATTAGAAACATTTGTGTTCTTTTCGCTCCTGCTTTCTCTGCCGTTACTGCTTATGCCACTTATAAATTAACTTGTGAATTAAAAGATCAAAAAGCTGGTCTTTTAGCTGCTGCTTTCATTGGTATCGTTCCAGGTTATATCTCTAGATCAGTTGCTGGTTCTTACGATAATGAGGCCATTGCTATCACTTTGTTGATGGCCACTTTCATGTTCTGGATTAAAGGTCTAAAACAAGGTTCCATCTTGAACAGTAGTTTTGCTGCTCTATGTTATTTCTACATGGTTTCCGCTTGGGGTGGTTACGTCTTCATCACTAACTTGATTCCATTCCATGTCTTCTGTTTGATTCTAATGGGTAGATACACCGCTAAGATCTACGTTGCTTATAACACTTGGTTTGTTATCGGTACTATTGCCTCCATGCAAATTCCATTCGTCGGTTTCCTACCAATCAAATCTAACGATCATATGGCCGCTCTTGGGGTCTTCGGTCTATTGCAAATTGTCGCTCTAGGTGATTTCATTAAGGCTAAGATCTCTGAAAAGAAATTCAAGGTTATCATGTGGGTCTCTGTCATCTTAATCATGGCTATTGGTGTTGCTGGTCTATTTGCTCTAACTTATTTGGGTCTAATTGCTCCATGGACTGGTAGATTCTATTCTCTATGGGATACTAACTACGCTAGAATCCACATCCCAATCATTGCCTCTGTTTCCGAACATCAACCTATCACATGGCCAGCTTTCTTCCTGGACACCCATTTCTTGATCTGGTTGTTCCCAGCTGCTGTCTTCTTGATGTTCATGGATCTAAAGGATGAGCATGTCTTCATCATTGTTTACTCCGTCCTATGTTCTTACTTCGCTGGTGTTATGGTCAGATTAATGTTGACTTTGACTCCAGTTATCTGTATCTCTGGTGCTGTTGCTCTATCTAAATTGTTCGATATCTATTTAGATTTCTCCCCAATTTTCTCTACTAAATCCACTGGTACTAAGAAATCCTCATTCATGACCGTCCTAACCCGTGGTCTAGTTTCTGCCTCTTTCGTTTACTACCTATACTTATTTGTCCACCATTGTACTTGGGTTACCCAATCTGCTTACTCCTCTCCATCTGTTGTCCTACCTTCTCAAAACAGAGACGGTTCTATGGCTATTATTGATGATTACAGAGAAGCTTACTACTGGTTACGTATGAACACCGACTACGATGCTAAGATTGCATCCTGGTGGGATTACGGTTACCAAATTGGTGGTATGGCTGACCGTACCACTTTGGTTGACAACAACACCTGGAACAACACCCATATTGCTATCGTCGGTAAAGCCATGGCTTCTCCAGAAGATGTCTCCTACGAGCTATTGAAGGAACATGACGTCGATTACGTTTTGATTATCTTCGGTGGTGTTCTAGGTTTCGGTGGTGATGATATTAACAAGTTCTTATGGATGATCAGAATTGCCGAAGGTATCTGGCCAGAAGAAGTCAAAGAAAGAGATTTCTTTGTCAACCAAGGTGAATTCAGAGTGGATTCTCAAGCATCTGAAACAATGAAGAAATCTTTGATGTACAAGATGTCTTACAATGGTTTCCCAGAATTATTCCCAGACGGTCAAGGTCAAGACAGAGTTCGTCAACAAACCATCACTGCTGATGATGTTGAAAACTTGGACTACTTTGATGAAGTATTTTCTTCTGAGAACTGGTTAGTTAGAATCTACAAGTTGAAGGATGTTGATGTTGAAGGTAGAGATCTTTCAGATGTTGCTGAATTCGAAGCAGCTAAGAACTCCAAGAGAAGTTCGAACAAGAGACCACAAATCGAATTGAGAGTCTAAGATAGGAATATGTCTATCAATACTCAATTTATGTACAAAAAAAAATATTAGAATATATAAATATATATTAAAAACTCAATAAAAAATCATAATAGTAACAAAAAAAATTACGTTTTATAGTTTGCATTGTTAAATAAAAAGAAAAAGATTGAGATACTTAGATAATTAGATATATTAGTTAGCCTTCTTTTCAGTAACTACTGGTTCAGGAACAGCTTGTGCCAAAAACAACTGGTTGATTACAAATTCGATGCTAGCTAGGACGTTAGTCAATGCCCAGACCCAGATACCTAGCGAGACACCAACAGCGGTTCCTTTATATACCGGAACCTTGGATGCAATAAAAGTAACATCGTAAACAGTGTTTATTTTGCTCAACACGAAATCTAGTGGATACATGGCAACAAATAACCACCCTTGATGCCAAGTACCGTTAAACAAATGTGGGAACATCTTGTTACTTGGTAAATAATAAACAATCTCTTTACCCTTCCACATCTTCAAAGCAAAGAAAGGTAATGTCAGACCAACTAATTTACATGTCTTTAACAGCTGTTGACTCTTAGACGCTTGTTCATGGATTTGAGCCTTCAGAGTCTTTAATTCAGTGGCTAATTTATCCAGTTTTCTATTATTCTTGGTCCATTTGGCGTAGTTATCTTGGGCCGAGATCGAATGGTTCTCCTCTTGAAGTAGCTTCTGTTCGTGTAACTTACTCATGTAGTCCTTATATGAACTCGTATTACCTTGAGTGAACTTGCTGACCCATGATTCATGGTAGTTTGCAGAATATTGCAGAAATTTCGTGATGACAACGAACATTAAGGTCGTGGCAAGCACCCAGTACTCCATAGTAAGGTCGCTCATCTTTTTTATCCTTGGTGGCTGCTATCGGTACTTTCTCAGGATAAATTAGTAGATTGAACAGTACCTTCTTCTTATCCTCTTTCTGTCTCTTGTAATAATATTACCGTTATCAATTGGTTTATCTCTGTCTAATTGCAGCTTTATTGGTATATATCTCGTTCTTTAATTTCGAAATAATTTTTCAGTTTCTCAAAGCAAAAACAATTTTAGAATTTTAGAAACAAAAAGAGACATACAAAGAATCAACTTACTCATCCAGATAGAAGAGACAGAAAGACAGAGACAAGCAGGAGCGAGAACCAGATCGATACTTAAACTAGGGTAGATGTCAACAGAGTATATTGACAATAACTCACGCTCGTCAGATGAGGACAGTGGGACATACGATGAGTGGATCCCATCGTTCTGTTCACGGTTTGGTCATGAATATTTTTGCAGAGTACCCACCGATTTCATCGAAGATGACTTCAACATGACTTCGTTGGCCCAAGAGGTACCGCATTACCGTAAAGCTCTGGATTTGATCCTTGATTTGGAAGACGTCAGTGACGACGAGTCTCAGGGACAGAATAGCTACGACCAGGACGGAGACCACAACATGGATGCTTCAAAGGAGAAAGATGGTAAAGGAAAGACACAGATCGTGAACCGCAGCATCATTGAACATGCAGCTGAACAATTATATGGGTTGATCCATGCCAGATTTATCCTGACGAAACAAGGTCTACAAGCAATGGCAGAGAAATTCGACCATAAACAATTCGGGACATGTCCTCGATATTATTGTAATGGGATGCAATTACTTCCATGCGGACTAAGTGATACTATTGGTAAACACACTGTGAGATTATATTGTCCAAGTTGCCAGGACCTATATTTGCCTCAATCTTCGAGGTTCTTGTGTCTGGAAGGTGCTTACTGGGGCACTAGTTTCCCAGGTGTATTTTTAAAACATTTCAAGGAGTTAGAGGACTATGTTGAACGTAAGGGAAAGGAATCTTATCAACTAAAAGTGTTTGGATTTAGAATTGCAGACCAAGCTATTTCAGGTCAGAGAATGAAGTGGTTGAGACAATACCCTTCGACTGAAGAAGAATGGGATGAGTTTGCAAAATGTGAATTCGAACTACCCCAACCATAACGAGTATCCTTAATAAATAACGATATACATTTATATAATATGCCACAAGTACGTATATTCTACTAACCCTCAAATCTTAGAATTAAAGAACAAATATTTGCATAGATATATATATATATTCGTATATGTATTTTCTTCTCTAATGTTATTACTACTATTTACTGAGGGAAGGGTTGTGTTCTTCTCAATGAATCAATTCGATAGGTTTCCCTGGAGCCCATTCCTTGATGGCCAATGCTAAATTTGCCCAGTATTTCAATTCTACTGTTAGTTTAATTGCTGTGTCAAAGTCTGATTGTGCAAACGCCTCAGTTAATTTTGTTTCGATATCCTTCATACGACTCTTATTCTCCTTCTCTATGGAACAAACATCTTCCTCAGCATCACATTCCGAGAGCTCTTCATGGATATCGATGATCTTCATTAGTAACTCAGGGTCACTATTTGTAATTTGTTTCTTCACTTCATCGTTTGTCAAATCAATCTCATCCAGGATTTTAATCAGATATTGCGACCTTGTCAAAGGTGCTTTCAATGTATGATAGGCCTTGTTCAAAAGAGACGATTGATCCTCAGGCCCCTCCTTAACTACATCCGGATGAAACTGAGCCTGTAAAGACCTATACTCCTTACGTAACTTGGCTTGATCTACTTCCCAAACAGGTTTTTTGTCCTGGAACGTCTTAGGGAATAACTCATAATATGTAGAGATGGATCTCGTAAACATGGCTAAGGGAGACGACCGTATACTCACATTCTTTAAAAGGCCACGGCACAACATACTCGTAAACTTACTAGACCTCTCCTGTTAGCCCATCTATTGGAGCTGCTTTACCACAAACCTAAGAAAGAAAGAGATAGAAAACGTTCCCCTTCTTCTTCAACCATTTTCTAATTCATAGCCTGAAAAATTATTTCAGGCTATGAGAAAATTGAAGGTAGGCAAGTTATAAAATCATAAGAAATAAAACAATAGTCATCTCTCTTTCGATAAGAGGAGAAGGGATTTACCAGACCAGAGTAAGGCATATACAGTCAGCAGAGAAGATCAAGGGAAAGACGAAGAGTTGGTATCATATTGGGTTTGAACAGAATGGATATTGCAGAGAGGCTGATCATGACGCAGCCGATGTACTTCACGGAACCTTGCAATAAGTGTGGCTATTGCAGAGGTGAAAAGGAAGATGTTGAGAACTATTATTCACTTAAGTCACTTTGTAATGGTGGGCATGACCGTAAAGTAGAGAATTGTACGGTGGGGTTTCAATCCGAAAATATGACAATTTCAACGTATGATTCGTTGTGCAATATGGGATATCGTCGGTCAGGCCATTTCATATATAAACCAGATCTGTTACGTAGTTGTTGTCGGTTGTTTACCATCAGAACTACCCCTGACCAAGTGAAATTGACCAAAGAATACAAGAGTTGTGTTAAAAAATTTAAAAACTTTGTTCAACCTGAACAAGGGAAGCCCAAAAAGAAAGGAAATGCTCCTTTTGATTATATTCAGGAATTATCTGAAATTGATAGAAATAAAAGTGATTTTTATACCAGATATGAACCTGCTACTTATACAGAAGAGAAATATGTGTTGTTTGCCCGGTATCAAGAAAGTGTACATAATGACTTCAAACATAACAAGAAATCGTTTGAACGGTTTTTATGTGATTCACCATTCCCTGAGCATATCAAGATGGGTACTGAGGAGGAATGGGAACAATTGAACGAATTAGGTAGTAGAATTCCAAGTTCATTCTCATTGGGAGAACCTTTGAAGAGGCTAGGCCCAGCTCATGAATGTTACTATTTTAAGGATCAATTGATTGCCATTGCAGTGACAGATTTCCTGCCGAGTGGGATGTCTTCAGTTTACTTCATTTGGGATCCAGATTTCAAAAAATGGTCTTTAGGTAAACTGAGTGTCCTGAGGGAATTGTCTTTGTTGAGTAAGACTGATAAACCATATTATTATCTGGGTTATTATGTAGAGGACTGTCACAAGATGAATTACAAGGCAGCCTATGGTGGCGAATTACTAGATGTTTGTAACTCAAACTATGTGTCCCTGGATTATTTGAAAAGAGAGCATCATATTGATCATGGTCATCTATTCACATTTGGTGGAAGTGATAACATTCAAGGTGAAATTGAAATTGATGATAAATTGAATCACGATTTCCAAAAATGCGACATTTCTTCGACAGGTCTGAAAGATATTGCAGAAGGTATATTTGGGATGAATGGTGTGGTGGCCCATAATGAATCTCAACAGGAAGACGTTATTGCGACTATACGGAAGTATGGGATTAACTATCATAGCCAGAACTACATTGATTCACTATACAAAAGTGAATCAAAGTCTGATTCTGATGAGGATAAGGATAGTGACATTGATTCCTCTACAAAACAGCCCCCACAGATGCTGACAACTTTGCCCAATGTCCTACCGGGGCTCGTTCCATTGACTGAGCTACTTTCGATGCTTGAGATGGATCGTATGCGTGAACTGGATGGCAAGCTACTCATTTACAATACCGAATTGCAACAGATAAGACCGATTTTTGATTTCTATAGTGAACCAGAGGAGATCAAGACTACTGTTTGCAACGTCGTCAGGCTCCTTGGTATGCGTCTAGCAAAGAGGGCGCTTGTCATAATTTAAAACATAACCTCATATGTAAAAGTAAAATGTAACGAATATAGCATGAACACGAAACTAACTAAAATTATACCTGACGCTTTGTTTCAATATATATATACACATAGATATATATGTCAGTTGTCGATGGTATAGTGTCGTCTACGTAATCACTTGAGGACTGCATCAAGTGAAAAAAAATGTTTTTTTGAAAGTGAAAATTTCTGACAAAATTTCGATCATTCGATTTTGACATATCTTCCATTCTTTGAAAAGCTCCCAGAGCTAGAATATCTGATTTAGAGCTGTCACATTTTATTGAAACCCTCTATAGTAGTCCAATAATAGTCAGTTGACTGAGCATTACCATTAGCATGAGCAGCATCGAGGAAGTTGTTAGTCTCATCGAGACACTATACTCGCCAAACCCAACCATCGATGTTAATCAAATTCAACAAAACTTACAAGCCATACAAAAATCGAATGATGGTATCCACTTAGCAAATCAGCTATTAACTGGCACATCTTATAGCAGTAATGTGAAGTATTTTGGTGCCCTTACCTTGACTGTCCAACTAAATCTAAATGCGGAGTCTTTCGATACTTTCTGGAGACTTTTCAGCAGTAACTTGGTCCATTTGGTTAGATTATGTGGTATATATACAAGTGACACCCGCACAAATGCATCATTGATGATTGCTATTAAGAAATTAATGTCCAATTTGTCCTTAATCTTTATTACTATTAATGAGACTGAACATATTACACAGGACGACAATGAGCGAATTATTAAACAATGGAATAATCCGATTAATACATTCATTAGGTTATTTTCCGAATATAGCTCAAACCCAGCATTAGCCACTAACTGGACTAATCTGGAAGATCCTATGATAGTCCAATTGTTGCAACAATCTATTAATTGTGATGTCTCGTACGATGATCTTTTAAAATTTGTTGCAACATCTCAAACGTTTAACGAATTATCATTAACCTTTACAGAGATTATTATTGAAGATCTAACAAAATATCAATCCAAAAAACATAATGTAACAAGAATTCACCAAATAGTGCATGAACATCTATATATTTCCACCATGGCATTGTTAAACATCAATATTACTTTACAATTAAATCACATGTATAACATTACAAAGTTGCAACTCAATGACATTGTATTCAAATGTACCTCTGCTTGGATCAATTATATATCTATGACAAGACATATGTCTTCAGGTGGATCCATGAATTTGTCAGAAATCTTTCAAAACTTAATGAACTTAATGTGTCAATCATCAGAACAAACAGATAATTTTTATATTGCTGAGAAAATATTATCCATTTTTGGTAATGTATTTGCTAATGATCCAACAATTATGGGCTTTGATTTAAGACAACAGATAGAGGTCATCTTCTTGGGGATCTCACGTGCCTCTAATGCAAACATCGATACCTCTAAGAATGCATGGATGTTACAATATATGAATTATTTAGTGACCAACGAAATGACCGATGAGTTGAAAGAATTGGCCATCTGTATTGTCGATTATTTACAAATCAGTAATTTAGATGTTTGTAATAAATTATTCACTTCTGTTCATTCAAACGATACTAATATATCTCAAGAATATATTAAAGTTTTACTTCAAATGACAAATTTTCCATTAATTCCTGTTCAGCAAGAATTCTTTTCTGTAAGAATGGTTGATTTTTGGGCCGACTTGGCTGATTCTTATATTAATCTACCAAATGAGGCATTGTTACCCAACTCTACTCAAATTGGTATTGATATTTTCCAACAAGTCATTAACATCTACTTACCCAAAATTTCATTACAAAATAAACAAACGATTATTGAAGAAGATCCCCAAGATGAATCAGCTGTTCATGAATTTGATGATTTCAGAAGTGCAGTAATAGAATTAAGTCAGAACTTATGGAGCATCTTAGGCAATGAACATCTAACGAATATGCTTGTTGGAGGAATTGGTTCATCTGATGCTTCTACCCTACCTGAAGATGGTAAGATGGCTGTGTTTTACCAAATTGAAGCTATGGCATTTATTGCCAATGCTTTAATGTCTGACATGAACCTTTCAGAAAGCCCATGGATTTTGAACATATTACGCAAGAATCCATTTTTTATGCGAAACATTCTGCTCTTATTCCAGGTTAGTATCCAAATGTCAGTAACAGATAAAACTGTAGGTATGTTAAAAATAAATATGATTCGTTCTAGTTCTAAAATGATAGGCACTTTAGCTGGATACTTAACAAGCAATGAATCGGACTTAAGTCAATGTATTCAAACTCTTTTCCAAGGTTTGGAATCTTGTTCTGGAGATCAATCATCTAGTAGAGAAATAAACGATACGGTAGAAGTTATGATTATAAAAACAATATCGATTATATGTGACATTTGTCGCCAACAACTGTCAGGACAGTATTTGGATCATTTCATTGGTGTACTTTCTTCATTACTACAACCAACAGCCACAGTTTCCAGTTTCACCAGAAGTACTTTGACCAAATCCGTTGGTTACATTATTGAATGTCGTGTTCAAAATGGACCAGAAGAACAAGGTAAATATATTGTTCAGATTCTAAATATGATTGAGGATTTAATCGACCAGTGTTTGGATTCTCCAGCTAATGTTCAACACGAACGTAAGGATTATGTCTTAAATTTATTAGGTTGTATATCTGAATTTGGATCCTCAATGATTCACGACGAGGACTATGAATCCCCAGCATTGATCCAGCAACTACAACAGTATCATGAATTTTGGAAAAATGACCCATTCCAATGTCGTGGGAAATTATTGGTGCTCCTCGAAAAAATATTATCAAGTCCAGTATATAATAAGGATTCTGGTTTTGTAGAGGTATGCTGCCTGATCCTGGGTAAGGCACTGACTCTACCAGACCAGGATCCTCACTTCTTGAGGTATTCGATGTCTGATATAACGAACGTGATGTTGAAATATGTTCAGGTTGTCGAGCTATCAACATCGCTCCCTTTCTTTATTTATTTGCTAGAAAGGCTTGTCATTCAATTCAAAACACAACTTAGTATCGATGAATTTGATTACTTGTTCAATGAGTTGTTCATTAAATATTACGATACTTTGATTGGGAGAGATCCCGATCTACTACAAATGATGATAAATTTTGTGATAACTGTTCTTGATAAAGCGCCACATTTGGTTATCAACAGTAAATGTTTACCGGTATTTATCATTCCACAATGTTTAAAACTGTTACCATCTAATGAAAAGTTTACTATTGTCGCAGTTACTAAATTCTGGACTAAATTTATTAATAATAGAAGGTATTCCCAAGCAGACCTTACTGGGATGCAAGCTCTTATTATGGCACATGGTCAAGAACTAGTATATCAAACAATGTATGGTCTGTATCATACTCAGAGATCTGACCTGAATTCCTATACTGATCTAATCAGAGGACTGGTAGCTAAATTTCCAATGGAGACTAAAGGATGGCTTGTTAGTGCTTTACCACAGATATGTGATAAACCTTCAATTCATGAAAAATTCGTTAATAGATTGTTCGTTACAAGAGGAAGTCGAGCGGCTGCAAATGTTATTCTAACGTGGTGGTTGGAATGTACATCTTTGCCCTCATACTAATCTAAAACAGAGCACATACAGAACAATTATATAGATATATATTTAGTAATAATAAATAAGCTAAAAAAAAATCTAATTCTGGTAAACATCTCGTTCAAAGGCGCATCAGCGGCTAAATTTGAACAAAAAAATTCAAAAAATAACGTCACAGACAGGATTCGAACCTGCGCAGGTAAAACCCAATGCCTAATTGCTGTTTCAATGAAATAGCAGGGCATCGCCTTAACCACTCGGCCACTGGGACATTTTTATTGGTCAAATATGTAACATGCTTGGCCTTTTACCTTAGTCAAAATTGTGAATACAGATTGGCAGAAGAGTATATCTGAATGGAATTTGAATCGTGAACTGTTAAACAGAGTTACTGTTGTTAAATGTTGAATATGTAGCGGCAGCACTAAAAAGGCTAACATTAGCTTAACCTATCTGAAGGTGAAGGTGGCTAATATAAGTAGAATTTAGAGTGTGCTGCACTGTCGTATATATAATAACACATGATATATACTGCATAATGTAGTATTCGTTCCCCCTACATTGGGTTTATTGGAGCTACATAGTCCAACGTTACTATGTACAAAAGATGAGCAGTTTAACAACAGCAACTCTGTTTAACATTAAACTACACATTTTTGTACTTAGTAACGTTAGACAACGTAGTTCTAATTGTCGGAAATATATTATGTAAACGTAAGTTTGAAATCGAGAATATACGATTAGTATTCGAGTTGAAATTATCGGACATAGTTATAGATATTCAAATGTATAATCTTGTGGTTTTTTTTATGTTATATAAAGTAAGTCTATATAAGGAAGATTGTATAGATATAAAGTTAGAATATAATTGTTTCCATAATTTACTTTATATATTTTTATATAAGATGAAAAAAGATCAGACGACTATAAGTTGATTTTATAATATAATAAAATTTGTTCAGTTAAATAGAAGATGTCTAATATTCAATTTTCCCATCAATTTTCCCATCATATATATTATATTAAGAGCTTCCTTTTATATCATTTTCTTTAAAGATTTTTATTTCCTCAATTACATTTTCATTTCTGTTTAGTTTGACTCTTATCAATGGTTGACTCTTAACTGTTTTTGACTGTTACCAATAACTATGCCTAAAGGTATATCTTTACCTATTGAAATTAAGTGTGATACATATTGCTCATAATTTCTGACAAAAATATCACACATATATTTTGCTTTCTTAACATTAAAACTAAAGCTACGCATTCACCTCTATACCAAACCCTATAAATAATGAACGAACATAAGTCTAACACCAATATGTCTGCTTCAGCTCACTTATGTCTTTTTCAGTGCAAGTTTGGTAAACGAGTTGATCGATTCCCATGATTTTAGAACCAAATTTCCGGAAGTCTATGGAAGTGTTGTTTAAGGATTTCGAAGAAAGGGGGATTGGACTAACTAAATGACATGGTATTAAAAATACGTAGTCTAAGAGGGTACTCGATAGTATAAACTGAGAGTCCTTCTCCACGATAGACCTGCAGTTGGCAGAGGAGAGGGGGGACCTAGACTGTTTGCCTGATCTCTTTATTCATTGGGATGAAAAAATGTCCTGCAATCTACAAGAAAGTGACAACCGAGTTACATCCTGTGATAGGTAGCAGAGAATACAATACACTAAGTTATTGTAAAGCCATCACACTGTCTATAAACTTGAAAATTTGCCCACAGGACCTTATATGCAAGTTCAATAAATTTTGGATACCGATTTTAAACGCAACACACCTCCAGTTAGGTAATAGGTATCGGGATAGATAAGGGAGATATGCGTTTGGGATTTGTACTCAGGCGGTATTTTGCAATCTGGAACGAGGAAGTGGACCCGCTTATACCAGTGGAGCCTTATACTCAAATGGGTAGTCAGAAATTGATGACGATTGTGATATGCTTCCTTCATATTAGTATCCAGTCCAACCAATGCTCTATGAACTATTTACTAAGGGGAACACAAAACAGTATGTTGACTACTTAAGCAAAACAGAAACGTATATATATGATGATGATGATGGAAGAGGAAGCTACTAAAGATCGTTGGAGACTGAAGGGAATATAGATGGCTACATACAGAGAGGGACCACAGACCACATTTATTCTATATGGACGAGAAGAGCTCGAAAGGACGAGTGATGAATATAGCGACGAACAAGAACAAGTGTAAATAGAATGGACGTGCGATATATTGGCTCAATTAATCGGAACTTTCCAGGATATATTATAGAAGCTGGACCATCAACGAGCAAGCTAATGTTTTTCTGAGGATATAGCGACAATGAATAGTTTATATACTGTCCAAGAACTTTAAATAAGTGTAAATATTAAAAAGTTGTAGGAATATACTTCAAAATACCACTGATAATGTTGATATTTATAATTTAGAACACAGACTTTATAAATAGTAAATTGTTTATTTTTTTTTTTTATATTTTGTTGAAAATGGTGTCTATCCGGAAACTTCATCATTATGCTCCCAGAGTAAATAAAAACACAAAAGTGACAAATATAAAATATAAAATTGTAAAGACAAATAGAATTAGATGCAAACACTTCAGTATGAACAAGAAAATAGAAAATAGACTAATACAGATCACACACAAACAACATAGTTCATGGAATCGTAGTTCTTCTAATCCAATTTAAAAAATGTGCAACGCTCTCTTGGCAGAAAAGAAGCTGGCACTCTCAATGGATCTAACCAAGAACAACAAACATTATTGCCTTCCATCATCATCTCTTGGAGTAATCTATGGAGCAATTCTAGCTAACTTCCATTAATGCCGTGAGCAAGTTTAACAAAGCAGCAGCGCACTGATTTCCCATGTGTTTCCTATATGTTTCTGGCGGTCCTATATATTTCCATTGATGGCTGTTTTGTGGCATTTGAAACCGACTAATGCATAACCTGTGGAAATTGTGCCGGTAAAGAGAAACAAGCTTGAAACAGTTCAGAAACAGTTTCCACTATCCTGCCATCTGACAGCGTTCCGCTCGAAATGCGCCGCACCGCACCACCGCACCTGTTTCAATTTTCAGATGTTACCGGGGTGCGTTAGCAGTTTCCGTATCGTTTCTCTTTTGTTTCCCACCCCAATTTCGTTCTTTTCTAGATGAATACACGCATGCAACTTTACCCCAGAAATTAGCGTTTTTCCTGAAGCCTGAAGGTGGTTCTCAACACACCCATGCACCGCACATAGGTGTGCTGGGATCTGCCACTCTGGTATGACATAATATACACAATCTAAGTTGTAAGATCAGGGCAGAAGGACACACTGTGGATTAAACAACATCCACATATATCTCTGGAATAGGAAAACGTTTATTTATTTGTTTGGAGGGGGTATTATACAATATGTACGAATATACATGATGGTGATGGTGATGGTAATGGTAATGGCATCAGTACTCTTGAACAGAGGCTTTGTCTGAAAACATTTGAGACTCCGGAATCCTATCAATCTTTCGCCAAGTAGTATACAGAGCCGGGTTCCATGCCATACTTTTAGGGTCGTCGAATGTGGAAACCTTTTTGAGGGCCTCTGCCCTTGCCACAGCAACAGTACCGCCTGCACGTTCCAGTTCGATCGCAGCTCTCTCCCTCAGAAATTGTTCCATCGACCAGGTGAGGTATCTGTCTTGAACTGCCTCAGGCAGTTCATGATACTCTTCAATGGTCATACACTTGGCCATCTTCCTGAAATTGTATGTGATGCGGACAGGCATGCTTTAGTTTATTATGTATTTAGTTTGGTGTACTGATAGACGACTTAGCAACACTATTTCATTTTTGCAAAGAATGAATACATGTCACTCTGTTACCGCTGGAACCGGAGAAGTTGTGGTTACTTTTATATGTTTTGATACCGAAGATGTGGTTACCTTGATTAGTAAATTATTATTACCCATTGGGTTATGTACTGCAATATGCTACTTCTACATTATTGTTTTCTTGTTTTCTTGTTTTCACCTTTTGGCTATTCATGTAACTGCCAACTACCTGAGTCGTTCTACCAAAATGTCGAATGTATGTAAAATTCCCACATCTTTAATACCCTTTCTGGTTATTATCCAACGATCACATTGCACAGCGTTATGTGACATTCCAGCTTTACCTCATCTGTCACCTCTTTTTTCGGTACCGCCGCGTGAAAGGAGGGAGGGCGACGACGTTATACTTGACTAAAATTGGAATTCATGCAATACCTCTTGGAACGACTCACAATTGTCTGGTTGTGTAAAAGAGTACCCTAGAACAATGCGATTAACAACGGCAAGTTACAAGAATCTAGTGCTGTTTGAGGTCTTGAAAGAAATACCTTTTGAAGTTTTATTTTGTCAGAATGAACGGACCAATTGCTACGGCTACTCTCCTGAAGAACACAGTCAAAAGTAAAATATTTGGTTTTACCTTTCCTTTTTTCCAATAATACGAAATTCAATTTGCGTTTACCCATTTTTGTTTAGTGGTACAACGAAAAAGGTTTTCTTTTTACAACATTATATAACTAGTTTTTACCTACCATCATTATCAAAAGTCAAGACAGATATTAGTTTCTAAAACGTTCTTTTTTTTTCGTATAAAAATGGAAGGCATCTTGCAAAGTACTCGATTCATAATTCTTATCCTTCAGTAATTTAAAAACCTTTCTTAAAAAACTATACAAAAACAAATTAATATCAAACCAAATTATGAACGTTTCTACCAATTTGCCGTTTAATGCCGCTGCTGTCGATTATACAGAACTCAATCTAAGTATTGTACTAAATATCATTACTTTGACAAGCACATTCATTACCTGTTCTGCTGCTCCATTGAGCGGGTTTGCTGCTGGGTCATGTATTTTTAATACTTTGGCTCTTATTTCAAGTCTAATGTTAAACATACTCATTGGCATAGATAACTCATTGCCAGAAGGTGGGTCCGTTGGAGATTTATTCACCAAGATCGGCGATGAACTTGGTTCCAAACTGGGGAATTCCGAGACTCCCTTGTTTAAGAATACTATTAAAAAAATGGGTTCAATTGGTGATATTTTCGAATATGAGGTTACTGAGGATGGACTTAGATGCGTCTCTGTTCAAATTGGTAAATTAGGGAGTAATATCTTACCAGCAGTCAGAGAAAGTGTCTGTATCACCCCAGTTGGTCTAGAACTGGTTACCAAACCACACAAAGTATCAGTTAAGAGTATGGTCAGTACATTAAGACAAAAATTGAACAGCAAGGAAGAAAACGGTTACACTCAAGAAGTAGCCAGCGCTTATGCCAAATACGGAACATTAGGTTCTGTTATTATCGATAAACTTGGTGAGTTACACAATATGTTTTCTGCAAATAAGTTATCTGGCGCAAACACAACAGTTTCTGTCAATGTAGAACACGACAATGAGCTAATGCTCCAGATCGCTTTGAAGCTGATTTGAATGTCTTTATTTAATTTTAATTTTAATTTTATCCCTGTACCCACCCCTCATATCAACAACCTGAAAGCTTATTTTGACTCGTAAGTGGTTCCTGATCCTATAATACGTCCACTGTCACCAGCATTGGTTCACGAACCAAATGTCCCCCGGCCACCCATCGCCTCCTCTTCTTGCTCCCCCACCCCACCCACCTCTTTTCTCGCTTCTCCTCACGCCGATCCGCGGAATTGCCGAATAAAATATCGTGCAGCCACGCCACATCCTCCGCAAACAGAAAGAGAAAGCGATGTGGTGTGGTCTTTATTATGGCATGCGCACAGCCACACATCACATACAAAATCCAACCACCATCCGCTCCGCTGCGTCTCCTTCACAGTCGCCGCCCCCTGCCCCCCCGGGTGAAAACATCAAAGGAATACCAAAGCCACAGCAAGTGGAAGGTGCAAATAACAGCAAATGTCGTTAATGAAAGTTGGAATTAAATGCGGGGGCAGCGAAGGAATGACCAATAGCAAATTAAAGGGAATGTTGAGAAACTAAACAGATAAAGAACACTTCTTGCCATTCGACGGAAAAAAATATTTGTATAAAAGGGCAGGATTCTCTCCCTTTTCCAAGCCGTCTATATTCCTTTCCCATCTTATTTATATTTATATATATTCCGTTTTATTATTCACTAATACAGATCATCGTACTACAAACTTATACAAACACACACAAATAAACACACATACACAAACAAACAATCATGACTAGAACTAACAAATGGACCGTTCATGAAAGCAGAGCCGATGCTAGATACTTCACCCACAATGGTAATTTTGGTGAATCGCCACAACATATTAAGAAAGGTGGTTCTGGTAGAGGTGGCTGGGGTAAGGCCGGTGACGAAATCAATGATTTAGTCGATTCTGGTGAAATCCAACCTGTTTACAACAAGAAGAGAAGACCTTCTAATGTTAACAATCAAATGAACGCTAAGAGATTTGAAGATATTCAAAATTATCAGATTTGATATAGAAACATTTATATATCTATATTTAACGATCCCCCCAATCATTTTCTTTTAATGACGTAATGAACTAACGAAATCTTCTACCTATCAATATTATTATATCAATTTCAATATATATATATATATATATATATATATACTTTTAACGTTTACACAATAAATACTTCACGACTTTCAAATCAATATGACATGCCCTTTTTCATATTTCTGGCAATATATAAATCTCTTTGAGACTCAATACGATCAACTATTGTCTGTTTAGTTAAATATTTACTGAAATTACCATTTGAAAGTAAATCCTTTGAATCAATCTCAATTATATTATTAATATCAATATTAGAATATTCGGGTTCAATAATCACTCCATCAACATACTTACAACTTAATATACTCAATAAACGTTCTTTTAATGACATTATGGTTCTTTGTCCTCTTGGATCTAATCTTCTTAATCCAATATATATTTCCCTTTCAGGATATAATATTTCATAAGCATGTTGTAATTGTTCAATATGACCCATATGAAATAAATCAAAATCACCATTAATAATAATATAACCCTGGGTAGTAGATCTCATTAAACCCTTCACTAATATGTTTTGTAAATTTTTGTCAAAGACAAAACATTTAATATCATAACCGTTACAATCACTTGAATATTTAGTTAATAGTTCTTGACTGGGCATTGAATCTTCATATTCATATTTATGTGTTAACATTCTATGAATAATATCCGTTGTACTAACACCATCAGTTCTCTTCACCACACGGAATCGTCCAAGATCCTTCATTTCTTGATAACAGTCCTCACCATTAGCATCGAGAGTAATATCATCTCCATGGACAACATATTTACAACCATATCCATCCAATACTTTTGGATCCGTCACATAAGGTGCATCACGAATCACACGTGAACACCATCTATTAGACATCGTATGAGCATATCTTTCCTCAGAATTCATTACAGGTGGACCTTTATTGAATGTTATATCTGCATCATTATGAACACCACAATATAATTCGCCATCAGTAGCATTTTTTGGAATTGTACGACGAGCCTGTAGAATGGCACCTGCATGTCCATAGTGCGTGAAATCAAAACACCCGTCAATCCACACTTTATTCTCTTTTAGTTGCATATCGATCATCAGCCGTTTTATCTCGACATCGTTTTATCTTTTTGTTTGTTTATTTGTTACACTATCAAAAAAATACGTAAACGATTTCGTGCTTTTTCTAGTTTTTAAATTTCTCTCTCTCTCTTTCTGTCTTCACGATATGGGGAAAATCAAAAAAAAGAAAAGATTTTTGGTATTACGATTTTTGTTTCAGTAACCACGCTTTAAAACTGATCAGTCTTTTTACACTGATGATCCATAGTCTTGTGGTTTCATCGATCATGATATTTGCCACATCATTATTACCGAATCTACTAATCTTTTGTTGAGCAGATCTTGAATGAATACCAACATCACTAACACCAATCGGCCAAGCCACATCACCAATACTTAATTTCAAATAAAGTTGTAAACTGGATTCCATATCCGTCTTAGTGTCATGTTGTAAATGATACAAAAGACTGCTTAAAGTTGTGAGTAGTTTAATTGGAAGGGTATTTTTCCTTAATAATACAAGTAAAGGGAATAAATTCTTCTTAGTGTCGGCAAACATCGATTCTCCACCTTGATATGTCTTTACATGCCTGGACCACTGGGATAATATTTGATGAATGTATCTATTACATTGTGTAGCCACTTTCTCCCGTTTAGCATCATCATCAATATTTTGTATATCTTCAATGGTGATATTAACTTGGATAGGCTTTTTTCTTTCTTCTGCAATAATTTTCGCTATTTTCTTGGCACGTATATCCAAATCAGGTTTATCTTTAATATGTCTCTTTTCTATGACATCAGCATATATAGTGTCACTACTGGGTGGATTGTCTTTTGGTTGTGGTAATTCAGTCTCTGCCGATGACTTATCAGTATTGCCGCCGAGGTCCTTTTCTTCTTCTTCTTCTTCCTCTTCTTCTTGTACCTTCTCTTTAGCGGTAACAGTCTCCTTCCGTTTCTTCTCGATCTCTCTTTTGATAAGTTCACTAAGCCCCAAACTCATATCAATGATTTAATAGGTTCCTTGATCTCTAAGTTTCCATCACTTCAATTCCTGTACTTCTCTATCCCTTCCCTTCTTATAAGAACCATATTTGATTCTTCAAAAATCTCAAAAAGATCGTTTTTAAAAGAGGAATCATCGCTGAGAACCCTGCTCGTTAATAGTGATGCTAAAATGTCCGGGTAAAGGCTACTTCCGACTATTCTTCAGAGAACTACATGACAGATTCTGTTACTTACTGTTACCCATATATACATTCAAGTAGTTCCGTTGACTCTTCGACCTCGTTTAATTTGGTAACTCATACTGATTTTGATGGCAATTGAACAAACGTACTGTTATTGTTCTTTGCTAGGATTGATAAGATAAGTAATCTTCTAAGAGTACACACATAACCATTTTCATATCTATTTGCCAGTATAACAGCAACGAGTGCGTGCAAACCAATCAGTTTCCCAATGTAACATCCCTTTCCTTCTCTTTCAAACCTTCAACTTCACATAAAATGAAATAAAAATTTGTATGGAACAAAAAAAAAAAGGACTGAAAATTTGTATGGCGAAAAGCCAAATCAGAGAGATAAAGTAATAGCTTCAAAATAAGGATAAGATAACTTGAAAGAATTTTTAAACAAGAGCATATAAGCAGATAAGAAGAAGAAGAGAGAGAGGAGGAACTACACCCGCATACATTATCTACAATCACTGCTATAATTATGTCTGAGTCTGTTGCTGCTGCTGCCTCTGATCCCAAGCCTATTGCTACTACTGACGATGGTTACTTATCCCAGGAAGATGAAGTTTTTGATGGTAACGATATTGAAAATAATGAAGGTAAAGTTTATGAAGAATCACTAGACCTGGATCTTGGCCAAAGTAGTAGACAAATTTGGTTGGTTCGTTTGCCTATGTTTCTTGCAGAAAAATGGAGAGACAGAAATAGTTTGCATGGTCAAGAATTAGGTAAGATTAGAATTAATAAGAATGGTAGTCAAATTAAATTGATGTTAAATGAAAATGATAATGATGCTATACCGCATGAATATGACTTGGAATTGACCAAGAAAGTTGTAGAGAATGAATTCATCTTTACAGAACAAAATTTGAAGAAATATCAACAACGTGAAAGGGAATTAGCTGCTGATCCTGAAAAGCAAAGACAAGCATATTTAAAGAAGCAAGAACGTGAAGAAGAGTTAAAAAAGAAACAACAACAACAAAAACGTAAAAACAATAGAAGAAGATTTAATCATAGAGTCATGACCGATAGAGATGGTAGAGATAGATATATTCCATACGTGAAGACAATCCCAAAGAAGACAGCAATTACAGGTACTGTTTGTCACGAATGTCAGGTCATGCCATCTATGAATGATCCAAACTACCATAAGATTGTTGAAGCTAGAAGAAATATTGTTAAATCTAATAACAAGGAGAAGATTACTACATTGGATGAGACAGTCGGTGTTACCATGAGCCATACCGGTATGTCAATGAAATCTGACACATCTAATTTCTTGAAAGTTGGTCGTGAAAAGGCTAAGAGTAATGTGAAATCAATCAGAATGCCAAAGAAAGAAATTTTGGACTATTTGTTCAAATTGTTTGATGAATATGATTATTGGTCCTTAAAAGGTTTGAAAGAACGTACAAGACAACCAGAGGCTCATTTGAAAGAATGTTTAGATAAGGTTGCTTCTTTAGTTAAGAAAGGTCCATATGCATTTAAATATACCTTGAGACCAGAATATAAGAAACTAAAGGAAGAAGAAAGAAAGGCAACATTAGGTGAATTAGCAGATGACCAAACCGGTGATTCTCAACAAAATTCCGATGGCACCAATAATGGCGAAAATGAAAATGAGAATGAGGAGATCGATGATGAAATTGAAATGGAAGATGTTGTTTAATCTTGTTTAAGACTAGAAGGTTTATTATTATTATAGAGTTATATTTTTTGAAATGAAACAAACATACAAACTGCAATCGTAAGTGTATAACTTTAAACTATTAAATTTAAAATTAGTTAAACAGTGTATTTACGTGTTTTAATATCTATATAATGTTATATTTCGAATACCATAATATCTTAGTATTACTATGCATGAAAGAAAAGTCTATAGGAATATGAGAAAAGAAAAAAGAAAACGAAAAATTCAGTTCTTGTTTTATCACAAATATCGAAGTGAATCTATTCCTTTATTCCTACAATGCTGATGTGAATCATCTTCGGATTCTGTCTCAGTTTCATCAAACGAGGAATCGTTTGCAGGAATTATTCTTACATTCTGTACGTTACTAAATGATACTGATCTTCCTCTACCATCGTCACCATCACCAACTTCTTCTTCTTCTTCCTTTTTTAAAGAAACCGTAAGATGATCGGATTTAGCACTCCCATTAACGGATCTCATAGAATTGTTCTCGTTATAGTTTTCTTTGTTATCATCTTCATCATCATATTCCAGAATTTTAGAACCGCTAACATTCAATAAAGACGTGTTGACCAATTCTGCTGTTCTTACCCATCTTCTTCTCCTCGTATATTTGGCGTACGCATCATCAGTAGATGGATTTGTCCATGTATTATCGCTGTATATGTACCCAGCATTACTTCCAGGTGATGAGATTAAATTGGGTTGCGATTTAGACAATTGGATAGCACCATCATTCCCCATATCTAAACTCCAATTCTCATCAACCCATTGCCACTTCATATCGGAGTCATCATCAGGTAATTTAAAATGATTTAAAGGTGGGGCTGGATTCAGATATGCGTCTGTCCATGCTGCTCGTTCATAACTTAACATAGTAGATGTCCACCCGATACCAAGCCATCGACGTTGATTCTCATATAATGCGTAAGTAAATCTTATTGCTTTTGCCTTGTCACCTAATGCATACCCTTTCCCCTTATCTTTATTACCAAAATTTGAGTTTTTCATCTGTTCACTCACAGTAATGAATATCCCTTGATGTTTATTAATTCCCCCTAAATCAAGACCTGTCACATAAAAGGAAAATAATCTAACAATCCGTATATTCCATAATGATTTTCTAATTAGTACACATAATGCTGAATGGTACGTTAATGTGTAAATTCCTCCCAATAAAAATAATTTCTTGGGAGTTATTATAAATAATGATATTATGACATATAGTGGTAAAAAGAATGTTATTGTAAAGAATAATCTTTTAATATCTTGTATACTCAATACTCTCACTGGAGCTAATATTATATCTGCTTTCTTGGAGACTCTCCCCATCATATGCACTATATCATCTAAGGTAGGGTATGCGGAAACTGTCTTTGTCACCGAGTTATCCATCATTGAATAAAGCCATAATAACCCAATTATTATTAATTGTCCAAAATATTTTACAATAAAATCAAAATATATCGTTGTAATTATAAAGAAAACAATCACTAAATAATTGGGCCAATGTTCATCGTTAGTCCATGTAAACAAACTTAACGCTTTATCAGCCACAATTAAGTACGGATAGAGCTTGATAAGTGCTTTGGAAACATTAGATGGAGTTGACGACAACAATGGAGATGAGTCGATAGATGAGTCATTAAAATAGTCCATACTATCACCATACACATGTCTCGATGATTCTTTCCTCCTGTATCTCTTCTTTAGTGCACTTTTCATTCTCTGGTTTGTTACCTCTGGAATTACCTTATTCTGTGCGTCAGGGAGGTTTATCCCAGTCCTGTTATCTTCGTTGTGTTGTAAAGTTGACATATTTCCTGTTTAGTTCGCATGAAGGTAAAAGCACTGAAATGGTATATGTAATGTATTATTAGTTTATAACAATAAATCTTACAAGTCAATGGTAAGATCTTTAAACTATTATGCTTACCAGTTACTGGTTATTTTTCCCTTACGTAAATTTCAATATCACCAGCCAATTCGATTTATTTCAGACTGTAGGTATAAAATTAACAATGCAAATTTTTGTACGTCAGTTAGTTCTTTCAGATAGATAGCTCTTTATCACAATCATTCAGTTATAGTCCTCGTTGACCCTTTCAAAAAAAAAATTCTTTACTTAGAGTTAGATCTTTGTTATATGTCTGATATGTCAAATTGTTAAAATACTTCCTTGTGAACTCTATCTATAAACGAAGCATAAAATATGTGAGACAATCCCTCCCTTTAGACATATTGCTCTCTATTTTTCTCCCTCTTTGTTTGTTTGTTTCTTAACGATTTGTGCCATTATTTTCATTTTATGCGTCTTTTCGTCTCTTTGTCAGCCGGCAAAAATATTGTTGTACATTTTTACATCTATAACTATAAATATATAAGTTTTAGTAGAAAACATGTTTGTGGATATTTATTTATATAGGATTAGAGTCATTCATTGTTTGGTCCATGAGTATATTTAGGAACATCACCGTCTATGATATGTAATGGTATAAACTGGAATCATCAGGGTCTCTCTGCACATATTCTTTAGAGATAAGGAAACCCAAACTTTTCTTGAAAACTAGTAATTGCAACGTGAAAACTTGTTTCACTTCTTCCGTTACTCTCTCAAGGAGTTCGGTATGTGTGATTGCAGTTTGACGTTTCATAACTCTCACAATAGCTGCGTTTGTTGCGTTGATTCTCTCACGTTCTAGGACGTTATTTATGTTGTTGTTGTTGTTGTTGTCGTTTCTACGTGATGATGTGTTACCCACTATAGTTTGTACTTTCACTTTTTCAGTAGGCGCTGTGAAACTGTAGTTTATTGAGAATTTATCAGATTTTGAAATAGTCTTTGAAGCTGGCGATTTCTTTAAAATTCTTGATTTGGATGACATCACAAGTGATAATAATTGACGATACAATTCTTGTTCGGGTATATGGGTCATCTCCAAGATCATCTCTGTAGTTAATTCATCATTATTTTCAAATAAAAGAAACACTAACGCTGAATAGAAGGGCATGGTTAAGTCATGGTAACTTTTTTCAAATTGAAACCCAATTTGTATAGATCCTAAAGTGTGAACCCATTTTAATGTTCTTTCATTATATTTCTTGTTATAGAATTTTTCAAAATCTAATTTCAGGGCCTCCAATTGAGCTGGTAGTATTAGATCTTCAGCAACAATATCATCAATGTCTTGAAATGGCCAGGAAGTAATTGTTAGAATATCTGGCACAAATTCTAATACTTCAGTTGTTGTTGATGAATCTTCAGTAGCTTTCTGTTGTTGGCTGACACTGAAATTCTGGGCCAGATATTCAGATCGAGTTATATCTCTTAACATTGTACCCAATTTATGGGTCCAGAATGACCCCGTTTCCTCATTAACCCTTTTACATGCGAATTTCTCTACCTTTAGACTTGATTGTTGTTGAATTAAACGTTTAGTTAGTTGATTTTTATAGATCACAGTAAATTCATCTTTATCTGGTAATAATCTTACTAAATTAACACATTCGAGTATACTGTTCTTTGAGTCATTAATCTCAGTCTTTTCCAATGTTTTTTTCAAGCAAGTATCCAGATAGAAACTCATATATTGAGCACTATGTTTTGAGTTTTGCTTAAAGAAATTCGAAAATGTCTCATTCAACAACCCTGCAGCAGATACTGTCCCTTGAGAAAAATCTTCTGAATCATCAGGTCCATTGTTAGTAGTAGAAAGTTGTCTACCTCCCATTTGATTCTCAGTAATCTCCGTGTTAGCTACATTATCGATAGTAGACTCAACTTCAAAACTTAACCCTTCTAATAGTTTATTATACTTGTTAAACATTGAAATTACGGATGATGCCCATTTGGTACCAATTAGTGATCTTTTCTTTTCAGATTCATCCAATTCAATCGAAGATAGATTTTTATTTATCATATTTTGAATAGCAGATCTCAATTTCAATCTATACTTCCTTTCTGTTGTCAAGGAATATAATTTTCTAAGGTATTCACCATTTAAAGTATCCAACGCGTCCAATAGCAATGGCTCCACTATACTTTCATAATTTCCCCAAATCAACACAGTATCAATGCATTTTATTACTTTTGTAGCGGCATCCAATGTTAAAAAAGATGTGTCTAATTTTGTTTCAAAATCAATCAATGTCTCAACTTTTTGAAAACCTTCAATCGATTTTAAATTCAATGAATTGGCCAACTCAGAATAATATTTAATGGATTCTTCCAACAAATGATTTTGGACAAACACCACAAAAAAACTATCTTCACCACTAAGGATCGTTAGCATCATGGACCCCAACCTTTCCAGAACTTCAGTATGTGGAGTATCATATTCGTGTGTGTCTCTTAAATTGTTAATTCCTTTAACGTATTCTTCATTCACAGTATCTTTCAATGGTAGTAGAAGACACGTGTTAAATATCTCCAAGCCAGTCTCAACAATCCCGGGAACTCTGTTTCTCTCACAATATGTTCTCTCTAAATACAACGTCAAATCTCTAATACACTCAAGATGAATGTTAGTACTTTTCCACACCTCACCCAAAGTTTCTAAAAACTTCCATTCCTCACTAGTTATGGCAGGATTTTTGTCGAAGGTATCCGTTTTCAAAGATGTGAATCTTTGAACCAAGTACTCCTTAATTCTATTGTAAAGTTCTGCTTCTTGTCTGAACCTAACAACATCATAGACGACACGGTATGTCTTTTCAAATGAAATATCATGCGTATCATCACTAAGAACTTTATCAAATACATTTTTAAGGATGAGCCATGATTCATCTATATTTGCAGATGTAGGTTGTAATTTTTCAGGTACCTTGATCTTTCCTTTCTTGAACGAAATCATGATATTAATAGATCAAAAAAAATATTGTGAATAATTTGAAAACGTTATGGATTCCTCCTTTTCAGGATATTTTCAATCTTGAAATTTGGCTTTGATTATGTTTGTACTCTTCGGAGTTGCAGTTAGCAAACTTTTAATTCAAGGAATTATTCTAAGTTAACAATGTTTTCTCTTTTAATTAGTGATGCGAAAGAGTATTATGAATTGTAATAAAACACAACCAGAAGGATAAAAATATATATCGATTCAACTATTCAATTGGTTAATAGTACTATGAATCAGTCACTATTCTTACTATCTAGCTAAAGGTATTCCTCTAGTAACTTAATTGAATATAATCATTTTTCCTTCTTCAAGTTTAACTCTTCACAAAAAACCCTAGTTGCTCGCCCTAACACCAAAATCAAAAAATGAAAATTGAAATTCTTATAACATATTCAATTTTCATAAACATCAACAATAACAATTACTTCTAAAGAGGGAAATACTACCAATATCCTGTTTAAAAAGGGGTAGCCATATTGATTGAGAAATACTATCATACTTTAGGTTACCGAAGTATAAGGTGGGCAAAACCAATTGTTAAATAATCTATTGATAACATGTCGTCGTCCGATATATTTGATGTTCTAAATATCAAACAAAAATCTAAGAGTCCTTCTAACGATTCATCACTAGCTAATACCACTAGCTCAGCTGGTGGGATAGTTACAGGAGGTTCCTCGACCTTGACAAGTCGTGCGCCAAAACCACAGGTTACTGGTATGCAAAGGGAACTATACAATTTACTAGGGGAAAATCAACCTTCAATTATTGTACAACCTACAAGTAAATTCAAAGAAAGCTTGAAAAGTGTAACAAAATCTTCCCCATGGACACAAGCAAGGTTCAAGGCAAACAAGAGACTAGTACTCAGACACTGGGTGAAGGGTTCTAAGGATTTATTGGGTGAAGAACCACAGGACTCGTCGTTTGCTAAATATGATCAGCACATGTCGTTACCTGAATTTACAAAGGAAGAATACGGATTATTTATGGCTGAACCTGATAGAGATAAGAAGGAAGACGAAAAGAAAGACACAGAGAAGGATGAAAAGAAGGACGCTGGGAAGAATGAAGGCAAAAAACCTTCGACAGTTAAAGATGACAAATCTGAAGAACAGTCTAAAGAACAAGAACCGAAAATTGATGAAAACAAGGAATCAGTTGATAAAGTCTTAGGTAATACTGAGCCAAAGGGAAGTGATGATGCAGAGGAGAAAAAAGAAAATAATAATAATACAAATAACGAAAAAAGTAATGAGGTTAGCGGGAACGATAAGAAAGAAACTGAGAACATTAGTACTACTGAGCAAGCAAATGATGAGCCTACTATTGCGGACAATAATGATAATAATGAAACACCAGAGGACCAAACACCAGAAGACCAAACACCAGAGGAATGGACCTATGAAGAAGTAGAGTATTTGTTTGGTTTATGCAGAACGTACGATTTGAGATGGTTTGTTATTTGTGACCGTTATTCCTTCAATGACATCAAAAGAACCATAGAGGAATTGAAAACCGAATTCTACTTGGTATCACGTAAATATTTCCAATCCAAAAATGCAGCAGATCCATTACTTGCGTCATTAGAATATCCTTTAGAGAAAGAATTGGAGAGAAAGAAATATCTGGAAAGATTACTTTCACGTTCTGCTGCAGAGATTGCAGAAGAAGAAGCTTTAATTATTGAGTCGCGTAAATTTGAGATGGGTGCGAAGAAAATGTTGATAGAGAGGGAATCGATGTTACGTTTATTGGATTCGCCTAACTCTGATAAATCGGTGGCACAACATCTGACATCGCAAGGTATATCACAATTGTACAGTAGTTTATTGGCTGACAAGGCACGGAAACGGAAACATGACGCAACCGTCCCTGAGAATCCATGGATGAAACAACAGCAACAGTTTGTACAACAGAAACAACAATTACAACAATTACATGAACGGAAACCGGATGTTTTAACAGCTGCAAATTTATCTACTAATGGATCTTCTTTGTCCAGTGCCACTTTAGCGCACAATATCAAGGCACCAACTACTTCAAGTTCAACTAATAATATTAATAACGACGGAGTAACCAATACAGGTTCTGACCAATCTATGGTACCACCTCCTCAAAAGAAAACTAAGAAACAAAAACTGGAACAACAGACTGCCCAAAAGAGGAAGACAGAGGTCGCATATGCAGAAGACTTACTTAAGGATTTCAATGATGAAGAGAAAAAATCTCTGGGTATTTCAATGCATGGCGAAAAGCTTACACCCGGTGTATTTCTCAGATCAACAAAGATATCTACGTTCAAACCAGCCTTACAGAATAAGGTATATAGTGTGTTGCAAGAGCTAAAATTGCCTGTGAGACCTGCAATGCCTTCAAAAGCTGTAATTGAAAAGCAAGAGGAGTTACTAAAGCAAATAGTCGTACTTACTGATCTGAAAAAGTCCCTTGATAAACTGGACGCCGAAAAGGCTGTTGCACAGTAAAAGAAAGATAAAGGGATATTTATTACTAGAGAAGAAGAGCGTCCATGTATATACGTATATATATATATAACTGAAATAAGATGACATTACTTTAACGTGTTTAATGATATCGCACGTGCTCATAAATTGTTTTGCATATCAGATAGCCTTGATTCACATATTTTGAAACAAGGACACCTAAAGAAAAGTATTTTCACTCGCTGCAGGATCAACGGCCATGGCTAAAGACACCTTCGATGAGAGAAACTGTTTATTCAGTTAGGGTTGATGATGAGTAACATTTATACAGTGTATTATCCTGTCTATCCAGTGAAGACCACGCACAAACAAAAGAAAAGAGAACCTCCCAAATTGGACCAAAAAAACCCGTGAAAATTTTTTTCTTTCAATTTTGCAACGCACAATGAAAAATTTTCATTTCGATGATGGACGACGACATTATTTAAGCATCGTGTCAACACCATTTAAATTAACAGCTTAGTTGTATGTTTCTTTTATCAATCCATTTAGTTCTACTTCATTTTCAAAAATCACTTCTTAATTTTGCTTGTTATTTCTATTTACGTTCATTCATTTTTATTTTCCTTTTGTGTCTCAGGACCCTAGTTATCCCTCAATATATAAAGCAATTCATAATGTCTGACTTCTCCAAGATCGAAACTCTAAAGCAATTGAACGCTTCTCTAGCTGACAAATCTTACATCGAAGGGTATGTGTTACTATAAGAACAAGATTTTTTATGGAATCTTTGATTATTTTTGCAACAATTAATTAGGTTTAATTAAATGCAGATATCCAGTTTTGAATTTGTGTGTGTGATTAAAAGTAGTTTCAAATTGAAAATTAGATGTTTTTAATCTAGATTTGTGTGGAATATGAATTAAATCTGCTATTTATTTATTTGTTGGTTTTTGACAATGATTGTAACTATTTCAAAAAATGTTTATGTGAATGATGAACTAATTCTTTGGTCCGTGTTTATGACAGGAAGTAAGACCCCTGGAATGAGTGAGAAAAGAAGCGTGAGTGACATCACATCTCTGACAATATACATAAACATTGTATCTTTATTATTAAGATATATTGAAATAGCTTACATATTTCAAAAAAAAAACAAATTAAAAAAGTAGATTTCAATTTCACATTCGTAACACAAGTATATGATTGAAAATTCTTATCTTTTTTTTCTAGTTTAGAAATGTAACTACTGTACTGCACAATTAAAATATTTACATTTCACTTTTTTTTGTTGTTTTCTTTTTCCTCTATGTTCACTGTTACTAACAATAATATTAATTGAAAGAGTTACTTTCAAAAAAATAATATTTTAAAATAGTACCGCTGCTTCTCAAGCCGATGTTGCTACCTTCAAGGCTTTCCAAACTGCCTACCCAGACTTCGCCAGATGGTTCAACCACATCGCTGCTCTAGCTGACGAATTCGAAACTTTCCCAGCTGCTTCTGGTGCTGCTGCCGAAGAAGATGACGATGATGTCGATCTATTCGGTTCTGACGACGAAGATGATGAAGCTGCCGAAAAATTAAAGGCTGAAAGAATTGCTGAATACAACGCCAGAAAGGCTGCTAAGCCACCTAAGCCAGCTGCCAAGTCTATGGTCACCCTTGACGTCAAGCCATGGGATGACGAAACTGATTTGGAAGAATTGGTTGCTAACGTCAAGGCCATCGCCATGGATGGTCTAGTCTGGGGTGCTCACCAATTTATTCCAATTGGTTTCGGTATCAAGAAGCTACAAGTCAACTGTGTTGTTGAAGATGACAAGGTCTCTCTAGATGACCTACAACAAACTATCGAAGAAGACGAAGACCACGTCCAATCTACCGATATCGCCGCTATGCAAAAAATTTAAGAACCTTATTTTATGTTTTTTGTAAGTTGTATATTATGATTACCACTTTTTAATTCATTCTCTTTCTTTTCTATAATAATGTATAGATTCATGTAGGTTCTAATATTTGATAACAATGATTTCAATCATGTAATATAGGGAGCAAATTATGTGTATACGTAATATGTTGAATGCTTGTTATAAATATATGTTTTTTTTATTTATTTCATTGTCATATGGAATATATCTTCATTATATACGTAAATATTCTTTTTTTGTTAACCAGGACGATTACTGACTATCATCACTGAAGAAGTCAGGAAAATAAAAGGTTATATGTACATATAGTCCTGGATGAGTACGAAAATGAATCCTCATCAATCATTCTAAACCTTCATCCATCCAAGCCAAAGTATTCATAATACCTTGCTCGATATCGACTCTTGGCTTGTAACCTAGATATTTCTTAGCTTTACTAATATTGTGATAACGGTAGGCACATACGATCTTGACACGGAATGGTGTTAAACCAGGTTCTTTTCCTAATAATTTAGAGAAAAATTCAGAAAGGTAACCAGCTAGAATAGCAACAGGTCTCTTTAACACTATAACACGCTTATCGATATGATTGTCTGCTTTCCAAACGGTACGAGCTAGAGCCCAGAAATAGGATGGTGTATCATTAGTAATAAAAAAAGTCTCACCGGCGACATTATCACGAGTCTGAGGGTTCAGCAATTTTTCTGCTGCCAAAACATGAGCATCCGCAACGTTACCTGCGTATGTCCAATCAAACAGATTGTTGTTGTCACCAATTTGGAATTTTGATTGTCCTAACTTAGCCACAGTTCTTAAACCAGGAACCAATTGTCTGTCACCTGGACCAAAGATACCAGCAGGACGTAAGGCGACTGTGTAAAACCCATTGGCTGGATCATTAGCTTTCAAAACCATATCTTCCGCGATTGCCTTAGTCTCATTATAGGCATCCATTGGAACTTCAGGAATTGGCCATGTCTCATCGGCGTTATGGACATCTTGACCATTAAAGATAACACCAGCGGAAGAAGTGTATACAAAAGTGGTAACACCTGTTTTTTTACATACATCTAGGATGTTTCTAGTACCCCTTACATTTACTAGCTCATAAATACTGGCCTCACCACCGTGAATTGGAGAAGCAGCATGAACTACAACATTAGCATTTGTTAATTTAATAGCTTCTGTAACACTATCTTCGGAAGTTAAGTCACCTTTGAAGAATTTAATAGCTTCGGGATCAAATGTAAATTGTTTAGATAACTTCTCTGGTAATGGTCTAACATCAAATACACAAATCTGAGGCTTACTAGCCATATCATAAAATTGTTGAATTAAATGCAGACCTAGAAAACCTGCACCACCAATCAATAACACTGATTTCACTTCTTCTGACATTGCAATTGTATTTATATGTTCGTATGTCGACTCTTTCTAATTGTATAAATTGATGTTCAATTCTATAAGCAAAAATAGACAGATAACAACGAGTATATGACTTTATCGACGAACCTTGAATAGCACTCTTAACGAATCAATAAAACAAGATAGTAGTTGACACTTAGCAGTATAATCAAGTTACTTACAACTAACTATATATATAAAGGACTGCAAAATTGTTGAAATTTCGTCGCCTTCGTTAAACGTTTCGGGCTTTTTGGATATAAAATTATTGATTTTATTAAACGAGCAAAGGACGTCTTTATAACCGAAAAAATATTCTTAGTTAAGCGAGAGAAGCACAGGATGCTTAAGTGAAATTCTTATTTTGCAAACTAAAGGATATAAGTCAAAGGTTTAAAGGTTCAATTGAATCGTAAGCACATAGTTCTATATCGCTTTTGTTAAACATATAAAGATATGTATATATATATATATTTTTGCTCGATCAAATTTCAAATTTCAAATTTCCAACCGTTCCATTCAAAATCGGCATAACATCTAAACTCATTACTCAATCCATTACCATGTTCAGGTAGGAAAGTGGTAATATTAGTTTCAGGATATACTTTCTTCATGATGTCCTTCATTCTTTCACCAGTACAGGAGATTAAACGATGTTTAGCGATTCCGTTTGCCGTCTTGGAACCATCATTAGGAGCTAATAATACGTTAGCTGTAATAGACGATTTAGTTTGGCAGTTTTCATTTAAAAAAGGAGGATCAATCAATAATCTGTCAACTTTATGCTTTATTTCAGATTCAAACTCTGTTGGAACTTCATAATTGTAAAATACAAAATGATCTTTACCAGCCATAACTTCAAATCTTTTATCAAACTCAAAAAGATATATGTGTTTGGTCGGTATATCTTCTTCTGGTTTCTTTTGTATAGCGGCGTAAACTGATGGTGCACTTACAACAGCAATGACAGTATTCTCATCTGCCCCTTCCAATAACGCATCAGCAAGCAAATCGGCAGTTGCATCACTGTACCAGAATTGCGACAATTGCCAATCCTCTTGGAATAAATTCATACCTTCTTTCTTTCTCTTCTGATATTCCTCATCTGTGGCTTGGTACATTTTTTCAAATTCTTCAGCACGTTGTTGCTCCTCTTGTCTAAATTCAGCAAGTGCAGCAAGTGCATTTGCTGATAAACTTACTTCCATATCAGAATCTGAGTCAGACATGATTTGTTGATTTAAAAACTTAATTGTTGGTTATCTGTCACTTTTGACATTAGAAATTCTCCTTCTTGTGTGGAATAGGTCGATGGCCTCTTGGGATATATATATTTTAATACAGTTGCGAGTTTCAACATTGCATCGAGTCAAAAAGAAAAAAATTTCACATCGCGGTGAAGACAATATAAAGTCTTTTTAATTCCATGTTTGTGTCAGCGATCAATTTGAAAAATATAACCAACCACATCATTAACCAATTATTTAGCAATAGACTACCGAAATTTTAAAACGTTCCATTATAATCATAATTAAAATAATATATATGATTTTATTTTACCAACCCTTTCATTCTATCTAAAAGGTTTCCAATTTATCTGTTATTTCTTAACTATAAAATTATATTATCATGTTTACTATACGCCAACAACATTTTATCACTATATGGAACAAAATCGATTAACTTCTCATTATCGGAGGTAAATTAAAACACATTAACACCATCTTCATTCAATTACTCTGAAGTAACTCGTTGTTAGATCTTATTCTTCTGTAAGGGCCTATAAATATTACCTACAACGAAACCTTGAAATAAAATGTTACTGTCTTTGTCACGTTATCTATATTTATTTTTCTTAATATTTATATTATATTCTAATAAATTGTTTGTACACGCTAGCCGAAATAGATTTATTACTTTTATTTTATTATTAAAAAATTCGGTCCGGTGTTTAAAAAAGCCGAACTACTTGGCGAGATGCTGATGGTCAATTATCCATCATCATATTAAAAATGAATAACTTACTCAAATCACATAAAGTTTTCCACGCTTTGAAAGTAGTAGTATTGTAAAACAACTGGCAAAGTGTATCAAGTACCTATATGAAACATAGATTGTGCAGTGAAGTTACTGTTGAAATTATCGTTATATAGTAGCCCGTACTGTATTATCCTTCAATGGCCAAAAAAGCAATTACAAGGAAAAGAAGAATTAAATCATGTACATATTGCTATTCACATAAACTAAAGTGTGACCGTATCACACCATGCTCAACATGTGTAACAAACAACCGTGGAATTGAATGTAAATATTGGTCTGATAATCACAATCCGCAGCCTCCCATACCGGACTCATATTCTAGGAAAACTCCCAAGATGGAATGTGTGGAATGGGTATTGCCTCAGGACGAAGTATATGGTGCTAAGTTTTTATACCCTTTCTTCACTACATCTATGAATGATAATGTTGTCAGTCCGAAGGTCAGGTCAAAAGTAATACTTAATGCCAATTTCATTAGAAACAAGATCACAGAGTTTAATAAATTCTCAAGGGTCGACGTTCATATGAAAGATGTTTTGCTTTATCTGGTAGATTCAAAAGGCTCAATGCAGAACTTGATCGATAACTATTTTTTAAACGTTCATCCAATTGTACCAATTCTGAGTAAAAAAGATATCAAAACCCAGGCATTGAACATATATAATAGTGTTGAAAATAATTTAGACCTTAACCCACTAGATGTACTTCTTCTTGTTTCTGTATATTTTTGTTCATTGTATGCTTCACTAGCATCTGGAAAACCAGATACTTTGACGGAAACATATAGATGTTACGGTATTTACAGATATCTTATGGACATTTCAAAGTTTCCCTTAGTACCCTATATTGAAACAGTTCAATCATTTACTGTGGTGAATTTTATCATGGATCCTAACATGAGAGAAGCAGTTGCATATTCAGCTATGTTGGTACGTTTGGGACAGCAGCTAAACATTCCTAAGAGATCCATGGGAATACATGACGATAGTAATTATTTGTTGTATCTATGGCATTATATTTTATTTATGGAAGGTTCTTCATCAGTTGCATCTGGCCTTCGGTTTAGCACATCGAAGGATGTATTCAGTTTGGTGAAGTTACCAACGAACCCGCATAAACTAGGGATTGTTTGTGAAGTTCCATTAGATTACACGATCTGCCGTTTCAAGATGAATAATATATTTCAGAAAATAATGGAGTTAACGACCAAACATACGATATCTCGAACTGAAAATGCTTCTATTGAGGAAAAAATTGGGTTGATGTATAGGGATGTCGGTAAGGTGGAAAGTCGTCTGAAACATATGTTTCCTGATAGGGCATCTTATTATTCGAGTTCCCTGTATATATTTCTCCACCGTCTGCATTTACGATTTTTTGCACTTGAGGCTCTCCAATTAGAAAGTAGTTCAAAACGAAATAAGAACTTTGAGGTTACTAAAAATCTATCTTCAAAGGATATATTCTGGATTTTGGATAGGAAGATGACATTAAGAGATGAAGTTATTCCACTGACATTACTATTACTTCTTAATACGTTGGAGAGAATCGTACAGCCAAATTGTGAGGATTTAAATTGGTATACTAAGGGATCTACGGTAATGCAATACCTTTTTGTAATTCTACGGGATATGTATCAAAATCCACTTAAGGAATATCCACTATCATCTTTTATGGAGCCGCTGTATGCATCTATTAGTTTTGATATTAAAGAAGTGATTATGTGTCATCAATTAATGTATAAATTCAAATTGATTGAAGAATTATTAAAATTACTGGAATTGAGATTAGCGCCCCTCTGGAGTGACAATGAGCTATATAAGTTTATACTTGTTAAAATGGTGAAGGAGAAAGTCTGGGGTCATGCAGAGGACATAATAAAAAAGAATAGCGAACAATTCGACCGATTAAGTCAATGTCGCTTGTTTCTCCTTGGTAAGATACAACAAGAGAACCAGAGTATCAGTATTGAGGATTTTGTTACAAATTTGGAACCAACTTTATTTGGTTTAGATGCTGAAAAGATATTGATTGATTGGTTAATCGATATTTAGTGAAAGAGTTACGCAAAAGTGCTCTATTGTTATTGTAATTTAATTGGGGCGCTTATGTATATTCCACAAAATAAAACAATGTATAAATAGAGAGTTTTTGAGATTAAGTGTAATATAGATTAAGTTTTAATATTATTGTTTCTGCCAAGGAGCAAAATAAGTAACAAAAAATGAAAGACGAGGTCAACTTAAGAAAAATAGAGACGATTGGAATGGAAGAATTCTTAGAAATTACCTTATGTGGTAGTCATTCCCATACTCCAAATGTTTTTTATAAATTATTAAAGTGATATTTTCTGTCCTATATACAAAGAAATATATTTTTTAGCTTGTAACTTTATGAAATTCTGAAGTATAGTGGGACGATGAGGTTTCGATCAATGGGGAAAGTAATAGAAAAATATTTGTTTATGGAGGAACTTAAATGATAGTTTCATAATGAACTCTTTATATTTGTGTGTTAATAACATTCTTTGTTTCAAATTAGTTTTAATATTTTTAGGTCAAGGTCAACACAGAATAATTTTAGATATATGTTATTTATAAACTTATGGTTCAACTAAAGTATTAACAGCTTCAAGAAATAAGAGACTAAAAAAAAGGTTATTCCTTTAAGTTAAGAAAATCTTGGAAGAAAATACTACCTTTAATAAGATATTGTTAGATACAAAACTTTCTAAAATTGTTCAATAAGTATGATTACCTGGTAGCTTAATTTCTTGAAAGATTATTTACTTAGTTAGGAAGTTCCGTCCCCAATTGAGTCTTTTTTATTGTGATACTAGAACGCACCCAAGGTAGAAATAGTCACCTACAAGGAATAAAAATATGGGGGGTTAATAATTAAACTGTATATTCAAAATAATTTGTCAGTACCTAATAATATTTTTGTAAAGGATGGAAATATTGATATTTGAACAATCTCTAGTAAAAACCTTAATCTAATCGATAAAAAACCTTTGTATTGATGATCGAGTTGATGGGTTTGGAGTTACGTTCACCAATGAAACAAAGATTTCATAAGTAAATACTTTGTAAATTAAAATTATGAAATTTGTTGAGCCACTAATGTTAATTTTTGTTATGATTGTTTAACGGCACATTTCGTTCATCTAATATTAGTATTTAGTATGTGACATATGTAAATTTATAAAGAAACCCCAAGTTGGCATCTTATTGGTTGCGTCAGTTTTTTTGCTGGTAGATAACTGAATATTAAATTTCAACAATTATGTGTGCTGTTACCAAAAGTTTTAAAAGGATATTATATATAATAATTGGATCTGTTGTTAACCAATACAATACATAAACTTTCCTATTTTAATAACCTGGCTGATTTTATTGTTGTTACTAATATTTTACATTTTTTTACAATTGGCGCATATTCGAAAAAAGTTAATTGAAAGTATTATATAAAAAAGTGTTAAATAACAAAAAAAAAAAAGGACTTATTAAAACCAAAATGAAGATAAAGACATAACACATATAAGAAATAATAATAGTTTCAAGTAACTTTCACCGGTATAAAACACTTGAAACCAATGACTGAAAAGGTTACTATTGCACACATCCAACACAACTTTGTTGATGTAATTGAGGACACGAGAGACTCATCCCCAACCGAAAACACTTTCTTTATTAATGTCAACAGTTCCCCTAATGAGATAACAGAACATGTAATCACGGTGAACTCATCAGAACCCTTTTTCAGTTGTTCATTAGATGATCAATTTAAAAAATTAGAAGCAAATAAATTTGAAGCTAAATTAAATGGGGAAAACTTTAAATTCAATACAAGCGTCAAGGACTGGACCACTGCCAGCTCTAATACTAGTTGGACTGCCGTTGATGTTATTCAAAAACCTCAGACGAGGTATCTGTTAGGTGATTCTGTAGGAAATATCAAAGTGTTTAATGAGAATTATGATCTTGAGAGAGAATTTGAAAATATTCATTCTAGTGACATCACGTCGGCAAAATTTTTCCCAAGCTCTGAAGTAATCTTATCCGCATCTTCTGATATGCAGCTAAAAATATTATCCATCGAAGACGGTTCAAATCCAAGAACTCTAATAGGACATACGTCTTCGGTTACAGGATCAGTTATAGTAGGTCGAGGAAGAAATGTGATATCCTCATCGAAGGATGGTACGATACGTCTTTGGGAATGTGGATCTGGAAGTAACATTCATACATTTACTAGAAGGGAAAACCCATCAGATGGTGTCAATTCGATAAGTCTCAGATCCGAATCAGGTTCCAATTGTGTGATAGAATCTGACAATAAAAATTTAGAGTATGAAACAAGTGGGAAGACAATATTTGGTGGACATACATCAGGTGTCATAACAGTTTTCGATATATTTTCTAAACAACAATTATTACAACTACCAAGTGAGTTTATGTCATCATGTACTTCAATATGTACAGACCCGAAGGAGTACAACCACGTTGTAGCCGGCTATGAAAATGGAACAATTGCCATATGGGATATTAGGTACCCAAATAGTTGCATCTCTAAGGCTATCATTAAAGATAGAACGCCTATTAATACTTTATTATACGAAAATGACATGATTCTAACCTCTACAGGTTGTGACACAAGTTTATCGATGGATGTTGCACCTGATTCAAAGAAAATTGATACTAATAATCCAACTTTCTTTGTATCCAATGATACAGATGTTTCAAGCTTTGCTTCTTTTACAAACAAAAAGGGTATTCATAACCTAATTGCTGTTGGTAGGTTTGGGTTTTGTGCAGGATACCAACTTTAGAGATTTGCAGAATAAAAATCTTCTGTTTAGTGAAATCAGCTAATTAATATTTACATTGAAGCTACATTTTGAACTTTACTTCCTATGAGGTAAACTCCTAGATCAACTTTGAAATTAGGAGGAACTACATATATATATTTTGGAATTAAATATTATAATAAATAAAGAATATAATTTCTTGAGCTTCATCTAGCCTTAAGCGTACCTATATGACCTGTTATGATATCTTACTTAACTGAGTCATCAATCTACTGAGTTCCAGAAGATTCTATTGAACATTAATCTATTTAACCGTACAACTTACTATTATCCCCTCAATAACAACGAAAATTGTCGTTGCTATTGAAAAATAATTAAGAGAAAGTAAGAGAAAAGTATAGAATGTCATTATGACAGAAAATTCAAAAATTTGACAGGATGATTATATAAAAGAGCCTATCTCGCGTATCTATGCCTATTTAAGTATATGTAACAGCACAATGTTTTCCCGGTTACAGCTGCCAAAACAGGAAAATTTAACCGAAAATAAGAAACGTTAACTCAAACATTGTAGGCCTCACCCCTCTCCCCCCCCCCAAAAAAAAAAAAAGAACAATCGCCAACGAGAACCAAAAGAGAGATGAGTTGACTAGTTGATATTAGATAATACACGAAATTCTTTTTCTTATATGATCAATTGCTAACTTTACCGTTAGCTTGTAAGTATGTATCGAACATACTGTATCAATTATCAAGTTGGAAGTAACAACTCTTTGTAAAATAAAATAATTTACGAGTGACTTAATTGTCATGGAAGTTTCATATTTCAAAGGTATATAAAATAGCAAATAATTTCAAACTTTGAGATAATTTTTTTTACAATTCTTCTTATTAGTCATTATATAGTAAAAACCAAACGAATAAGATCAAAATAAGACTTATCACTCCCGTCTCTCTCTCTCTAATTAAGCAAACCCGATCACTATGCCTCACCTATCCACAACCCTGATTCACGCTGATGACAAAAATAATCGTGTCTCAGATGTTGCTCCTCCTATTAATGTTGCCACTACCTATAGATATGACAACAACAATTTAATTCCATGGTCTGAACAAGATGAGATGACTGTCTTGGAAGGAGAACCTGTGTATTCTCGGGAAGCCCATCCAAATTGCACCAGACTCGAGAATATCTTTTCAGATGTCCTTGATGGTCATGCTGTTATCTACAACTCTGGTTGTTCTGCATTCCATGCTGCTTTGGTTCATTTGAACCCCAAGAGATTCTTTATCGGTCAAAGTTACTTTGGCTGTAAAGCAATTGCGGATATGATAACTAGAAATTATGGTATGGAACAATATACATTGGAAGATATTGAAAAATTCGCTCAAAAGGGTGACTTAGTTCACCTAGAGACTCCAGTTAACCCATTCGGTACTTCAATCGATATTCAAGCCATTGCTGATAAAGCTCATTCAAAAGGTGCTTTGTTACTTGTTGACTCTACCTTTGCCCCACCACCTTTACAAAATGCGTGGGATTTTGGGGCAGATATCATAATGCATTCTGCCACCAAATTCTTTGGTGGTCATTCAGATTTGTTAAGTGGTGTACTAGTAGTAAAGGATCAAACCGCAGCTCGTGAATTGAGACATGACAGAATTCACCTAGGTACAATTATTGGAAACCTAGAAAGTTATTTATTGATTAGATCTATGAGAACTTTTGAAATGAGAGTTACACAACAATCGAAGAATGTTTCTGGCGTCGTTAAGTTCTTGAACGACAATAAATCAACTTATGACAAAGTTATAAGAGTTATTCATCATTCATCTTTACAAACAGAACCATTTGTTGCTAAACAATTGGCAGGTGGTCAAACTCCAGTATTCTCCATCTGTCTAATGAGTCAAGAACAATGCAAGAAATTCGTCGCAAAACTAAAATACTTTCAACATGCAACCTCTTTGGGTGGTGTTGAATCCTTGGTAGAATGGAGAGCTATGTCTGACGATACCATTGATCAGACATTATTACGATTCTCTATTGGTTGTGAAAATGTCAATGATCTTGTCGATGATCTAAAACAAGCTTTACAAAGTATGCAAGACGATAACTAAGTCTTCTCATTAATTAAAAGTTCTTTTAAATATGCATGTCTTGAAATAATTTAAATAGACTTATAGGTAAACATATAACTCTTCAATTCATAAGCAATATAAAAACCTTTTTGGATCTTTTTTTGTATCTTTCAGTTCTTTTGCGAAACTTTCAGATGAACAACGCAACGCAACGCGCCTTCTCGTTTTGTTGGTAAATAAATGTAATAATATACTGAATGAACAAGATTGATAAATGATGTGTATTACAAGAGAGGGTTGTGAAAAGGTTGAAACAACTGTATATTATATTGAAATAATAGAGTGCTGGATATTACAAACCATCTTCTACGTCACTATTTGGTATTTGTTTATCTGAACTTCAAAAATGAGCACAACAAATGAAAATATAACCTCTACCGAAAAGGATGAAATTTTAGAAATTTTCTTTGACGAAAACTTTGTTCCACAAGCATATGTGGATATTCTTCTATCAACTACACGTGCACAAAATAAACATCAACTACAGCATACTTCTTCATCACTCTTAGCTAGGTTAGACTTCTATACTAAGCATTTAACTTCAGAATTAGAAAAAACTATATGGAATTTAGAAAAATTATCCGAAAGATTACCTGGAACATGGGATTCCAATACTAATAGAGACGAGCAGTCATCTTCAAATGAAGATCAGTATATGAGCTCACAAATTTCTGGTGCCTCTAAGCTAGAATATTATTTAGATACATTAGGTGGGGCCGTGAGGTCAGTGGAGACAGACGTGGAAAGGATAAATAAGGAACTTGCGACTTTAGATGGGAAATTTAAAGATGATACAGATGTAATAGAAAAGTCCAAAAAATTAGAACTTATTAGGAATAGACTAAATAATGTGCTCAATATATTTGTACAGTTACGCAGTATTTTAGGCATATCACAATCTTCTGATTCGAATTCAAAGGAAACTATAAAAAATGTATCATTAGAAAACTTCACTCTAGCATTACACACTTTAGAAGAAACGATAACAGAGTCTTTTGCTGAGTCACTTAAAAATGAATCAGCAAAGGAAAGAAATATTGATTTGATAGCAAAAGTGGATCAATTCATACGACTAACACAACTCTTCCAAGGGTTCACGCAATTCCATGAAATATATGCTAAATTTGCTGATAATATCGCGAAGGCCTCCCAAAAATATTTATCTACAAAGGACATCGATGGTGATTTTAACATTTAATAATTGGTATACCTAAAAACTAAATAGAAAAATAACTTTCTGTATAAATAGGACTATCCAAATTCAATAGAAATATCATATAATGGTAACGGAAATATGCTAATCTCGATATTATATACGTTGATCGTCACATATACTATTTTATAATGTTAACAACAACAATATAGTTCGTTATTAAAATAATTGAAATGATTGATCTCTTTCAAGTCTCATTATAATAGAATATATGAATTTTGTCAAAAAAATATTAAGATTATTTAATATAGTACAAATAATGCAATAAGTATGTAACTAGTAAAATGCACTAGCACTAGAAGAAAATGCTTCTTCATCAGTTTCTGGGAGAAGAGATTCTTCGTCAGAAGGAGTTCCTTGTTTATGTCTTAGGAATTCAAAGCTCACATAATAGTTCAATTTATCGAACAAACGACGTGGGAAAATCGTCATAGCGACCTCATCTGGTATTATTCTAATTAAAATACCGATAGGAAGGGATAAAGTACCGCAAAGCACAGCTGTCTTCCACATAGCAGGTGTCTGTGGAGCAATTGAGAAAGGTGCACCACCATAAAACATAATAAGAACCTGGCAAGAGCCAATTAAAGCCATAACAGTTAAGAAATAATAATTTCTGAATAGATCTTGGAAGAAATCCAAGTTTATTTTAGTCATTCTTTCTCTCCAGCTTGTTATGCCATCACCTTCATCTAATTTTCTAGACACAATAAGTGTGAAAAATTGTAACCAAACAAATGTGTTGAATGTCATTGCGTTCAACTGTTGTTGTTGGAAACCAGTAATAGTCTTGTCATTAGGGAAGAAGATCTTTTGACCACCAAAATGTAATATAAATGTGATGACCAGCTGTAGTGTAGCTTGTCCGAGAATCATCTTCCAAGTAGATGGGGTAATCAATGGTGTACTACGGCCTCTTGGTTTCCTCTCCATAATACTTGGATCTGGTTTATCAGTAGCCAATGCAAGAGCAGCCAAAGTATCCATAATTAAATTAACCCATAGTAATTGGACTGCAGTCAACACAGATGTTTCATCCTCAGAGGCTACAGAAGAGACAAAAGTCAAAATGACAGCTGTAACATTAACAATCAATTGAAATTGAATAAATTTTTTAATTGAAATAGAAACACATCTACCCCATTTAATGGCATCAACAATAGCAGAGAAATCGTCTGTCATTAAAATAATATCAGAAGCTTCTCTTGCGACTTCTGTACCAGATATACCCATAGAAAAACCAACATCGGCCAATTTCAAAGCAGGTGCATCATTAGTACCATCACCAGTAGCAGCAACAACATTACCCATCCCTTTCAATGTTTCAACAAGGATCCTTTTATCTTCTGGGGAAGATCTAGCCAATACTCTTAGGTTTGGTAGAATCTCAATACGCTCTTCTTTAGTTAATTTACGGAATTGGGGACCTTCCATAGCACGACCAGATTCAGCAAAATTTTCAGGGGTTAGAATATTACAATTTCTAGCAATAGCTCTAGCTGTAGTAATGTTATCACCTGTAACCATACGAATTGTCACACCGGCACGTTGACATTGCAAAACAGAGTCTCTGACACCTTTACGTAAAGGATCCTGAATACCAACAATACCATCCAAAGTCATGGAGTCCTTACCATTGTTTTCTTTTAATACTTTCCCTAATAATAATTCTGGGGAAGCCTCAACATTTTCCTCGTTGTCTTCAGTATTATTTAGGAACTCCTTTGGTGGCCATGATTTACAATTCAAAAAGTCTCTATGTGCTAAGGAAATAGCTCTTAATGCATCTACTGCAAGTTTATTAATTTCCTCTTTAATATCAGTCAAAAGACCATCATTTAATTCCACAGTATTGTTGTTTGAAAGGGTCTTGTATCTACAAGAATTAGAGACAATCTCAGCAGCACCCTTGACGAAAAATCTATAAGTGTCTGAACCTTGCAACTTCACGACAACACCTGCCCATTTACGAGAACTTTCAAAAGGAATTACCTGTACAATCTTCTCTATTTGGAAAAATTCATTAGTTTTAGTTCTCATCTCTTGTAAATTACCAAATTGCATACCTAATGCTTTTCTTGACATATTCAATAATGCAGTCTCAGTCTTTGAACCAATATATGCTTCAATTCTACCCCTTTCAATGGAAGTCATCAAATCCTCATGGTCTACAGTTCCTTGATTACCACTTTGTTCATCATCATGCTCAGGAGAATAATCTTTATTCTCAAATGCAGTAGAGTTCAATACAATGTTTGACAGTACCACATTTTTCAATTCTTTTGAACAATATTGCCCCTGTTTGTTAAAGATGTCATGAGAGGTCTGTTGCGTAGTCCTATCATAGTCTCCATCATCAAAATGAGAATCTCCAAATACACCTCTTACAATACTCATAATATTTTCTGTCAAGGTACCTGTTTTATCGGAACAAACAGCAGTGGCAGAACCCATAGTTTCACAAGCTCTCAAGTTTCTAACCAAATTACCATCCTTAGTCATCCTTGTTGTTGCAAAGGCTAATGCTAAAGTGACTGCTAATGGTAAACCTTCAGGTACAGCAACTACAATAATTGTCACAGCTGTAATAAAAATGTTCATGAACTTACTACCCTTTTGAGCTGGATCTAAATCATGGAATCTACCACCAGGCACCATAGTATAGACTAAGAATCTAAAGAAAAGAACCAAAAATAATATCATTGCAGCAACGCAACCATACACTGAGATACTGTCTGCCAATTGACTTAGACGTTCTTGTAAAGGAGTTGGATCAGGTTCCACTTTCAAAGACATCATGGTGCTACCATAAATGGAATTTGTACCTACAGCAGTCACCACAGCTTTACCAAGACCTGATAATAATTTTGAACCTGAAATCAATATACAATCTGGGACTTTATCACCATCCTTTGTTGAATAACCGATATCCAAAGTTGTATTTTGAGGATCACGTTGTTTCAATTCCTCATATAATTTAAGTGAGGTAGTCAAATCGATTTTTTTAATAGTATCTGATTCCCCAGTCATTGAAGATTCATCTGCTTCACAAGTCCCCGAGATTAAAATTGAGTCTGCAGGCACCACATCGCCAGTCTGTAAGTTAATGATATCACCCACTAGGATATCATGAATAGAAATCAGAATTTCATTTCCATTTCTAATAACAATGATGTCACGATCTTCTTTCTTCTTATTCAATCTTGCAAATTGTAATTCTTTTTGGTAGTCATTCAAAGCACCTACAAAGACCACGACCACGACAGCAGTCATAATCGCAATACCTTCAATCCAATCCACTTGTCTGATAGGGTTTCCCTCGGGATCATACTGTGGTGGTTGATATATTAGTTCATAAAGACCCAACAGAAACGATACAATTGCAGCACCTGTCAACAATATCATTGTCTTATCATGAAGTGCTTCCCATACCAATTGTAAAAAAGTTTTCCCGACTCTTTCAGGGATTCTATTATCACTATAGATCATGTATCTTTCTTCCTTTGTATAAGATTTATCATCAGGGATTGTTATCCCTTTCGTCTTATCTGTCCTTAGAAATTTGTACAGATTTTCTTCCTTTCCTTGAAACAATTTATTGAACATCTTAAGAGATTTTGGACTGTGCAACTCATTCAGTTGTTCTGTAGTTAACGGGAACTCATCACTCTTTTGCACCGTTCCATATCTATGTGTGAGTCGACGTACCAACAAACTTCCATGTTCGTTATTAATCGTCATTATGCGTATCGAATCTATTTCTCTAACCTTTCTTCCAACAATATCACAAACTTGATCTGTTAGAATACCTATAGATGGATAGTAATATGTACAAATATAGAAATTGTTCCTTTTATAGATGCATATATATATATAGTAGTGCCAAGAATGGGGGTCCATTCCCCTTCCCCCCCCCCCAAGTTGTTTACTGTGCCCTGTTTTTTTTTCTCTTTCTTTCCAATTCGCATTTCATTTTTCCTTTAGAGATGGAAATATTGCAATGCCTTCCTTTTTTTTGCTTGCCAGAGCAGAGATAAGTGACCTCATTTCAGAACAATTTAACATAGACTTGTAGAGTTGCAAGGGAGATCAGAGGCGAAGCTCACAGAGGAGGTGGCCACATTCGTTGGAAGTATAGAACAGGATACGCCGAGGCTGTAGATCAATACTTAAAGGAGCGAAAGAGAAAGAGAGGGATGCTGGGGGGGATTACTTGTAAAAGCTTCGCCCCTTATACTGGAACTCTTCTAGAGGAGGACACTACTTGCTTTAGCCATTATTGTAAACACTACGTACTTAAGTCAGGGGAGCAGTCGATTAGATAGTGACTCGAGCGCCAACCGTACATATTTTGAGGTAATACGTATATATATATATGAGTAGGAGGCAGGGAAATCAAATTTATTTGCCTGTATTGAAGAACTTATGGAACTCAGTCAGAACAAACCTGTACTTGACATCGCCTCTATCCAATTTCGTCAACCCTTCATGAACGCCAGCCTCCGAGATAGGGATCTCTTGAATCCAAGGTTTAAAGCCATGTTTTTCCGCTAGAGACAACAATTCAATAGCTTCTTGACGAGAACCCAATTTTGAAGAGCCGATAGTACACCCATTTGAGAAAAATTGGATGGGTTTCAAATCGAATTCTTCATCCTTATGAGGCAACCCTACGGATAAGAATCTTCTATTGACTTTCAAACAAGGTAATAAATCGTTTAATTGTAGAGCCTTTGTTGAGGAAGCGCAATTCAAGATCAGATCAAAGGAGTCCACATATTGATTCTTCCAGTCGTTGTCCTCACTTGTTGCGACGAAATGATGAGCACCCATCTTCATCGCGTCTTCTTTCTTCGATGACCCTCTTGAGAAAGCGGTGACGTCTGCACCGAGAGCATTTGCAATCATGATAGCCATATGGCCCAAACCGCCAATACCGATGATAGCGACACGAGGGTTTGTGATTCCTTCGATGTTTCTCTTGATTGGAGAAAAGACGGTCAACCCGCCACACATCAAAGGACCCACATGTTTTGAATCCAAAGATTCAGGAACTGGGAAACAAAAATGGTCCAGGGCACGAACATGAGACGCATAACCACCTTGCGAGACGTACCCGTCTTGATAGGTCGAACAATAAGTACCGACGGCATGGGGACAGTACTGTTCATTGCTTGACTTGCAACGAGAACAATCCAGGCATGAGTATGCTTGAGCACCGAGTCCTACACGTTGTCCAATGTTATACATGGTGACTTTTTCACCCTTTGCCACGATTCTGCCGACAATTTCATGCCCTACGACTTGAGATTTGGGCCCATATTTAGATGATAGACAGGCTAGAGGGTCATTAGACCAGTCGTTCTTCAGACTGAATAATTCCGACGCACAGATCCCGCAACATTCAATTTCGATGTCGATATCATGGGGCCCAAAGTGTTTTGGTTGATATGAAGTCAATTTTGGATGATCCCATTGATTTGGGTCTGTGATAGCAAAACCTTTAAATTCTGTTGGATAGTTGACTGTAGTAGACTCTGACATTACGATATAAAGGGAAAAGCAAACGTTTCTGGTTTACTTGATTGGGTGAAAGTAACCAGTATATTTTATTTCCTTTATTAATAATGTGTGTTTATATAATCGATGAGTGAGAAAAAAGTGACAAAATAAAAGAAAACCGAGTCGGCCGAATATATTAGATAATAAATATGGAATGTGGCTAAATATTAGGGTACGTTCGGCCGAGTCCCCTGTTTGGCCCCGGCACACACATAGAACATTCCATCCAAGATAGTAGTATTACATAATGCAAAGATGCAAAGATGCAAAGATGCAAAATACGATATATAATTATTAATTAATCCGATTTGATGGAGATAAGAAAAGTAAGCAATAAGATATACGTTTAATAATTGAATTTTCAAACGAACAAACGAATCACAAGATGAAATATGGCCAAATTAAACTGCGTTAAAGACAGAAAATATTTAGTAGTTCTCTCGTTCAAAATGTAGCCCATACATATTATTTATTTACCAGTTACCTTAAATAAATATAGAAGTATAGAAGTATTGTTACAAGTCAAACAAACTTAATTAGTTGACTATAACAGGTAACTTGATGAAAAGGCCCACCGCAAGAAAAAGGAAAGGTAAAGGTAAAGGTAAAGCTGAAATGAAACGGAAAGGGTTACAATTTTACAATTTACAATTTACCATTCGCAATTACTATAAACGGGATTAAGTAAAAAATGAGCAGCTGAATAACGAACTCACTAACCGTAAATAGTAACAAACTAGTGATGGAATGGAAGTTTGGCAGCGCGACAGACCAGACCCCTTCATTGCAAATGTAAGTGTGGTTCTGTGCCAGTTACCCTACACCGGTGCCGGGCGGGGTGCGGTGTACGGATGCACCGCACCATAAAAAGGGTCGGTGGCAAGGGTGCGTGTGGCCCGATTGGGCAAAATGATAATATTTGGCAAGCGTGGTGTGTTTTCCCGAATGCCCAAACGGGAAATTTCCGCATTTGCGCTGTTTTTAATTTTCCGAGTTTGATGAAAAGTGGAAGAAGCTGTCGGGCCGGTGTGCGGCCGTTTCTGCGTATTTCAAGCAACGTATCCAGGTTTTGACAAGTTTTGAGTGACTTTTTGCAAAAAAGCATTTTCCAGCTGATTTGCGCACAGAATGCCCGTGAGAGCGCAACGAAAACGTGCAAATTTCTGCGATATTTATTTTGTTTTATTTATTTTATTTTTGCTGTGATAGCCGTCTTTCTTTATCAATTTAAAGGTAAAATGACAGTTCTTTATCGTATAATCAACCGGTGGATTGATGAATTAGTGAACAAATGAATAATATTTATATTTATATTTTTACTAAAACGGTTCGGTTCAGTTCAGTTCTATTGTAACGAATATGAATATGATGAATGAATGAATGAATGAATGGCTCTATCTCTATCTCTCACTCTCTTAATCGTTATTTCACTCAATTGAGTATTATTGTTTACTTATTGCAATAACAATAATCATCATCTCATCTCTCTTCGCAATACTTCTTCGTTTATGTTACGAATTTTTCACTCTTTTCTGCGTATATTTCTTTGTTTGTTGTCTTGTTTCTTCTTCCGTCCACATTTTATCGTATTCGTTCACACAGATAGTTTCACCCAAATTGAGAAATATCTAAACAACAACAACATTCCACCTATAATTCCTCAATTGAGGATCTTTTAGCAAAAATAAAATTTTGAGAGATTATTAACTGACAATGAACTAAACGTCTTTTGTTTTGTTTTGTTTTGGTTTGATAAAACATCTCTCGTTTCCTACTTACCTTCTTTACCCTTCGTAAAATATTTCATTTTAATTGCTTTGCTTTGATTTGTTTGTTATTATTATTACGGTAATCATTTTCAACTCTTTCTCTCTTTTTTAAAGGGTAGAAAACTTTAACTAAGATTAATTTTTCAATTTATTTTTCAGTTTATTTTTACCAATAATCACAGGTTTTTACTCATAAATCCTGTAGAAATTTTTGTAAAATTGAATAAGATGATGTTGATGACGATGACGATAATCTCAATCCATTTCAACAAGGGATTATTTATTTTCATTATTCTTTTTTCTTTCCTTTTTTTTTTCCAATTGGGTAAATTTTAAATAACAATAACAGATATATTAAACTCAATTCAACTTCTTATTTTTATTCTTTTTCCTTTTGCTTTTCTCATATATATATAAACTGAAAAATATATACACATTTTGAATTTCTTATCAACTATTTTTCTTTCCCTCTTATTAACTTATATTATTCTTATACTGTCTTACAAATAAAACCAAACAAGACATAATTGATCTTTTTTCTTTTTAATACCAAAAAAAACTTTTTATTTTAATTTTTTTTTATTTTAATTATTAATTAATAATAATAAAAGAAACATTAAAGAAATAATAAATATATTTAAATTTTTTATTATACCCAATTTATCATCTAGGTTAAACAACAAAAAATAATTTTGCTATTTTTTAATACGTTATCCAAGATATATTATAATATAATTTATTCATTTCTGTTTTCTTTTTTATAAAATCCAAACGAAAGAGTTACAATTTTTGTTTTATTTTAAATACATATAATAAACAATGTCTGACTCTGAACAATCTTCCGTGTCAAGCGAAGAAAAACCACCTCAAATCGTCCCAACTTCTTCTGAAGAAGAATCCGATGACGATGATATCGATGCTTTAATCGAAGAACTACAATCCAACCACAACATCGACTCTGATGAAGACTCTGATGAAGAAAATGGTCCAGCTGCTGCAGGTGAAGCTAGAAACGTTCCTGAAGAAATGTTACAAACTGATCCTTCTTACGGTTTAACTAACGATGAAGTCATTCACAGAAGAAAGAAGTTCGGTCTAAATCAAATGTCCGAAGAAAATGAATCTTTAGTCGTTAAGTTCGTTATGTTCTTCGTCGGTCCAATTCAATTCGTTATGGAAGCCGCTGCTATCTTAGCTGCCGGTCTTTCCGATTGGGTCGATTTCGGTGTTATCTGTGGTCTATTAATGTTAAACGCCTGTGTTGGTTTCGTTCAAGAATTCCAAGCTGGTTCCATTGTCGATGAATTGAAAAAGACTCTTGCCAACTCTGCTGTCGTTATCAGAGAAGGTGAATTAGTCGAAGTTCCTGCTAATGAAATCGTTCCAGGTGATATCCTGCAACTAGAAGACGGTGTTATCATCCCAGCTGATGGTAGAATCGTTACTGAAGGTTGTTTTGTTCAAATCGATCAATCTGCTATTACTGGTGAATCTCTTGCTGCTGACAAACATTACGGTGACCAAGCTTTCTCTTCTTCTACTGTTAAGAGAGGTGAAGCTTTCATGTTAATTACTGCTACTGGTGACAACACTTTCGTCGGTAGAGCCGCTGCTTTGGTTAACAAGGCTGCTGGTGGTCAAGGTCATTTCACTGAAGTCTTGAACGGTATCGGTATTATTCTATTGGTTTTGGTTATTGCTACTCTATTATTGGTCTGGACTGCTTCTTTCTACAGAACTGACGGTATCGTTAGAATCTTGAGATACACTCTAGGTATTACCATTATTGGTGTTCCAGTCGGTCTACCAGCTGTCGTCACTACTACCATGGCTGTCGGTGCTGCTTACTTGGCTAAGAAACAAGCTATTGTTCAAAAATTGTCTGCTATCGAATCTCTTGCCGGTGTCGAAATCTTATGTTCCGATAAGACTGGTACTCTAACCAAGAACAAGCTATCTCTACACGAACCATACACTGTCGAAGGTGTCTCCGCTGATGATCTAATGTTAACTGCTTGTCTAGCTGCTTCCAGAAAGAAGAAGGGTCTAGATGCTATCGACAGAGCTTTCTTGAAGGCTTTGGCTCAATACCCAACTGCTAAGAACGCTCTAACTAAGTACAAGGTCCTTGAGTTCCACCCATTCGACCCTGTCTCCAAGAAGGTCACTGCTGTTGTTGAATCCCCAGAAGGTGAAAGAATTATCTGTGTTAAAGGTGCTCCACTTTTCGTCCTAAAGACTGTCGAAGAAGATCACCCAATCCCAGAAGATGTCCATGAAAACTACGAAAATAAGGTTGCTGAATTGGCCTCCAGAGGTTTCCGTGCCTTAGGTGTTGCTAGAAAGAGAGGTGAAGGTCACTGGGAAATTCTTGGTGTTATGCCATGTATGGATCCTCCAAGAGATGATACTGCTGACACTGTCGCTGAAGCTAGAAGATTAGGTCTAAGAGTTAAGATGTTAACTGGTGATGCCGTCGGTATTGCTAAGGAAACTTGTAGACAATTAGGTCTAGGTACCAACATTTACAACGCTGAAAGATTAGGTCTAGGTGGTGGTGGTGACATGCCAGGTTCTGAATTAGCTGATTTCGTTGAAAACGCCGATGGTTTTGCTGAAGTTTTCCCTCAACATAAATACAGAGTTGTTGAAATCTTACAACAAAGAGGTTACTTGGTTGCTATGACTGGTGATGGTGTTAACGATGCTCCTTCTTTGAAGAAGGCTGATACTGGTATTGCTGTCGAAGGTGCTACTGATGCCGCTAGATCCGCTGCCGATATTGTTTTCTTAGCCCCAGGTTTATCTGCTATTATTGATGCTTTAAAGACTTCTAGACAAATTTTCCACAGAATGTACGCCTACGTTGTCTACCGTATCGCTCTATCTCTACATTTGGAAATCTTCTTCGGTCTATGGATTGCTATTCTAAACAACACTTTGAACATTGATTTGATTGTTTTCATTGCTATTTTCGCTGATGTCGCTACTCTAGCTATTGCTTACGATAATGCTCCTTACTCTCAAAAACCAGTTAAATGGGATCTACCAAGATTATGGGGTATGTCTATTATCTTAGGTATAATTTTGGCTATTGGTTCCTGGATTGCTCTAACTACTATGTTCTTACCAAAGGGTGGTATTATCCAAAACTTCGGTTCCATCGATGGTGTTATGTTCTTACAAATTTCTCTAACTGAAAATTGGTTGATTTTCATCACCAGAGCTGTTGGTCCATTCTGGTCTTCTATTCCATCTTGGCAATTAGCCGGTGCCGTCTTCGGTGTCGATGTCATTGCTACTATGTTCACTCTATTCGGCTGGTGGTCTCAAAACTGGACTGACATTGTTACTGTCGTCCGTATCTACATCTGGTCTGTTGGTATCTTCTGTGTCATGGGTGGTGCTTACTACGAAATGTCTGAATCCGAAGCTTTCGATAGACTAATGAACGGTAAGGGCTGGAGTGAACCATCTCACTCTTCCAGATCTGTTGAAGATTTCTTAACTGCCATGCAAAGAGTCTCTACTCAACACGAAAAAGAAAATTAATCTTTTTAGTCGTTCGAGTCTAAACTTTTTAATAACTAATTTTCCAAACAATCAAAAATTTTAATTTTTCTTTTCTGCTTTTTCCTTTTGAATATCCTTTTAAAATCTTAATGAGAATTGATACATTATAATTTTATTCCTTTTTTATTTCTATTCATTTCATTTGTCTTTTTAATGAATTTTATCTCTTTGATTACTGAGTTCTGTTCTTTCTTTTTGTTGGTTCAAATTTTTTGTTTTAGCTGCTTTGATATGTTTTACTGTTTCCAATTTTACACACACACACACACACACTTTGGTCATGGTCTTTCATTAATGGTAACTTTAGATACTTCTTTTTTGACATTCACCGCATTGAATCGTTTTTGGTATCAATCATTTTAAATTCATGGATTTGCAATTGTTTAACATTTAAACTTAAAAAAAATTTAAATTACAACACAAATCTCAATTACTTTTTAAAGGGGAAGAAATTGAAAAAGTACAATCGCTGCACATTCTAATTTCATCTTTTAACTTTAATCATTTTAGTTAATATTAATTTTTAATATACTTTTTATATAATTCGCACACAATCACACACACATATACACGCACTATAATTTATTCATTTTAATTAATATTTTAATATTTTAATTTATAACTTTTTATGCTTCAATAATAATAGAACTTAATTATTATTAGAGTGAGTAACCCAGAAACATCCCGATGTATCTGTTTACATGCTTGTCAGTACTATCTAAACACTAAAATATTACAAGAAGAACCAGCAGCATAACCCAGATCTTAATGTTATATGTTCTCTCTGCATATCAATAAATAATGATATACAAAAGTGCTTACTGTCGTAGACTATTACTTCTTCTTTCTCGTTTGCAAATGAGTTACATATATATATACACGCTATCTAATCGTTAAAATAACAGATCAAGATAACCAGGGAATGATTAATTAGAGTACTAGCAAAGAACATGATAGCGACTCACGCTCAGAAAATCAGCGGCATCCTACATCTTCTTGTTTATTTGTAAGAAATACATAAGAGTTCACTTGACCATTCAAGTACTCCGGTACCACTTGCAATAGCATCTCCAATTACTGTCATTCGAAGCGAATCCATGACCAGCTGGATGTGACTGAGTGGTTCATGATAGTTGAACTGAAATCTTGGCTGATTTTCACATCTTTTCTCTGTCTGTCTGTCTCTCATTTGCGCTCTTCCAGCTGCGGGATGCGAAAAAACAAAATTTTTCAGCAAAAATCATAAAAAGAGAGAATGAACAATCGAATTTATCAATTAAAAAAGGTTTGATTACAACAAACAAACACAACAAACTAAGCTAATCCGAACAAGCAAACTAGCAGTTTATCATTCCCAGAGATACAGAGACACTTACATCCAAGGTTCCTGGTTTTCCATTCTCCTCTTTTTTATTTTTATTTCCCTTTTCTGTACATTATTTTCTGTATTTTTAGTAAGCCAACAGCTCATCGACTATTGTAAATTATATTATACTTTTTGAAGTTTCCTATCCATCATATTTTGGTATACTGTTGTCTTTGTACATTAACAACCATCTAAACTTCCATTTTTTTAAATATATAAACTCTTTTTTTTGTTAGTGAAGCCACTTATTAACATTATAAGCTAGTAATAATTTATCGGTCCTTTCTCGTTGCAAGAAGGTAAAAACACACACAGACATTACAACTACGTCTTTTAGAAATGTCAACTAATCCTATTGTCAAACAGGATAAGGCAGATTCTGCTGATCCGGTAGTAACCGAAACCATCACCGCAGCATTGGAAGAACTCAACTTAGACGTCGTTGATAATACTGAAACTATCGAAATTAAGAAAGCAGTATCTAACAACAATGGTGTTCCAACACAAATGTTTCCTCAAATGATGAATATGGGATTCATGCCATACAATCAAATGATGCCGATGCATCACCAACCGGGGTTTTACCCACCAGGCGATTTCCCTGAAAACCCAATGACCATGGGGAACCGTCCTCCTCATCCACACGGTCCAATGATGTTCCCTAATAATGGCGATATCCAAGGTTTCCCCCAACCACCACATATGCAAGCACCATTGGGTGCAGGTTCCGGTTTTAGTCCAAATGGTATCGTTAACAATAGTACTACTCCACCAGGTGCACCAATGAATGGTGATGTGAACATTATCCCGGGTACTACTCCAAATGTAGCTCCAGGTCCGGGATTAGGCCTTGGATTCAACGACACCTTATGGCCAAACTCATCCAGAACCCAATCTAACACTGCAAACATCAGTGAAACTACAGACAATGATGCTGCAGCAAACGTTACTATTAGAAGACAAACCTTCCACACTATCTCTACAGCTGAGTTAGGTGAAACATCTTCTACTATCAGCAAGGATAATACAAATAAGGATGCTAGTGGGACGCTAGAATCTAGTTCTACCACGATGGGTGCAGTGTCTGCTGTAGGAGCTAAGACTAGAACTAAATCAACGTCTGTGCAAAGATCTGACCGCGACACATTATTTGATACCCCTGCTACTTCTTCTAGCTTAACCAGTGGTACCTCCAAAAAGACTAAAGAAGAAAATGACACTAAGGCCAAGGATATGAAGAATTTACAAACTTATGCTGCTGCATATCCATATGGTGGTCCATTATTGCAACATATGCCTCACAATGATGGTGCTATGTTAAATGGTATGCCATCTCCATTCCCAGGGGGTTATGAATTTGCTGGTCCATTCCAACCATTCTCTCCTGTATTAGGCGGGATGAACGGTCCACTGCCAGGCCAATCACCTTTGCCTCATATGTCCCCATCACCAATTCAAATGGGACCTCCTGGAACTGACCCAATGGGTAAGAACCAAAGAAATGGGAAAGATAACGGAAGTCTACCATTACCGCCACAACATTATCCAATGATGCAACACCATCCTCAAAATGGTAGTCCACCACCTTGGTTATACAATGGACCACCATTCAACGGTATGATATCTCCATTGAACGGGCCTCATAACCCTCATGGTGGAATGAACATGATGAATAACAATGGGAACCACCACCATAAGGGGCCTGGCCGTGGGTCTGGTAGAGGTGGTAACTTCCATGGGAAAGGTAAATATGGTAAAGGTAATCATTATGGCTATAACAACCCCAACGGCAACGGCTATAACGATAACCGCAATGGGAACAACCAATATTCCCAGGCTAAAGCTGAAGAGGCTGCACGTTTCATAGATGCCACTCTAGATGAATTTGTTGGTGATATTTACACCTTATGCAAGGACCAACATGGTTGTAGATTTTTGCAAAAGCAACTAGATCTATTGGGTAAAGAAGCTGCTGACTCTATTTTCGAAGAAACTAAAGAACACACTGTTGAGTTGATGACTGATTCATTTGGGAATTATTTGATTCAAAAATTGATCGAGAAGATTACTTCTGAGCAAAAGATTGAACTTTCAAATATTGCTGCTCCACATTTTGTCGAGATTGCTTTGAACCCTCACGGTACTAGAGCCCTTCAAAAATTGATAGAATGTACTAATACTGACCAAGAAGCTCAAATCGTTATTGATGCTCTTGAGGACTCTGTGATTCAATTAAGTAAGGATTTAAACGGTAATCATGTTATTCAGAAGTGCCTACAAACATTGAAACCTGAACATTTCCAATTTATTTTTGATGCGATCTGCAATGACTGTACAACTATTGCTACACACAGACATGGTTGTTGTGTTCTACAACGTTGCCTAGACTTTGGTAATAAAGAACAGTGCTCTATGTTATGTGACAAATTACTGACCTTCATTGATCGTCTAACTTTAGATCCATTTGGTAACTACGTTGTCCAATATATTATCAGCAAAGAAACGGAAAGTAATGCCTTCGATTACACATATAAAATTGTTCATTTAATTAAGACCAAGATGGTTGAATTATCTGTGCACAAATTTGGTTCCAATGTTATCGAAAAATTGTTAAGAACTCCTGTAGTAGCTGAGACATTAATCTTAGAGTTGGTCAATAACAAAGGTGAGTCTGATATCAAGCTTTTATTAAATGATAGTTACGGTAACTATGTACTACAGACTGCATTAGATGTTGCTCATAATCAAAATGATTCAATTCATGACAAATTATCAACAATGGTCTCTCCATTACTTGTAGGTCCAATTAGAAACACACCACATGGTAAGAGAATTATTGCTATGTTACACTTAGAAGATGAACAATAATTGAGATTAGCAATTAAAATATTTTGCAACAACTTATCTTGCAAACCTATGTAAAATATCTAAATATGATAAGTAAAATTTAACAAAACACAAAACTGAATAACCTAATCATTCTTTAAGAAGTTTTTTCTTAAAAACACACACATACATATTTATATATAAGTAAAAGTAGTTATCATCTATTGAAATTAGGTATTTATATGGACATCTAATTGAGGTTGTCGCCTTCTGGATACAAATCACTCCATAGGATATTATATATGCTACCAATATCACTGTTCACAAACTCGTCTAATGTCCCCAAGTTAAATGATGCCGCTAACGACCGTGGGCCTTGAGAGTTCATATTTTGCATATAGGCTTCGGAAGGATTACTGTTTTCTCCAAATGGGAACATTGAGCTTCTATGTCCTGGAGACATGTTTGGATTAACTCCAGGATGATCATGAACACCATTTGGTGGAATACCAAATCCGGTACCAGAATGACTGTAGGGTGGCATTGGCATGTTATTTAGCCCCTCTACTGGATGAGCAGAGTTTGACATATCAGGTGTAATCAAATTGGAAACTGGTACTACACCTCTATATCCAGTGTTTGGAATTGGCATACCGCCCATGGGTACTGAATTTGGATGAATTGGTGGAGGTGGTGTAGTGTTATGTGTCAAGGGACTAGCAAATACCATTGGAGGATGCATATTTATAGGTTCTGATCTTGAAGTTGGATGTTTGGATTTCTTATTTTGTTTTGCTTTAGTCTTTGCCTTACTCAAAAAGTTCGATTCTAACATTCTTCTTACATGCAAATGGAAACCAGATCTTTGAACAGGCATCAATAAATATTTGTAAGTTGGTGAAGAAATATCGATACAGCTTCTAAAGGTATCCACCAATTCTGGGGAGTTCTGTTGAAACCAAGTTAGCAATTCTTCCATTTCAATAGAATGTTGGTTCAAATATTGATGAACTAGAATACGACATGCCAAACATAAAAATGATAAATTTTTACAATATTCCCCGTATAACGAGGATTCTCTTACCTGTGGATAATTCTCATGCAAAGTTAGAATCCATAAACATCTTAGTTTATGTAATGCCAAGACCATAGACCTCAGATCATCTCTGGTAATCATTGCCTTTAATACGTCCGATTTAGTTATAAACAGGATGGTAACACAACGGAAGTACATGAATACCCTAATGAAAGAATAATCGTTTGTGACATTGCTTAAGAAAAGATTCATCCTATTCCATGAATAATAAATTTCGTGGAAAATATCAGCAACGGCAGTAAATTGAGGTTTTGTGTAAGGTGGTGAAGACAACCTTGCCTCTAAATTATCAATTGTCGAAAGGACAACAGAGAAATGGAATTCGAACGAACAACTAAACCTAGAGGCAGCATTAATCTCATCGTTATGATATACTTTATCGTTTAATACAGCCTCACCATTTGCATTACGTACACTGGACGCTAATTCGAATAATCTGGAACAATGATTACGTAATGCTTGCAATTTAGTCCTTAATAAGTCATATTCACCAACTAATTCTTGGAATAATCTACTTTTCACCAATGGTGGTACTGCTGTATTCCTGATGGAAGTATACTTTTCATTGTACAGTACATTGATTTGGAAATCACTTACCAATTGAATAATCCCTAGTCTACCGTAATGGACCAATGTATCAATGTCCATATTATCGAATGCAGATTCTAAATTGAATAAATGGACATTACGTACAAATGTCTTACTATCTAAAAATCCAATATCTCTAAATACAGGTGGTAATAAACAGGACATTATTGAATCGTTAATTGTGGAAGGTTCACCCAATGTAACAGATATTAACTTATCAAAATAATATAATCCCCACCAAATACGTCTTCTCCTTTCTGCATTGGCTTCATCTAATCCAACATAATATTCCCATCTATATAGACCCATTTTTAATGCTCTATTCACTGCAGCATCCATCAACAACGTGGCACTATAGTAATCATAAGAAGCCAATTGCTTGTCGACCAATGATAGCAACAACTCCACATAATCGATACTTCGAGGTGATTTATAATAGAAGAATTGGGTTTCATTATAATATTGATAACACAATGGGAATAATAATTGTTCAGTCTCCGAAAAAAATAACAATTTTTGAATTACCTGATTTGAGAATGTAGGAACTTTATTTTCAAGACGTAATGTACAAGAAGTCATCTCTACCATGAAGGACTCATAAGCTGTTTTAAATTCATTAAATATTTTTAATAACAATTGGAAAATTGTCAATGGATCTCCAATATTATCTAATAACATCTCCGAGGTGACTCCTGATATTTCATATACAAATGGTTGTGGGAATCTCCTTATGAACTGAACAATTGTGTTACGTTTACTAGATGAGGCACTCCCTGTACTACCATTAGTTCCCACGCCATGAACACCATTACCACCGCCAATAGTGAAACCACCTGATGGTCCAGGTGAAGGTGTCATAATTGGTGCATCAGGACTTTGAGGCATCGCCGGTAAACTCTTTCTACTGGAATAATTATCAAGAGGATTAGCAATAAGACTCTTCCCTTCATTCAATTGAATAAAACACATATCAAAATATCTTAGAATCAAATACAGAGTCTCTTTCACTTGACGTTTAATTTGTCCATTATTTCTGCGTAAATGATCTAAACAAGCGTAACCAATACCTCTAAATGAAATAGCTTGAAATGGTGAATATAAACCAAACATTTCAGTAATTAAAGGTTCTTCAGATTCAAATTGTGTAGTCTTTTCTTTTGTTTTATTATTTTTAACAGTTGAATCTGACCAAATAGCAAACCGCGTTAAACAAACACGATCGGTATATTTATTACGTAATAAGGATGTTTCTAAGGATTTTTCAGAAGCAGGTGATGTACGTTTCTGATGACTCTTCTCTAAGAATGCAGGCATATCAAGTTGAGGTTTACAACTATCTACAAGTTCATTAATTTGATTTGTGATTTTCTCTATACTTTGAGAAATTGATTGGTCTTGGAATGTAATACTTTTCAATGACTCCAACGCTGTAGCTAATGAATTAATTTTCATTTGAAATGCAATGTCATCCTGATATAATTGATTATTCCCTGTTATTAAGGGTGGAACTTGTGTTATAAAATCTGCTACATGTGGATATTTTGGAATTGCAGATGGACTCCTAGAGTTACCACCGTTTGTAGTATTAATCTCCGTAGTTGGATTCATATGGGATTTAATATCATTTGTGAGATTCTGTTTATTATTATAAAAAGTCGGAGATTGTAATGTAGATTCTGGTAGATGCATAGTGTTACTAGCATTCATATAAGGAACAGAAGTAGGTGCCGGGAGTGATTTACCATCTTCCTGTGATATATCTCCTACAGTACCATTACTATTGTTGTTTCTTATGTTACTCGTATTGTCGACTGAATCAATGTCATCATCACCATCATCATCATTGTTTTGTATAGTAGTATCTTGTAATGCTTTATTTGATAAAGTAATTGGTATATGCATTCGAATCTTCTTTGCACGACCACGTTTAGCTGTTGAAGATCTTGCAGAATATATACATGGACATGAATAAGCTTCACAAGTAGAACATGGTTGTTTCCCAGTACACCGTAATTTTCTTTTTCGACAATTGTCACAGGCTTTTCTAACTTTTGTTCTCAGTTTATCGATCTTATCAGGCATAATGAATGGCTGTGTAAGTGTGGTCCTAGGGAAAGAAAGTTTGTTATTGTTACTACTTATTATTATTATTAAGTAAAAGCCAAAGAGAACTAATCAGTTATTTAGTAATTGAAGTGATGAGGTTTAGTAATATCGATTAAAATAGGGATGCAAAGTTAATCGATAAAGAGGAAAAATTAAAAAAGAAAGAAAAATTAGCAAGCAAATCCAGTCGATGCACTTTAACTTTAACAACTCCACCTGCGTATAATACAATTTTTGTTCTATTCTTCATGTAATGAAAAACATGAAAAAAATAAAAGCCAAATCAACTGATACTATCGTTACTAAAGAAAGAACCACATTTGTTTTTTGCCGATTTGTAGATCCCTGCCTTCCCATTGTAATCGAAAAGCCAATAAAAAACACTTTTTAATTCCGCGGATCTTTTCAGGTTTTGAAAAAAGTATGCGTTACCCTACTCTAGCGTCGATTGGAGCACGTGACTATGGGATTTTTACCGCCACTCTACCACCACCACAACTAAAGAGAAGAAGAATAATCTTGAATCAATAATCTAATAAAAGTATGTTATATCGGTAATTGAGCAATAGAAGACATTGCAAATAGACTCTGTCCCTGAGGTAGTTTGATTATACTTTGAGGGCTGGGCTCTTAAAAGCTTGATATATGTCTCATTCAATGCGGTATGAATGATACAGATCATCTCATGATATGCTTGTGCAGAAGGGGAAAGGCACACGAAAATATATGCCACCAGAAAGTTACGACAGTATTTACTTTTGCTTTCTTTATATATAAATAATTTATTTTCTCCGTTAGCCGCCGAACCTTTGGCTCTCCCGATGTATAAATCCTCCGACACATCAAGAAACAAAAGTGAGAAAAAGACGAACTCTTCAAGGGAACCACACAAGAAACCATTACTCAATAAGTCAACTACATACACACTGACAGTTCATGTAACTGAACCAATCCATACAGCAAGGAAAGGTCACTTCCACCAAGTAAAATTCTACATATATATTACTTAACGCATTTTTCTTTTTCATTTTATGCTGAAAATATTCAAAAAAAAAATTATAAGGTGGTGGTAACAGTAAGGATGCCATATCCTGATAAGAGCCCGTTCCAAACATTGACGACATAAAGGAGAAACCGAAGTCCACTTCTCTCTTCTTTGTCCATTATTAGCATATTTGCACGCCTCAAGCTGTTCTTCCAACGCGAGACGCAAATAGCGAGGGAGCTATCGGAATGAATTCAAGGAGAAAAAGTGCATGCTACCGTAAACGAACGATTTATGCATCTCTCTCGTATAATAAACAAACCAATAATCCTGAAACTTTGACAGAACTGCAACACTCTCTCATATATATATATATATATATGTGTACTTGTTTCTTACAATTTTTATAAATCTGTCTTTGTTCGAGAGTACCCTTCTCTATCAGTATTCTTCGATTGTACAAGGAGACTATCTTCGTCATACAATTTAACAAAGTGAACAAACAATGTCTGAGAAGACCGAAAGGAAGAAAGAATTTTTACCTCAAGGTAAATATTTGAAACCTGATGAAATCGAATATGAATTCGGTGGTGTTCCAGGTGTTATCGGGATGCTGATTGGGTTCCCAGCATTGATGTATTATATGTGGATATGTGCAGAATTTTATGATGGTCAAATCGCTTTACCAAAGGCCAACGAAACTTGGTCACATTTTATCTCTACATTATACGATATAATCATTAAACATGCGGCACCAACTCGCTACATTTGGACTGTCTTCATGACATTTTGGTTATTTCAAATCGTCTTTTATTATACTCTACCAGGTATTTGGACGAAAGGTCAACCTTTAACTCATTTGAAAGGGAAGCAACTACCTTATTATTGTAACGCCATGTGGACACTTTATGTAAGCACCGCATTGGTTCTAACGCTGCATTTCACCGGTATTTTCAAATTGTACACTATCATTGATAATTTTGGCCAAATCATGACATGTGCTATAATCTCTGGGTTTTCATTTTCTATCGGGTTATACCTATGGACTTTGTTCATCAGCGGAGATTACCATCGTATGACTGGGAACCATCTATACGATTTCTTCATGGGTGCACCATTGAATCCACGTTGGGGGATTCTGGATTTGAAGATGTTCTTCGAAGTAAGATTGCCTTGGTTCACTCTATATTTCATTACCTTGGGTGCGTGTTTGAAACAATACGAGACATACGGTTACATTTCACCTCAATTGGGTGTAGTCATGCTCGCTCATTGGCTTTATGCAAACGCCTGCGCTAAAGGTGAAGAATTGATTGTTCCAACTTGGGACATGGCTTATGAAAAGTTCGGATTCATGTTGATCTTCTGGAATATTGCAGGTGTGCCATACACTTACTGTCATTGTACTTTATATCTGTATTACCATGACCCATCACAATACCAATGGTCCTGGCAATACAACCTGGCATTGTATGTAGTGCTGCTGAGTGCTTATTATTTCTTCGATACTACTAATGCGCAAAAGAATTCTTTCAGAAAACAAATGTCTGGGGATAAGACTGTTCGTAAGACTTTCCCATTCCTACCATATCAAATATTGAAGGATCCAAAATATATCACTACAAAGGATGGCTCATATTTATTGATCGATGGATGGTACACTTGGGCTCGTAAGATTCATTACACAGCCGATTGGACCCAATCCTTGATCTGGGCATTGTCCTGTGGATTCAATTCTCCTTTCCCATGGTTCTTCCCAGTCTTTTTCTTTATTGTATTGACTCATAGAGCAGCAAGAGATACAGCTAAATGTAAGAAGAAGTACGGTGCCGATTGGGATGAATACGTTAAACATTGTCCATACTTGTTCATACCATATGTCTTTTAAAAAAACAGAGATCATATGATATTCTTTTTAATGTATATGTATATATATATAAAATAATAATATTTGTTTATTTATTTATTTAGTCTTAATCTTGTTCGGCAATGGCGACTAATCTTTCCTCAATTTCATCTGTAGTTAAAGTGAAAAACTTATTTTCAATAGCCACACCGACTTCAATATCCTTATTAGTGAACTCTGTCCCCAATGAATCAATCAATTGTGTAATGGCGAACTCTACAGTCTTCTCCCATGTATCTTCATCCAATCCATCCTGTGTTCCTAAACGTTTCTTAAATGCATTCTCCAACGACGTAGTGATCTCCTGTTGCTTAGGACCTGTTGCGGTGGCTTTATAACCGACAAAGTAGCCTGCAGGATCAGTCTTGTAAATCACAGGTCCTTGTTCTTCATCCATAGCAATAAACGTCAATACAACACCTAATGGTCTCATATATGCACGCTGCGTATACACTTGAGCAATATTAGCCATTCTCTTCGCAAGCACGTCACATGGCATATCGTACCCATATTTGTAACGGAATTCGGCTGTTTCCGATTTAGCTCTTATAGCAGCATTTCGAGCATCAGGAATTGGCCCATTGACTAACATCCCAATATGTGAAGAAATCTTGAAAATATATGATACTGTAGCAGGATCCAATAACTTGTCTGGCACTTTCTTTTGGTTCACCACCACACTACAGTTCTTACTACGAACTGCAATGGAATTCAGGTTCGTTTGATTAGTTGCTTTAAATGCATATTCAACTTGAAATAATCTACCTTCAGGGGAAAAAATCGTAATATGTCTGTCGTAACCAGCGGCAGAAGCAGCAGCTGCACCGGACATTTCTCAAGTAGTATACGGAGTATGTAAAATCGATAGAAGCAATTGAACTAGTAACCTACCTCTTGTTCTTCTTGTTCTTTCTTTCACGTTCAACTCAAACTTATATACTTCAAAGGGTGGCAAATCTATCTCTTTCTCTTATAGCGTTTCTTTTATAAAAATTCAGTGTGATTTTTCTGGGTGGTCGAAGAGCTCCTTTCGCGCCTCTCTGCGGACAGTTCTGAGTGCTGTGTGGAGGTGTTACCCTCAGCGAGGAAGAACAAAGCCCTACTTTCAGGGTTTGCCACACTTACAGTTAAACATCGATACTTGAAGGGATAAATATATCAATTCAAACAGCCAGTGAGATGTCCAGGTCAGTAACAGCTGTTTTGGGTTCTTGCTGTATGTTTCCCTTGCATTGCATGCCTTGGCCTGGGGTCGCTCCGCAATCTCCGCCTGTATTCATTCATATATAAAGGGAGGGGAGGGAGGGGGAGACTGAAGAACACTTGTTCCCTTCCAGGATTCAGATATTTACAGAAGTAGAAACAAGAGAGGATATCTGTATTTGCCATCGACATGAAGCATTCGTTGTTGGACTTACGCTCACAATTGCGGTTTTACAAGTTTTATCATCATAATGACACAAATGTCGCCATCCACGCAGTGTTTGTCCCAACGATTCTGGTGACCAGTGCGTCACTGCTACACCGTTTCACTCTATATAAATCTATTACACTGACACATGTATTAACTGTAGGCTATGCTGTGTTCTATTGTTTACTATCTCTGCCTGTTGGTATGATGGCCAGTGCATTATTGATACTGTTGAATGTTGCATTGGATAAGAAGTGGCTGAATACTACACAGAGCCAAGACACGGGTATATTTGTTTTGAGTTGGATATGCCAATTCATAGGACATGGTGTGTTCGAACGTAGGAAACCTGCACTGCTGGACAATTTGGTGCAGAGTCTTGTATTGGCACCATATTTTATTTTATTCGAATTCTTATTTAAATTAGGTCTTTATAAGGATTTAAATCAACAATTAAAGCAGGACATCGCGACGATTTCTAAGTGAAAGCAAAAAAAATTGTGAATATTTGAAAATATTGCAACCACCACCACAACTACATACACACACATATATATTCTATAACTATTAGTTTTGCTAATTATATAAACGATCAAACTTCATCCCTGGGGCAAAGGAACGAACGTAATAACGATGACGACAGAACGTAACATAGACTGGAAAACATGCATTGCCATGGGATCTGTTGCCACTACAATGTTTACATTGTATAAACTATATAAACAACAGAATACCCAGACTCCTAAAGCTGTGTCTGGTGTGGAACAACTGATAGGGAACACTCCACTGGTTGAAATTCCATCTCTATCAAACCATACAAATAGTAAAATCTATGCAAAGTTAGAATTAGCTAATCCTGCAGGGTCTGCCAAGGATCGTGTGGCATTGAATATTATATTGACAGCAGAGAAACAGGGACTCTTGATACGAGGTGAGCCCGGGTGGGTCTTTGAAGGTACGAGTGGCTCTACAGGGATCTCTATTGCCATGATTTGTAACGCATTAGGTTATAGAGCACATATATCATTACCTGATGATACATCATTAGAGAAAATGGCATTGCTAGAGAGTCTTGGCGCCGTTGTGAATCCAGTGAAGCCTGCTAGTATTGTTGATCCTGATCAATATGTGAATGCTGCAAAGAAAGCATGTAATGAGATGATAACGAAAAATGGAGTGAAAGCAGTCTTCGCAGATCAATTTGAAAATGAAGCTAATTGGCGTGTTCATTTCGAGACAACAGGCCCCGAAATCTATCAGCAAATGGATGGTCACATTGATGGGTTTATTGCTGGGTGTGGTACAGGTGGTACAATCACAGGTGTGGCTCGTTATTTAAAGGAGAAACGTGGTCTTACACAGTTACATGTAGTGTTAGGAGACCCCCAGGGATCTGGATTCTATCATCGGATCAACCATGGCGTAATGTACGATACTGTGGAGAAAGAAGGTACACGTCGTAGACATCAAGTAGACACAATCGTGGAAGGTGTGGGCTTGAATCGTATCACTGCAAATTTCTCCCATGGTGAGACACGAATCGATGAAGCTGTCAGAGTCAGTGATGATCAAGCTATCAAGATGGCGAAATATTTGTCTGTGAACGATGGGTTGTTTGTTGGTAGTAGTACTGCGATCAATGCCGTGGTGGCCGTTAAGGTTGCTGAACAATTACAAGCTCAAGGGTTAACGTGTCCTAGGATTGTAATCATTGCATGTGACAGTGGATCTCGCCATTTATCGAAGTTCTGGAAAGTCGCTAAGGATATCGATCGAGACATCTCACTTGATGAAGTCATGCAGGATTAAATATATATTTAGTTTATATAGCTATATCTGAGAAATATTGTTGAATATCGAAATCGACTGAGCTTGCGATCTCCAAGATGATTTCCCATGCAACGTTAACTCTCCATCGAACTTTTGCACTTAACAAGTCCACATTGACACTCATCGTGGATGTTGCTAACCATTTCAACGAATACAATTCTGCGATGGTTTGGAACACTTCGATATTTGGACGAATGTAGGGTTCTTGCAACAATTGTTCCAACGATCCTCGTCCTTTCTTTGCATCGTTACCATTATCACTGTCATCAAGTGGATATATTGCCTGGAAAATGGCAAGCAATCTCTCTAAAGAAAATGTTGCAGCTTGTCTATGAGTCGGGTTCTCTTCAAGTTGCTTTCTTCTACCGTATGAAGCTCTACCGGATTTAATACCGGCTTTCCTTGAAAATAACGATGGATCGTACCTTGGATTTGTATAGGAGCAGAAATAGGCAGCAATCAGAATGTACCTTGCTATTTTTGACAATTCATGTTCTACACCATTGTTTGCACTCTGGTCCTCGCCGTCATCTTTATTCAATGGTTCATCGACAAATGTAAACAAGTGTCTAGCACGCCTATATAAAGTGGCTGAATCCTTTAAAGTTTCGTTGTCCAAAAACGCAATATATTGAGGCCATTTCAAATCTATAATATCATTGATTGCCGAGATGTTACTCCCTGTATATGAATAGAAACTTTGCAGTATCAATTGAATAAAATTCTCGATAACTTCTACACCCGAAGTATTACTGTTGTTATATTGTGATGATAAATCTCGGGATCTTGATATACATAATATTTTTAACAGTTGTTGTTGAGTATACCTTGGAAACACTACTGTCGGGATAACAAAATTAGAATATCTATGTACGAAGTAAGAATCCCTTATTACAAATACACATTTCAAATGTCCTGTACTGATCTGTTCATGTAATTTCAAAAATACTAGTAATAGAGAAGCATCTATATCCTGTAACAGATCAAACCCGTCGAATACAATATGAACAGTGCTGCATACGGCAGAGTAATGAGACATGACGATATTCAAATCTTTCACTAAACCAAAATAGTCTTCTACTTGTAAAGGGTCTAAAGCCGGAGGAGCGCCGATTTGAGGAAATTTCAAAATCAAAGTTTGCTGAATGACTCTCGAAGTGGCTTGGATCAAGGACTTCCACGTCACCAGCTCACTGGGCCTTATAGTAGCATGCACAATATCGTTAGATGAAGCCGACAATATCGAATTCAGAGTTGTTGTCTTACCTGTTCCCGAGGGACCCAATAATATTACATTCGGTGGAGTCAAAGTGTGATCATTAGAAATAAACGATTTCAAGGACGTCTCCTGGTACTCCCGAAACAGTGTGGACATAACGAAGAGCAGTGTATACTAGCTTACTTGTATGGTTGTGTCCATTGAATCAGTGATAGATGGTTGTTGTTGTAGTGATGATTATCAAATAGAGGTAAAAAGCAATAATTTTTCACTTATCTGCGGAACTGCAAGCCCTAACAGGTAAACATTAGGGCTTGCAAGTTCTGCAGATCACGTGACACACGCACCTCACCCACACACCACACTGATCCGCCCGCATTTCGCGTTTCGCACAGAACACACCGCACGACATCCGCCGTGACGTCAGATCCGGGCGCAAAGACCAATTTCCCGATTCGGCAACACCCGTGCACCGCGCCTTCCCCATGATAAGTCCAGACTCAAATCGCTTGTTGAGTTTCGCTCCCGCCGCTTTTCGCTCACCGCTGCCACTGCAAAAGACGTGAAAAGCAGAAAATTTCAGTTCAAAGTTGCGACAACTCACTGCTCGTTTCAGTTGAAAGAGTTTTTGCCAGATTGGGATGGGTTGATGCACTCTCCATTGGACTTGGCTTGGGCTGGATTAGATTGGATCAATTTGACACACATGCATATATATAAGTAAACATTTGTAATTTCGATATATATAGCAAGTTGCAAGACTCAACCACCCTCGATCCTTCCTTCATTCTCGATAGATAGATAATAGTATACCACTTTATTAATAGTAGTAATATAACACTATATCCTATACACTCGGTGTATATCCATTCTTTTAATCATTCAAATTTCATTTTACTACTATTCGAAATCGGAATAAAGTATACTAGATTATGTGGTTTAATTTGGAATATACCCTTTGGGTATACCTAATTTTTATTAGCAATAGCCTGACTGTTATGGCTCTGCCAATGAAAGAATATTCAAATTCAACAAATCCGATAAGTACAATTGCAACCAGTGAGAATACTCCCGTGACTTCGGTTGCTACTACAGCAGTAGCTGCAACTACATCGTCAGGCAGTTCGGGCTTTTTTGATAATATTATTGGACATATCGTTAGTGGCATAGATTCAAATATTGAAAATTTTCAATCACAATTTAGAGGCGGTAGTAATTCTATTCAGACTCAGTCAAATCCAAATTCAAATTCGATTTCAAATGCTGATACAAGTATTTATACCGTAGCTCCAACAAATACAGCAAGCTATGTTGCATCGTCGTCTCAAGATTTCGACACTTCAGTTTATGCTATATCCACTCAAAGTAGTAGCAGAAATCTGTTCGTCTCGAGCCCGTGGGTATCTGCTCCTGCTTCTTCTCCTTTTTCTCCTTTTTCGTCCTCTTCTACTGCTCAAACTACTGTGAGCGTAGTTATTCCATTTACTACTACTCCATCAACCAACACTGATGTGATGACCGTTTCTTCAAGTACTTCTTCATCTCTGGATATTTTAACTACAGAAACTGCTGAAATGAAGACTTCACCATCATCTACTTCTACTCCGATTATTAGTTCATCTTCTTCTGTGATAGTAATAGTACCATCTTCCTCCTCGGCTATCGAACCCGTCACTACTTCAGCTGCAGCATTGTTGACCAGTTCTATCCCTAAAGTCGTAGTTACATCCTCGCCTGTTACATCTTCTTCCCTTTCCTCCTCCTCATCCTCCTCCTCCTCCTCATCTTCTATTATAATACCTATCACCACCTCAATCGCTGAAATTATAATTCCATCCTCCAGTTCTACCTCCTCCTCCTCTACTGTGGAACCTATAACTACTTTGACTCCAATAATGACTACTCCTTCTACAACCTCTTCTTCTTCCACTACTTCAACTATCATCATACCTCAAACTACTTCCATTGAACAAATCCCATCGACTTCCTCCTCCTCTTCTTCTATTATAGAAGAAACACCTGTCACTACGGTATCTTTACCACCAATAACTACTTCTACTTCATTGCTACAATTAACCACTTCTACAGTACATACCTCTTCTTCTTCTTCTGTCGAAGAATACACTTTCACTCCTGTTACTTCAACCCAATCAAGTCACATTTCTGAAATTCACACTACAACTACTGTTCAACCTGTGAAATCAATCCCATCCTCCTCCTCTTCCTCTTCCTCCTCCTCCTCCTCCTCCTCGACTTTTTCTACACCTGTGGTTATTGTACCAGCACCAGTCGTCACTTCTTCCTCTTCTTCTACCACCACTATGGGACCAGACTGGTGGGTTCCAACTCAAATTATTACTTATTCAGAGGCATCGGATGCTTTAACAGCAACTATTGCAACTACAGTTTCGACTTCATCATATACAGTTCCATCAGGTTTACCGCAAGCTATTTCAGGTGACTCTTCAGACACTTCTTCTACCACTGTGGACGATAATGATGAAAACACTGCATTAGAATCTGATTATACTTTAATCACAATTGGGTTTTTAAAGGCCTTAAACTATGAATTTTTAGTGAAGTCCCCCCAATCAGCTGCTCAAATCTTTTCTTTCTTACCAAAGACTCTATATACTCCATTAGGTGTTGAAGATAATAATATTACAGTGAGTCAATTATTACCATATTTTGAAGAAGGTAAAGATTATACTGTGACTATTGCACAAGTTTATTTCCCAATTAGTCAAATTAAGAATTTGCAAACTGCAATTAACGACACTTCAAGTGCATTATATACCGAAAATGAAAGTACTGAACAGACTTTGGCTTACTTGATCGATAGATCAATTCCAATTACGGGACTTTCTCTGTCGGCCTCAATTTCATCCGATTCTTCATCTTCTTCCTCTTCTGATACCAGTTCGGCCGCCTCGTCCTCGTCCTCATCTTCTTCGTCCTCATCTTCTACTGATGGTGATGATTCTGGAGAATATGGTACTTTGGAATACACTGGTAAGACTACATCTACTTCTGATGGATCCTCTGGTTCAAGATTATCAAAGAAGAAAATCATTGCTATTGTTGTCGTCGTTGTCGTCTGTAGTGTCATCTATTTAATTGCTATGGGCTATATGATCAGACGCTACATTAAACATATTAGAAACAGACCTGTCATCCAATTACCAATTGAAGACACAGAAGATATGACCTCTCAATATAGTGGTAGTAACAACAATAATTCACATGGATTCAGTGAAAAGTCTTTAAGCAACGGCTCTCAAGGTGATAATGAAGATGTTGTCTCTATGAGAATCAACGAATGGATGAATGAAGCTCATTTTGGCAAAAATGAACATACTTTGAACGATTATCAAGCTGAACAAGTTATACAGATCGTTCGTGACATTGGTAGACCAAAGATCTCTAGACCAATCGCATCCGAAAACTCCTTGGGCTGGAACGACATATAATAAATCATTCTGTCCAATGATGTTGTTTTCTTCTTTTGCATAATTATATTATTTTAATACCCCTTCCCATTCCTCCCCATTTCATTTTATCTTCTACTTGTTTAGCTTTTGAGCTATCCACATACTTATATTATTACAATTATTATTTTGATACCCACATTCTTTTTTTAGCTTTTTTTAGGCAATATTTTGGCCTGGTCTTACCTATATTATTACTTATTTCATTTCATTAATGAACAATTTTAGAGAGATACTATACCCCCTATCTATCTACCGATAACTTTATTTCTCGTCATATATATATATATGTATTTATAATTAATTTTAATTTCGATACCTCCAATGACTCTAAATTATTTTAATTTATTCAGACTTTAAAAAGTTAATAATACTTTCAACACATCTGTCGTACTCTTCAAAGATTAGATTGTGTGAAGTATTAAACTCTTGCACTTGAGCATTTGGAAACACTTTGCGAATAAGATTATAGTCACTATCCACCATGCATGATTTCAATCCTCTTTGTACTAGTAATTCCACTGATCCATTACTTGCATCCATATCGTTAGTTATTTCCCATTTTTTCATATCTTCAACAACATTGGGAAATTCTTGAACTGGTAAATAATACTCAATTAATTTATTATTCTTAGACACATAATTACACTCCTGACGTAGAAATCCACCACCGAAATATATCCCTAATAAGTCAATGCATTTATTTCTCCATTGAATTCCACCTCTTTTGATTCGGAGTTGCCCAGATGCAATTTCGTTAATCAATTTCCAATTGTTATTCAATTCAACAGGTAACGTAGGAGTTGTATAAGGCGGAACATCTATGGCAACCACTCTACGCACTCGGTCCTTCAAAGATTTGTTTAGAGCTAACATCATTGCAATTCTACCTCCCATAGAATAACCAACAAAATCAATGGGCCGACCCTTGGGAACTTTTGTATCAATAAAATGCAACATATCTTTAGTGAAAGCTGGATACGTCATTGGATGTGCCTGTGGTGAATCACCATGATCTCGAATATCCACAGTAAATATGTCGGTATTAAGATGAGGTGATATAGATCGATTGACTGAATGGAATGTCACTTTAGATCCTAGAAATCCATGAATATTAATCAAGACAGGTTTATGGGGACCTGGCAATTGAGGTTTTATATGGGTGAAAAATAGATCAACTACCTCTTTAGTGGGCAGTTTCTTGGACATTTGTAATGTTGCTATTGTTATTCAGATCTTTAATTGAATATACAACTGGACTCATCGGTTCCATCTATGCTCTTCCCTTATAGAAGCATTTTTCCAATATTTCGCCTCGATGTTGATAAGGCAACAAATAACAGAATGATCCGTTTATTCAAATATATATATCATTACTTAAAGAAACGATCTGATTGGATGTAAACATCAAACACTATAATAATCTACAAGAAGGTAGAAGTTATACGTATCTTCAAACATGGTGAGGTTTAGGAAGTTGAACGGTGGTCTATGGGGCAATGAAGAACAACTAAATGAAACCGCTGAGGACGAAGATTTTGGTATCCTCATGGATGAAGATGATCAGGATAACCTTATAGAGAAACTTGAAAGAAGAAATTATCGCGATCGTGAAGCAAGTATACAAATATTGGGTCTATTATTGCTAGTGTGTGCGGGTATCTTTCTAATAATTGCAACAAGGGTCAACTCTAGAGATATTGCATCGATGGTATTGGCAGGTGTTCCATCCATGATCTGTTCGTGGATGACGTTACGTTACAATTTAGTCAATGATTATTGTCTTTTCAAAAAAATTAAACTATATATTAATGGAAGAAATATTGATATTCTTAATTACACAATTCTTATTCTTATTTCGTGGATCAGTTTGAATGAATTTGAAGGTCGGTGGCAATTGCAACTATTGTTTCAAATTCCTTTATTATTGAAAATTACAACAATTATTATGAAAAGATGGTCCCTAGAATTGGATCAGGAGTTTGATACATTACGGAGACTCAAGTACAAATATAAAAGTGCATGATAATTTTAATACTTTTTAAATAAAGATGCAGGAAACAATAAAATGGAACAATTTCATTCAACTTGATGTAGACTATTCGATTTTCTTTCTAACAAATAGGAAAAAGGGATATGTGTAAACTTTGCTTGCATTGGAAAACACAATTGGAATAGCATACCATAACGATTTTATATTAACCGAGTCTTATCTGGCATTGAATTGACTGGGTATCCTGAAATATACATCACATATTAGACAGATAATAAACTTTGAATAATAGTCATGTTTTTATTAATAGGGTGGATAAGATGAGTCTGTGAATGACAATATCATACGAAGGTTTAAACCAAAACTTAATTTATTACGGTATATGTGTTAAGATCGGCTAACGTCAAGTGTAGAAGAGTTTATCAATTTCAATAATGAATTATCCATATTGACAATGAAGTTTCCCTTCCTGTTTTCTTTCTGTGTTTCGTTGTACTCGTTGGGTGAGTTACCTGAATTCTTCTTTTAGAATGAAAATGCAGACATTTTCATTTATCAATAAATATATATATATCTAGTGATAAAAAATGCTTTTTAATTATTTTATTGTAGTAATGTTTGATAATATTTTTAATGACTTTACAATTATTTATACTAAATATAGTAGAAAATTAATAATAAGAGTGTTTTTGACTATAGTTACGATAAAGGTCTAGTTGGTCTTATGAGAAAATATCAATCCGGTGTGACACGACTAATTCTATTTTATATCTACTCTTCTACTTCATAGTCAACAAATACACACATATTTTAGAAATTTACATATATGTAAAAATAATCATTGGATATTAAATATATATAGTTTTTGGTTTAAAAGCCAGTTAAACAAGATTTGTTTCTTGATACTTATGTGATATAAGGTCGTTGATAGAACGGTAAAATATTTTTTGTTGTTCATGAGGATTCACAAGTATTACTTTTAAAGTATAAACTAAATTAAAAATGAGATTCATAAAAGCCTAATATTATACCAAATGATTATCTAAATATATAAAATTAAAATCATCAAAAGATAAGAAAGAGAAGGGGTTCCAACGGGCAGATTCGCACCAAGAAATGGGAGACCAAGGGAGAAAACTTTGGGGGAAATGGAACAAGTTCCAGGAAACGCAGGTTAGCTGAGGACTGGTATTTCTATCCTCTTGTACGAACAACCTTAGCACGTCACAAAATGATCTCGATAATTTTGGAAAACGAATTCTGCCATACAAAACTCTGCCCGAGCTTCAATTTTTGAGAAGTCACCCTGACCAGGAACTCAGGACTGCAGAAATAAATAGTTGACTGGTATTATTCTCATGGATCATTGGAGAGAAGAACCGTCTCCGGTTTTGAAAACTGGGGATGGATTCTGGGTATCCAGAGATAATTTACTAAGTATATACGAATCGTTATTTACATATAAATTTAGAAGAAAAAAATAGTACTTCGATCGCCATACAATTAGAGGTGAATAACAAATACAGTTACATTTAAATAAATATTCTTAAAATATATACTTAATTTAGTGAACATGTCTTGAATGGGAAATTCTCCTTTAGTACAATCATTTATGATTTTTCCATTCATATGTAGAATGCTTGCTATATCCATAAGTCGAATAATCCCACTGTAATGGAACAAAAGTCTACATTGTACAAGATAATGTTGTATATATATATACAGCAGTACATTCCAATTTCTAAAAGTGTACCAGCTATTTTACTCCTTCACAGGAATAGAGAAAATTGTAGTCGTTTTTGAAGAGTAGTTATATTTCTATATAACTATCCATTAAAATAACAAAAAAAAAAGAGTTTTAACCTGTGCAATCCCAATAAAGTTTCCAATCCAAAGGAAGAAAACTTTAGGACAAAGGGAGTAATTTTCAAAAAAGTATTAAGAACTAAGAAGTATTACTATCGTAACCACTTCTGAGATTTGACGTGATTTGGAAAAATCAATTCTTAAAAAATTGGTTGCTAAGAGATTCGAACTCTTGCATCTTACGATACCTGAGTATTCCTAGCTGAATGCTAGTTAAGAATCCGAAGATATCTTGAATCAGGCGCCTTAGACCGCTCGGCCAAACAACCTCTAATTTGTAATTTTTTGAAAAACACACTTAATTAAGATGTAAATCGGTAGTCACGTGATTAGGACCTAGAAATATTAAGTTGTCATATTTTTGTGAGCTGAAGCTTGAATAACAGAGTTAGTGTTGTCAAAATGTAGCGGCAGCACTAAAGAGGATAACTGATGGGAAAATTGAATATTAGACATCTTCTATTTAACTGAACAAATTTTATTATATTACAAAATCAACTTATAGTCGTCTGATCTTTTTATATCTTCTATAAAAATATATAAAGTAAATTATGGAAACAATTATATTCATAAATGAAATATTGTTCCATTTATATATGTTGGATTATCATTGTCGTGATTATAAACTCACTCGACAGTGGCGTAAGTAATCTATTATTAAGTTGTTGCGGGATGAACCTATTGTTAGATCATTGCGGGATGAATCTATCAATAGATCATAACCTTGGTCATTATCCCTCTTATAATATATTTCCGACAAATATGAGTAACCGATTGTCGAGAAAAATACATAATATATAAAGACAAAGAATTCTGAACTTACATTCGAAGTTAGATTCTATTTGTTCTATAAATAATATATAATATAAAGAGACTGATCGATTATCGTATTAAAAAATGTCCGAATTAAATAAAGTAAAGCTTGAAGAGACTAATAGAGGCAAACACTCTATCTCAGATTCTCTACAAAGATGTCTAATATTCAATTTTCCCATCAAAATTAAGATATCTAAAATGTCCTAATAAGAAATAAACATTTTATTAGGTAATAGTCGTTTAGGCCATAATCGTTTAGAAAATAAGTTCATTACTTATCGATCGTTTAACCAACAATCGTTTAGGTAACAAATCAATTACTTGACAATCGTTTAGGTAATCAGTTTACTACTTAACAATCGTTTAGGAAACAATCGTTTAGGTAATAAGAAGAAACGAAACTTCGATAAAATAAATGATATATAAAGACAAAGAATTCTGAACTTACATTCCGAGTTAGATTCTATTCGTTCTGTAAATTATATACAATATAAAAAATCACTTACAAATAAAAGAAAAGTATAACATATACACTTTGCTTTCTTAACACACGTTGTCAAGCTAACACCTATATCTCTCTACCTGCCACTATATAATATGAACGAATATAAGTCTAACCACAGTATGTCTGCTTCAGACCAATTGTCTACTATCATGAGCATATAATTGGGTGTATTTCCGATTATTTTGTTTAATGGGACCCCAAATGCCTATACTTCATGATGCATAGATTCCTCAAAATGATTGTAGGTTTTCATCTTTCCTTCATGGCATTTGGCGCAAAAGAATTCTTTCACTTTCTTGTCATTTTCAATGAATCCTCCAACTTCCGGAATTAAATTGGATTCAAATGTGTCTTTAAGAACGTTGACATCAATATGACACATATTTTCATGCGCTTCTCTTACAGATACTTTCTTATCATTTTGTTCTGGCCCAAAGTTTTTCTTGTATGTACCAGTAGAATTTTTTCTGTATCTGAATTGACCAAATGCAATGTCTTCTTCGATTTCAGCTTTAATTATTTCTTCTATGAAGAACAGAATTTCCATTGCTGTATGGTCATATAACTTACCTTCTTTCCTCTCAATCTGACTAATGACGTGTATATTAGTAAAACGGCATAATTGGTCGATAATTTCTTCGTTATCTGTATCAAACTCTTGGTCCAGTCTGATTAAAATGATGGTATCCAAACATTGCTTTTCAAAGTTGGGAGCTTTTTTGCTTAGGAATATTTTACTCCAGAAGGTATTTCTTAACTTCTTGGAGTATTTCTTCTTATAGTTTACTTTAATTTTCTTTAGTAACCTAATCACAGAAGTTGCTGATTCCTGGGTCACCTCTAGATCTTTATCCCCGATACTCGAGTTGATAATTTTCAATAGGATTTTGTTTTCAGCTGGAGATATCTCCACTTCTGATGACAATTCAGTGATATTGTCGAATTGATGATATTGTAAGAAATCATCTAATTCTGCTATCCACTTTGGATAGTCTTTTAAACCTTTCAATGTGGCATCAAATGGATATTGTTCCTTACTGTTTTTGTAAGTGATGATTTCCCCATCAATATTAACAATATCTGAGCCATTTGGTTTGTTATTCAGTTTACCTGAATGTTTTTCTCCTTCATGATTCTCATGGGAGACTTTAAAGGTTGAGATGGTTTCCCTCAATCTTTTTTGTTGCATAGTCAAGTAATTATACTTGTTATCATCAACTTTTTCTACTTCATCATTAATGAGTAGATCAGCTAGCTCTTCTTCCACTTTATTAAGTTTATCTTGAAGAGAGCTAATGAGGGTTTCGCTATGTTCCTCATGGATATTATCACTTGTGATCCGGGTACGACCTCCATGTAGAGAATCTGAGATAGAGAAATTATCTCTGTTAGTCTCTTCAAGTTTTATGAGTTTTAATTCTGACATATTTATAATATGATAATCGATAGGTCTCTTTTATTATATATATCTTACGTGTTGTAGAATATTTGATATTCTCTATATATTATATTAAGAGCTTCCTTTTATATCATTTTCTTTAAAGATTTTTATTTCCTCAATCACACCTTTCTTCTCTGCTTAGTTTAACTCTTATCTATTTTTGACTCTTACCGATAACTGTGCTTAAAGGTATTTTTTTACCTATCAAAATTAAGTGTTGTGCATATTACTCTTAATTTCTGGCATATTTTCATGTTATTTCATAATCTATGGTATTCCAAAAATAATCACAGAGGAGTTAGTGTGATTTGTACCCTTCCCCCGTTACACATATCTCGAAATACATTCAAAAGCCAGGTTACCCACCCGAATGATGTCAAATATAGTTTGATAATACCGCTACCTTAATAATAACTACAGCACAAGGGATGCGCATCTTCCTTATTCCATGCTCATTAGGATATCTTTTCTTGTTATTAGCCTTATTGCTACTTCCTTGGGGTTACTTTCCTTTATATAAGGGACTGAAAAATTTCTTGCGATGAGATTCCAACTAACATAAACAAGAACTTTCACGTCTAGTCGAGGAGAATTCAACCACACCAACTACTTTAAGATAATATAATATTCGGTATGACGGAAATCACTCAAGTAGAGGCGCATGTTAAGACAGGTTTACCACCTTGTTGTCTAAGAATATTTCAGGACAAGTTTGTCCTTGTTGGTACATATGAGCTGGATAAGCCTACAGGAAACAGAACAGGCTCAATTGACATATATGATGTCAATTTTAAACTTATATACACATACTTTACATATGGTGCAATCTTAGACTTAAAGTTGAGTCCCTTCGATAGTACACTGCCAGCAACTGCTCATTCTACATGGAATATTATGATATGGAATATCGTTACAGAAGACTGCAATAGTGATATAGCCATTGAACTAATATCTGACCTATTTGCATTTGAAAATGATACTTTGTTCACTCCTTTACATTTTCTCCATTAGAACCAAAATTTATATGTGTGACAATCACTACTGGCGAATGTGCTACTTTTCACGTAGATGTAGGAGGAAATACATTCAATAGTGGTACTTTGAAGGATTCCTACTCCAAGATAGACTCTAAAACTGTCACAGTACAAGGAAATGATGTAACTGGTAGGGTTTTAGTCGTGGAAGCAATCACTGAGACACATGGGTTGGAATGCTGGACGGCATAATTTGGACAATTATTACCTTTACAAGATGTACTGTTCACAGGAGGTGATGATTCTACTATCACGGCCCACGATTTGAGATCTAAGGACAATATATGGAGTAACCAGCGGATTCACGAGGCTGGTGTTGTAGGTATCAAATGTAGCTCCGAGACATTCAGACAATCAAGACCAACATCCATCATCACAGGTTCGTATGATGATAATATTAGAAACTTGGACCTTAGGATGTTAGGTGTCAATATTTATCCTGGGAGG